AGTGGAAGGCAGAGCAGGCATGGCGGCCATCGTGGACCCCCATGGCCAGTTGAGCCCCAATGCACTGTACCAGGAGCTACAGAAGGTGCTAGCGCCCTATGCTCGGCCCATCTTCCTGCGCCTCCTGCCCAAGGTGGACACCACAGGTTCGACACCCACCCCCTGCCCCCTAATTTGTCCTGGTTCAGGCCCCCGGGTCTGACATAATGGTTCACAGCCAGCTGAAGTGACAGGCTTGTGCAGAACCCTTCTCATTTTGTTTACGTACTCGTTTCTTCCCCTCATGCCCACCCCACTGGACATTCTGCAGTGCTCAGTGTGTCTCTCCGTTGTCTGCGTTCTTCTGATGACTAGGACATTTGGGCAGATCGCCTCACTCCTCTGATGTCTCTCGGATCTTTAGCCTATCTTTGTATCGCCCCCCCTTTTTATTTATTTTTATTTTTTTATTTGCCTGGAGTTCCTCATAATCCCAGACACCGTCAGTCTCTTTTCCTACCCGGGAGTCTGTTAACGTTGCCCACTGTAGCCTCTGTTGGGAGGAAACCCTCAGTTCTGTCACATATTTCTTCTTTTATAAAATCTTGTTTGTGCTTTCGGATTTTTGTTTCAAAACAAACCGTCCCAACTCTAGAGCACATGGGTACCCTCCCTTGCTTTTTAATACTGATGCCAGCCCTCATCTTTCACAAAACCCTTCTTGAATTGTTTACTGCAGGGAGTGCAAACCTTTCCTTAAAGCCCGGAGAGTATTTTTACTTTTATGGGCCATCCACTCTCTGCCCCAACCACTCAGGCTGGCCTTGTAGTACAAAAGCAGCCTAGACAGTGTGTGAATGAATGGGCGTGGCTTTGTGCCAACAGAACTTTATTTATAAAAACAGGTGGTGGGCTGAATTTGGCCCTTGGGCTTTAAGGTGCTGACCCCTGACCTATTGTGTGACAGACCCTGCCCTGCTTCGGTCTGCTGGGGGGTGGTCCGAGTGGCCTCCCTTAGAGGAGAGGGTATAAAGCTGGGACTTGAGGGACAACAGGGGAGCTGGGGCAGGCACTGTGGGGAAGGAATGTTCCTGGGCAAGGGGAGAGCGTTTGCAGAAGCCTGGAGGCACAGGAGGGCATGGTGAGCTGCGGACTCCGGAGAGTCCCCACCTGCCACCCCCACCTGCACCCCCACAGGCACTTTCAAGATCCAGAAGACACGGCTGCAGCATGAAGGCTTTGACCCGTGCCAGACTTCCGACCGCCTCTTCTTCCTGGAGATGAAGCAGGGACACTACCTGCCCCTGGACCAGGGTGTCTATGCCAAAATCTGCTCGGGCGCCTTCTCCCTCTGAAGCTCCTCTGCTGGCCACAGACTCCTGCCAGGTCCCTTAAGTGAGGTGGGCTGGGGCCGAGAAACGGGACCCCAGGAGGAGCCCGAGTCTCCCCCTGCCCTCATTCTCCGCCGCCCGGTTTCCTGAGCTCTCTGCTTGCCCTTGTCTGCCTGTGCTCTGCTCCTGTGCCTGTCTCTCTCTCCTCTCTGCTCCCTGGCCTTGGCATCCCTGCCACGCCCATCTACCCTCTCCTCTTCCCCTGTTCCCTCCATCTCTCCCCCTTCTCCTCCCCTGTTCTCCTCCCAGGTGCAGAGCAGACATCCCCTGGCAACTTCGGCTTGTTTTGGGTCTCCATCTGTCATCCCCTCTGGGTCTTAGTCCCAGAGTGGGGCCTTCCCACTTCCCTCTCAGCTGTGCCTTAAGGAGCCCCACCTAGTTCAGGCCTCCTGAGGCTGCTGGGTTTCACACAAGGCTGCTGAGTAGCCCTGTGTGAAATCCAGGCAGGCCTGCAGCCCTCCCTGCCAAACAGAGGAGCCGGGTTGGTCTTCCCCCCCTGCCCAGTGCAGGGGGCATCAGCAAGGGACTTCCAGGTCAGCTGGAAATCGCTCCTAGGCGGAGCCAGTTGCCTTTTGCACTTCCCACCCCTCGTGGGTCTCCTGCCTTGCCTGCCTTTCCTGATACCCTGGAAGCTTCCAGAATTGACTGTGATCATTTGGATATTGCCCCTGCCTGATGTCCTTGTTTGGGCATCTCCACGGAGCTCCTGCTGGAGGGACCCTGAAGACTGCTGGGTGGCTGCTTGGCCCACCACTCAGACACTCACACTGGCAAATGCCTCTTGGGTGTCCCCATCCAGTGTGGTGGCTATGGGGCCCATGGGAGTGACCTAGTGGAGAGAGCTCAGCTATTGGTGGCATCTGAGAGGGCTTCAGGGGTTCGAGTCGTTGAATGTCTCTGCTGGCCTTACTGGTGACAGCCTGGACCCTGTGTTGGCGGTGACATCCTAGATAATCCAGCTGGGATGGCTTGGATATCCCCACTGCCTTTCTTGGTGGCCCATCCTGTACTCCTGTTGCTGGGGCTGGCCACTCTGCCTGCCTGCCTGCCTATCGGTTCCTCTGGCAGCACCATCCAGCACCTAGAACACACAGTAGGGCCAGTAGCAAGTGGACCTGCATTGTTTTGCACGGGTCTTTCTAAGCACGAAGGTTTTGTTTCCTTGTTCAGTTTAAGAAATAAACCTGCAGAATATCCGGTGCCTGAAGGGAGCACAGTCATTCACTGTCCCGTGGAACACTTTCTGAGTGTCAGAAGGCAGGATCCTTCCTGGGAACATGCTCCACCAGACACAAGCAAGGCAAACATGGCCTTTTCTTGTTGCCCTGTTGCCTGTTTTTGCACCTGCAAGGCCTCGCAGGAGTGGATGACACAGGTTAACATTCTTGCTGCTTCCCTGTGGCCTCCAGGTCCTCGCCAGAGCCTGTTTTTGCAGGGGAGGGTCAGCCAGTCCACCTGTGTGTTCCAACAGCTGCAGAGGATGGCCCAGAACAGAGTGTGTCTTGGCACGCCTTGCTGTTCCAGGAAGTGTGCTGCTCTTGGTATGAGGCCAACAGGTGTGGCTGTAGCTCTGGGTGACAGCTGGAATTTTAACCCAGAACACTGAGCTTCAGGGTCTAGAATCTCAACTTCTGTCCTGGCCGGTGTGGCTCAACTGGAGTGTCGTCATGTGCATCAGTAGGTTGGGGGTTCAATCCTGGTCAGGACACGTAATCTAGGTTGCAAGGTTTGATCCCTGGTTGGGGTGCATATGGGAAGCAACCAATCAATGTTTCTCCCTCTCTAAAATCAATAAACATTTTTTAAAAATTGAACTCTCAACTTCTACCTTCTGCTGTGCCCTCTCCAGTGTTAGTGTCTGTCTCATCTTGTCTCCAGAGGACAGAGGAAGAGAGGTTTGTGATGACAAGAGTATTGGCTGGGAGGGGCACTGAGGGGGTGGCCCTGGGGTTTGTATCAGGATGGGCATCGCCCTGGCTGGGTCATGGCTAGATGAACCACCAATGTGTAGGGTGGGTCCCTGAATGCCAAGTCTACAAGGAGAGGGAGGCAAGGCAGAGCCCTCTGGCATGCCCAGGGAGCATGGAAGAAGAAGAGTCTGCTGCTAGTGGGCATAGGGTACCACTGGTGTACTGGTAAGTGCCCCTTCATACATCATGACCCTGTCCAAAAGTGTCATCACGGTCCCCCTTGCACAGATGAGGAAACTAAGGCACAAGGAGGGGAATGAAGTCATTGTCAGGCTCCTCTCAAGAAAGTGACCAGGTGAGGACCTTGGTGCATACCCAAAGCCTGTGACTCTAGCCACAAAGGCAAAGAAAGTTCCCTCCAAGATGCTGATAACAATCCTGATAACAACCGGGCTCTATTTTTAGTTTTTTTTTTTTTTATTGATTGATTTTACAGAGAGAGACATAGATTTGTTGTTCCTCTTATGCTGTTCCATTGTTTGGTTCTTGCATGTGCCTGACTGGGACTCAAACCCAGTCTTTCTTTTTTTCTTAATATGTTTTATTGATTAAACTATTACTTGTCCCATTTTTTTCTCCCCTTTATTCCCTTTCACCCTGTACACCCCTCCCACCAGCATTCCCCCACCTCAGTTCATGCCCACAGGTCATACATAGAAGTTCTTTGGCTTCTCCATTTCCCATACTGTTCTTAACCTCCCTGCCGATTTTGTACCTACCATTTATGCTGCTTATTCCCTGCACCTTTTCCCCCATTCTCCCCCTCCCTGCTGATAACCCTCCATATCATCTCTATTTCTGTGATTTGGTCCTGTTCTAGTTTGCTTAGTTCATTTTTGTTATTTTAGGTTTGGTTGTTGATAGTTGTGAGTTTGTTGTCATTTTGAAGCCACAACCTTGGCATATCAGGATGACTCTCTAACCAACTGAGCTACCTGGCCAGGGTCTCTATGTCCTTTAAAAAAAAATTAAGGCTTTATTAGAGCACTTTTCAGTTTACAGAAAAATGAGTGAAAAGCAACCTTCCTATCTACCCTCTCACCATTTTTTTAAAAAGATTTTACTTAGTGAGAGAGGGAGAGACAGAGAAAGAGAAACATACCAGGAACTGAACTTGCAACCCAGGCATGTGCCATGACTGGCAAGCGAGTCTGCAACGACATTTTGCTTTGTGCGACGACGCCCACCCAGCTGAGCCAAGCTGCTCATTAACGTTTTGCATTAATACTACATTTGTTACAACTGACGAGCCAATACTGATTCATCACTAACTGAAGCCAGCAGTTTACATTAGGTTTGCTAAGTTCTACTTCAATAAATGCATAATGACATGAATCCACTGTTACCATAGAGAATAGTTTCTTCCCCCTAAACTGTCTGTGCTTCATCTCTTCATCCCTTCCACACCAAATGAGCTCTATCCTGTTTGCGCCAGTCAGGGAGCTCCTCTCTGCAACAGCTCGAGTGGAGGCCTCTGGGCTCAAAGACACGGAAGTCCTCAGGGAGCACTTGCAGAAGGAATGCAACAAGCACGTTCTCAACTCCTACTCTGTACTAGGCATAACTCAAAGGGTTTTCGAGGTAACAGTAAGCAAAAGAAACGCTGCATTCAAGGAGCTTATATTTTAATTACCAAAATGCGCTCTCCTCCAGGAAATCTCATTTCCTTCCGCCACTCCAACCCATCCCATGTCCCCCCCTTGGGACTCCCCCAGCTCTGGGCTCCTCTTTCGGGTCTCACTCTGTCACTATCAGGTTAGAAGCAATTGAGCCAATTCTGCTAGCCCCAGCCGAGGACCGAAGTTAGGTCCAACCTGCAAAAACGTCAATGAGCTCGGAAGGTCCAAATGCCCCGCCCTACCGCAGCTTCACTTCTGGGACTGCGCATGTGCCACGGGCGGCTGCCCAAATACTAAGCCTTGGGCTGCACGCCCGGCCTACACGCAGGCGCACTGCCGGCCGCCGGGAGCGCTTCCGTCTCCCGCCGTCGCCATGGCCGCACCGGCCCCGGGCCTCATCTCTGTCTTCTCGAGTCCACAGGAGCTCGCCGCTTCGCTGGCGCAGTTGGTTGCCCAGCGGGCTGCGTGCTGCCTGGCTGGGGCCCGCGCCCGTTTTGCGCTCGGCCTGTCGGGCGGCAGTCTCGTCTCCATGCTGGCAAGCGAGCTGCCCGCCGCAGTCGCCCCCGCCGGCTCGGCCAGCCTCACGCGCTGGACGCTGGGCTTCTGCGACGAGCGTCTCGTACCGTTTGAGCACGCTGAGAGCACGTATGGCCTCTACAGGGTGAGGACTACGGGGGCCGCCGGGGGCCACGCCGAGAGGGCCGCGCCCGCTGCCTGAGCGCGGCTACGGGGGCCGCCAGGGATCACACTATGCGCTTTGCATCTTGACGGGCACTGGGAATGCGCTTCAGCATTCGGGCACTGCCTCAGCGCTGAGGTCCCACCTAAGCAGCATCTGCTCTGCCACTTGGGTGGGCCAATAGGGGTTTCGAAGCCCCTCATCATGCTTTATCAGGCAGTCAGGCAGTGGGAATGGCCTGGAAAAAGGCAAGGGATGAAGCAGAGTGGCCCATGCCAAGGACTTTGGGAAGTTAAGGCGCCGCATCCTGGTGCGAGCGCAGAGTTACGAAAAGAGCCAGACAGGTAGGTGGACTCTGGGGTGGAGCCTGGGCTTCAGTTTCCTTATCTACAACCAAGACGAGTTCTCCAACGTCTCCACACCAGCAGCTTGTGTGTTAATGACCTCGGAGGAGAATTGTCTTTGAACCCTAGCCCCAGCTCATATAGAATCAGGGGAACACTCCTCGTTTCACAAGCAGGGAAACTGAGGTTTTGAGGAGTCGTGGTCGGCCCTAGGGTTCCCCAGCTTTTTCTGTGCCCACTTCTGCCCCAGAGGAGGAAAATCTGTCCAGGGAGGTTTTGGAGGGGTGGCTTCACCAGGAAAAGAGCCTCAGGTCATTCTGGTCCTGGTTGTGTTGCATTCTTTTTGCACAGAAGCTTGAGCTGACGATTTTTTTTTTCTTTCTGTTCTCTCCCTTCCCCGCCTCTCTCTCTTTTGTAATAAGATTTACTGATTACCAAGTGCTTGATCCACATCATCTTATGAAACCCCGCAATAGCCTATGAGGCAAGGGCTATCAGTACCTCCATTTATTTCATGGATGGAGAAACTGAGGCCAGAGAGGGGTGTTTACCTGCCTGAGGCACCTAGTGACCAGTGGGGGAACTGGGGGTTTCAACCTGCCCAGCCTGACCTCGTGGTGTATAGCTTGTGTATAGGCTGGAGTAGGAAGGTCAGCAGGGCTTCATGGAGGGCACAGAGGGCCTGGGTTTTATCCCAAGGGCCAAAGAACTGTGGGGGGCTTTGAAACAAGGTTGTGTTGTGGCCAGACAGGTGCAGGCAAGGCCAGGAAACCACCAGAACTTGAAAGACACCTGATGAATCAACACTGGGATCCACCAAGATCCTGATTCACGGGTCTGGATGATCCATGTGGTTACACATAAAAACCCACAATGCAGTGACCTGTGCATTACTGTTGGTGACACTCCCTCTATATGCCACAGACGCACCTGTTCTCCAAGCTGCCCATCCCTGACAGCCAAGTGATTACCATTAACCCCCAGCTTCCTGTGGAGGAGGCAGCTGAGGACTACGCCAAGAAGCTGAGACAGGTGAGTCCCTCAAAGCAGGTACAGGGGGACCTCATCTATCCAATGGCCAGTCCTAGGGAGACATAGCAGTTCTGCAGGTTGCACTGTGTGGTCATCATTGACAGAAACTCCTCTGGGGGTCAGTTGGCAGACCCAACTCTCCCCTGGGCAGACCCCCTTTGAGAATCCTCCCTTTGAGAGCCCATAGCCCAGCCTTGGGTTCCCTAAGGGTGCCCTCACCTCTGACACCCTGGTAGCTGGCCTGGGTCCTCACATATCTTAGAAACAGTTATATCCCCAAACTCTCAGCCAGTTGGGCAGGTGAAATGTGGAACTTCAAAGATTAGAGTCCCTTTTATACAGGTGTGGCTAAGCCTCACTCCCTGCGTTATAGCTACTTATGATTCTTTTTCTAACAATTGTCTCTGTGTCCTTTGAGCCCCTCCCTCACAACTTCTGTGGGCTGTCTTCTTCCCTCACCCAGGCCTTCCAAGGGGACTCCATCCCAGTTTTTGACCTGCTGATCCTGGGGGTGGGCCCTGATGGCCATACCTGCTCACTCTTCCCAGACCATCCCCTCCTGCAGGTGAGTGCACACACATGGTCCCTGCCTACACCTGAGCTCCAGCCTCTGCTGTCTGGGGCTTCTGAAGGGAGGCCAAACGGTGCCTGCAACAGGGTTTGAGTCAGCTTCTGCCAGCAGGCCTGCCCGCTGAGCTTAATCCTTCTGAGCCTCAGTTTACCCATCTTATAATGGGGGTCTTAAATCAAGTACCCCAGGATTACTAGGGTGGGATGGAATGATGGATGGACCATACCTGATGTGTGTGAGTGCTCAAGCAGTTGAAATGACATTGTCCTCATGTCTCCACCCGGGCCTCCCACCCCAGGAACGAGAGAAGATAGTAGCCCCCATCAGTGACTCCCCAAAGCCACCTCCACAGCGTGTGACCCTCACACTTCCTGTGCTGAATGCAGCCCGAACTGTCATCTTTGTGGCTACTGGAGAAGGCAAGGCAGCTGTTCTGAAGGTAAAGCTGAGGGCCCCATTCCCAGAAGGTTATGGGCATGTGGGCCTGGGAATAGAATAAGACTCCTGGTGCTGAAAGCACCAGATCCCAAGATACTTCAGTAGTTCTTGAGTTGAAAGGGAGATGGATGACGTGGACACTGGGCCACAGCATCTGTGGCGTTATGGATGAGATGAAATAAATTCACACAGACTACAGAGTCCCTTGGAGGAAGAGGGATGGCACGACTTCTTTCTCAAGGGTAGAGCAAGCCTTGGAGCGCCTTGGCCACCCTCTCAAGAGGAGAGTGCCCCGATTATTGTTTTGAGAGGCTTTTATTGGATTCAATTTGCATAGGAATACAGGGTGTATATGTAAAGCTCATTAATCATTATCAGGTAGTAAGGATCAAACAATAGATAACATGCAGAGAACTCTGAGGGCTTATTCTGAGTCAGTGTCAGATAGTTAAATGGCCATAAAACTTTGGGGAACAAACTCACATCATGCTTGGTCCCTTATTATTTAAATTGAGGGTATTAACAAAGTAGGTTTCACAGGATTTTATGCATTCTTTCTTAGGCCTGATCACCCTAGGGAACCCATGCTTTCCAGCATAGGGCTGCACCCACCTCCAGCATTGTTTCAGGTTTAAGTCAGGCAGGGGAAGTAAGGCAGCCAAGAGATTAGACTTATTGCAGACAGAATGAGGACTCAGGTTATGTCAAAGCCAAGGGGCAAGGGTCCATCACCCCTTTTCTGTAGCCCCCAAGTCCTTCCCTGGGGCCCCCTGTGATTGTGCCTGTCTTAGGTCATCCCTCCCTTGATGAATCTTACCAGTCTTTGGCTAACGGATCAAGCACTGGGGGCCAGGCAGGGTGAAGTAAAAGAGGCAGAGGCGGCACCCCTGACAGGGAGATAAGCTTTGTTTCCTTAGTGGCTTATGGTCCTGAAGGTCACTCACTCAGCCTTAGCCATGGTGGGGTTACAGCTCCTGAAACCAGGCAGGGCAGTTCTCAACAGATGGAAACTGCAACTACAGGCTGGTTAAGAGTGAACAATTACAAAGTGAAATTGATGAGATGAGGCCAAAGCTACACTCATAGGTAAATTCATAACAGTAAAAAAAACCCACTCTTTTGAGAAAAAATATTAAATAGAAAACTATTAAATAAATAACTCAAGTCATTAAAATACATTTTTAGAAAAAATACTAAATAGAAAACTACTGAATAAACAAATCAAGCACTTTACTCTTGAATTAGAAAAATGAGCAATAATATAAATCTAAGTAAAGTCAGCAGATGGAATAAATGAAATCAAAGTCAGAAATTAATGAATTGGTTAGTATTATTAAAAGTTTAATGGGAAGCCCTGGCTGGCGTAGCTCAGTGGATTGAGCACGGACTGGGAACCAAAGTGTCCCAGGTTCGATTCCCAGCCAGGGTACATTCCTGGGTTGCAGGCCATAACCCCCAGCAACTGCACATTGATGTTTCTCTCTCTCTCTCTCTCTCTCTCTCTCTCTCTCTCTCTCTGTCTCTTTCTCTCTCCCCCTCCCTTCCCTCTCTAAAAATAAAAATAAATTAAAAAATTAAAAAAAAGTAAATTTGAAACAAAAAATTAACTTAAAAAAAAAGTTTAATGGGAACAGGTCCAAAAGATAGATAAACCCCTGGCAAAGCTAATCCAGAAGGGAAAAAATCCTATGTAGTAATAAGTAAAGTAGGAATAAGTAAAATAGGAATAAGAAAGAAGGCATAGTTATACATAATATTTTAGGAAAATATAAAATAGATCAAGATATTAAAGATAAATGAAAATATAGTTTAATGCCATCACTGAAAAGACCAACAACTATAGGAGAAGCTGGACATATTTTAAAATATAAATAAATAATCCTCTCTCCCAAACCGTCAGGCCCAGATGTCCTCACAGGGGCTGCTCATGTTGGGGTGTAGGGTGCAGACTCTACAGAGTGCAGCAGACCCGTGTCCCTGTCAGTGCTGCCCACTCCGGCCTCAGATGGCCCCACCAGCCTCAACTTTCCCATTAAAAAGTGGGTCATGGATCATGCGGGGGCCCCTCGCCTCGGTCCCCTTGAGGGAGGCCTCCTGGAGCCTCCGCTTCCCAGATTGTAAATGGGTGAGAACAGGTGACTTCCCAGGACTGTGGTCAGAAGTCAGTGAGTTCTTGGGGCAGCCCAGCTGGCAAGAAGCAGTGTGCAAGCTAATAATGCCCACTCACCATGAAGTCCCATCAGGGAGCTGATACTCCACGGCCCGTGGGCCAAGTCCCACCAGCCATGAAGGGATTTTACATTTGTAAGTGGTTGTGAGGAAAAAAATCAAAAGAAAAATATTTCTGGACATGGAACATTCGACAGAATTCCGATTTCAGTGTCCCACCTTTAAAATAAAGACTTGTTGGAACACACATGCCCCTATGTCCGTGTGAGCCGAAATCCTGACTCCCTGGCCTTGGCAGAAAGGGTGTGCCAGCCCTGCATCGTACAGTCACAGATGGTGGACGGGACGGGGGCTGTCCCTGCTGGCTGTTTTAAGCCGGGTCAACTGGAAGGACATCAACACATCTTGAAAGTAGGATGGTCCATGGATCCCCCAGAGCTCTCTGGTCCATGGGGGGCCTGAGAGCTCTGAGAGGTGCTGGGGGTGCAGCAGGGCTCACAAACGTGCTTTCTTCACACAGCGCATTTTGGAGGACAAGGAGGACAACCCTCTCCCTGCCGCCCTTGTCCAGCCCCACACCGGGAAACTCTGCTGGTTCCTGGATGAGGCAGCAGCCCGACTCCTGACTGTGCCCTTCGAGAAGCATTCCACTTTGTAGCTGATCCCTGGGGACGCCACATTGGGGACCATGTGCGGCCTGAGGGGGCTGGGACCTTCTAGGGCTGTGCCTCTCCACCGCCATGCTCTGGGTTTCATTATTAAAAAGCCACGTGGTGCCCTGACTGAAGTGGCTCAGTGGGTTGGGCATCGCCCTGCAAACAGAATGGTCACTGGTTTGATTCCTGGTCAGGGCACATGCCTGAGGTGTGGGTTCTGTCTTTGGTTGGGGACGTGTGAGAGGCAACCAATCAACGTTTCTCTCACGCATGGCTGTTTCTCCCTCTCTTTCCCCCTCCCCCCCTAACAATAAATAAATGAAAATCTTTAAAAAATAAAAAGCCACCTGGTGCTGACAGGGCCCTTCCACCAGCCCTGCACAGATATTAGAAGGAGCATCTGCTCCATGTCCTCACTGTCTTGTGGTCCTTGGTGGCCAGCAAGACCAGGGGCTCACAGGCTGATCCAAAGCCCTTGTGCCAGCAGGTGGAGGACAGGGATGGGCGCCTTCAGTGAGTGTTCCGGGGCAGTGTAGCGAAGTACCGCAGAATTTACTGACAGTGCTGGAGGCCAGAAGTGTGAAATCAAGGTAGTGGCAGGGTTGGCTCCTTCTGGAGGCTCTGAGGGAAAGTCCGTCCCAGATGTCTCTCCTGGCTTCTGGGGGCTGCCAGCAACCCTTGGCTTATGACAGCATCACTCCAGTCTCTGCCTTTGTTGTCACGTGGCTTTCTCATATGAGTGTCTCTTTGTGTCCTCTTCCACTAAGGCTACCTGACATTGGATAAGGACCCTAAATCCAAGATGAACTCATCTCAAGATCCTTAGCTATGCCCTGGCTGGTGTGGCTCAGTGGACTGAGTGCCGACCTGCAAACCAAAGAGTCACTGGTTCAATTCCTAGTCAGGGCACATTCCTGGGTTGCGGGCCAGATCTCCAGTTGGGGACATGTGAGAGGCAACTGGTCGATGTGTCTTGCACATTGATGTTTCTCTCCCTCTGTTTCTCCCTCATCTTTCTCTAAAAATAAATAAAATCTTAAAATAAATAAAAAAGATCCTTAACTAATTATATCTGCAAAGACCCTTATTCCAAATAAGGTCACATTCTGAGATTCCTTATTGACATGGACATATTTGTGTGTGTGTGTATGTGTGTGTGTGTGTGTGTGAAAATACACATAACACAAAGTTCACCATCACCACCGTTTCTAGGTGTCTAGTTTAGTAGCATGGCTGCACAACCACCCCCACCTTCCATCCTCCCAAACTGAAACTGTCCCATTAAACACTAACTCCCATCCTCCCCTAGCCCATCATTCTACTTTATGTATGTCTCTGAGTTTGACTATTGTAGGAACCTCATATAAGTGGGGCCATACAGTAGTTGTCCTGTGTCTGACTTCTTTCACTCAGCATAATGTCCTCAGGTTCGTCCACATTGTCACATGTGTTACAATGTCCTTTTTATGGCTGCATAACATTCCACTGTGCACGGGCCACATTTTGCTTCTCCGTTCGTCTGTGGGCACGGTTGCTTCCATGGTTTAGCTCCTGTGAATAATGCTGCTAGGGACATTGGTATACAGATGTCTCTTTGAGACCCTGCTTTCCATTCTTTTGGGGATATACTCAGAAGTAGAAATGCTGGGTCACATGATAATTCTGTTTCACTGTTGAGGAACTGTCATACTATTTTCCGCAGCCAGTCAGCATTTCACATTTCCACTAACAGTGCATGAGAGTTCAGTTTCTCCATGCTGTCACCACTGCTTGTTGTTTTCTGTGTTTTGATAGTGACCTGTGGATGTGTCCTTTCAGGAGGGTTATGATTCAGGCCACTGCATACTCACTCTGGCTGAGTGCCCAACAGCCCACGGAGCTGGCCTTGGCCTCTGTGCCCAGCCCTGCTGCCGCCCTGCTCAGGGCCTTGAACGCACCAGGACTGCAGCGTCTGCGTCTGCTCTGCTCACCCAGCTTCTCTGCTCCGGGGACCGAGTGGGAGGCTGGTGGGCATGGGGAGAGGGTAGCTTGGGGACCTGGGGGGCGTCCCACAGAGGCACCTGAGGGGGACGTGGGAGTTGAAACCTCGAAGCTGAAACCCCAGAAAGAGAAGTGTCCTTCAACGTCCTGTTGGGGTCGGTCACTCAGATGTGAAAGGGAGGAAGTGGGCCAAGGCCTGAGTGGAAGGAAGTGGGTTGAGAAAAGCAGAGGGTGTTGAAGGCCCCTCAGCCCTGGGCTTGAGCAAGCGCAGGTGGCTGTGACCCCCAGAGCAGAGGGAAAATGGTGAGACCCGCGTGGGGGCCCTACAATGGGGCCCTGCTTGGAGCACGTCACCTCTCCTGTGCCCCTCTCCCCAGGGCAGCCGCTGTCCCTGCACCAGGTCTGCCTGAGGCCCCCTTTCACCTTATGGGAAACCTACCCTTCCTGTTGGCCCATAAGCCCCCCTGTGGCCCAGGCAACCCCCATCCTCCTCTCCTAACATCTGCCCCCACTCACCCTCCTCCAACCCCCACTTTGTGCTGTTCCCACCTTAGGGCCTTTGTGAGTGCTGGGCCCCTGCTTGTTCTTTCCTCCAGCCTTTGCATGGCTCGGGCCCTCACTTCCTTCAGGTCTTGGTGCAGCAACTCCTCCCTGCCCCCTCTCTGCTTCTAACATTGTTTCCCCCTCCTGTTCCATTTTCTCCCCCATGCTTATCACTATCCAACAGTTTTGTTGGTGTGCCCACAATGGTCCACGGGGCCTGGGGCAGCTGCAGGGAGCTGAGGGGACTGGAGGGAGCCATTGAGAGATGAGACTGGGGATTTGCAGGGTCTGGTATTTCCCCCAAGGGCATGGGGAGCTGCAGGAGGTTCTAGAGGTCAAGGCTTGGCATTGGGGTGTGCTGCAGCCTGGGAATAAAGGCACCGTCAAGAGTCACTTCAAGAATGAAATGGCCCTGACTGGGTAGCTCAGTTGGTTACAGCATCATCTTGATAAGCCAAGATTGCAGGTTGTGTCCGGTCAAGACACGTACAAGAATCAATCAATGAAGGCATAAATAAGTGACAATAAATTGATGTTTCTCTCTCACTCTCGCTCCCTCCCTTCTTTCTCTAAAATCAATAAATTAAAAATATGTTAAAAATAAAAGAATGAAGCCCTGGCTGGCGTAGCTCAGTAGATTGAGCGCGGGCTGTGAACCAAAGTGTTGCAGGTTCAATTCCCAGTCAGGACACATGCCTGGGTTGCAGGCCATGGCCCCCAGCAACCGCACATTGATGTTTCTCTCTCTCTTTCTTTCTCCCTCCCTTCCCTCTCTAAAAAAAAATGAATAAATAAAATCTTTAAAAAAAAGTTTCTCTTAAAAAAAAAAGAATGAAATGGAGATTGGTGATTGCTTGGCGGGGCTGGGGAGGGTGCTGGGGGTGAGGGAGGAATCAATGCACCCCCACTGGACACCCATCCCCTCCCCTCATTTGGAACCCCAACAGTGACCCCAGGGAATGGGGGTGTCTATCTAGCTCTGTCTCCCCAGCCTGGGGACTCCTGAGGGGTGTGCCAAGGCTGAATCCCCCCAGCCATTGCCCAGCATGGGGCTACAGCGGGGGCTGGGGTGGGCACCAGAGGGTGGACATTAGGTGGGGGTAGAGGCCCTATCTCCGTCCAGCCTCTCTTCCTTGCCACCCACACCCACAACTTGCCCAGTCCTGCCAGATAGCTGCCCTGCATCCCTTCTCCAAAGCCAGCTAGGATTTTTGTTTCCCACCCCTGTAGGCACTCTCGGGGCTGCCCCAGGGCCCCTACAGAAACCAGCAGCCTTGGTCTCGGGGGAGTTGGGAGGACGCAGGTGCAGGGTGGGGCGGGGCAGGGGGCAGGCCTCCTCATTCCCCCCAACACACACATGGGGGGCCAAGCCCTGGCGTCTGGCCCCTGGCATTTGTCCCCACAACATCCAGGCTCCTCACAGGCCATCCTGCTCCGAGAGATCCTCTGAACCTGGGGAGCCGTAGGGTGGAGAGGGGTGTCTGTTCCACTCTAGGGGATCCTGGGACACTGCAGCAGGATGGGTGGGCGGCCTTCAAGCCCCCTGGACAAGCGGCAGCAGCAGCACCTGAGGGGTGAGCAGGTGTGGGAAGGTTGGGGTTGGGGGAAGGGTTCGGGGTTGTCAGATACATAGGACGCCCTGTTAATGTGAATTCCAGATAAGCAATGGATATATTTTTTAGTATAAGTATGTCCCAAACTTTGCATCAGGGCATAATTATGCTAGAAAATAATTCCTTATTTACCTGAAATTCAAATTTAACTGGTCTCATGTACTTTTATTTGGTCAATCTGGTAACCCACCTCAGGGTGTGGGTTTGGGGTAGGGGGCATGGGCCAGGTGGGAGGTGCCTTGGGCCTAGCCAGGTCTTGGGGGTGATCCTCCCAAGAGGGCAGGGACCGGGAGGTCCCTCTGTGTGGACCCTGGGCACCAAGCAGCCGTTCTGATTTGAGACAGTGAGTGATCAGTGCCCTTCATCCTTCACGTGGTTGAGTACTTACTGGGTGCTAGGCACTGGGAGTACGATGAGCTCATGATCTATCTAGATCAGGAAAGATGGCCAAGTTACCTTAACACAAATGGATTCAATAAGCAATTACACAAATGTCAGGTTTTTGTTTCTGTAGTGGCTTAAGGCAAAGATTTATTTCTCTCTCCTATGAAGGGGTGCAGTGGCAGGCAGGCTCATAAAATTCAGACAACCCAACTTATTCCATATCATGTTTGTATTATGTGTGGCTTCTGTGCCACATAAAGGCTGCTGAAGCTCCAGTCATTGAGTCCAAATTCCAGGCAGTAAAATGGACTGTATGTTTTACATATAATCAAGGGAGTACATCATAGGAGAATAGCTTGAAGAACCATAACAGCTGTGTGATCACCTCCTACATGAGGACATGAAATACTTCTGTTGCCCCAGAAAGTTCCCGTGTGCTAGGTAAGGTTTTTAAAAGGTTTTGAAAATTTCTCTAGGTAAGGGTTTGGAAACACTTTCAGGGGCAATGGAACTGTTCACTATCTTGATCATGGTAGAGGTTTCCGGGTGTGGACACATGTGAAAGCTCATTAAATTCTATGCTTTGTACAATTGAAGTTTGCTGTGCATCAGTTATCAGTTAAGCCAGAGTCCCTTAACACCCACCCCACTTCCATGTGTATAGAAACAGACAGCGGAGGATTAGGGGTGAATGGAATTTGGAGCATGTCTTGTGGGGTAGTTTTGGGGTCTGGGGTGAGGGTAGAAGCACGCCAGTTACTTCCACCCAGTTCTGCCTTCGTCTGGCAGGTGGCCTGATTCAGCCGCCTCACTGTGCCCTTGTCCCTGCAGGCCAGGTGGACGCCCTGATGAAGAACTTCCTGCCCCAGTACCGCGTGCAGCTAGCAGCCTCAGTCCTGCGCCAGATTTCCCGGGAGCTGGTACCCCAGGAGCTGGCTGGATGCCAACTACTGCACAGCAAAGTGGGTGCCACAGACAGGGGTGGGGGGCTGCTGAGTGAGCGAGGCTGTGGAGGCTGTCAGTTCGGTGTGGGGGGTGGTCCTCCTCATGCATTTGTCCTTGCTGGTGCCATAACCTGGGGTGACTATTACACTTACTGGAACATCCTGGGACAGACCCTTGGAACAGAGCAGAGACTAAGACAGATCCCACTCTGCCCTGAGGGCTCACAGTCTGATTGGGGAAAATGACCCTAAACAAGTTAACACATCATGACGCAGGATAACTTCTGACAGGCACTCAGAAGAGGAAGGCTGCTGTTGGGGGTGGGAGCTGAGGTGCAGGGAGCCCCTCTGAGTTGAGATGTAAAGGATGAGAAGGAGCCAGATCAGGAGAGCAGAATGGGAAGGGCATTCTGGGCAGAGGGCTCAGCCAGTGCACGAGACCTGAGGTTGGAAAAAGCTTGCCCTGTGTGAGTGCCGCACTCAAGGACACAGCATGGCTGGTGGAAACCCACGGTTTTGCATCTGCAGTTACCTCTGCTAGTGTACTTTCCATTTCTCCTTGTACTTCAGATGCCACATCTTCCAAGAAGCCTTCCTAAATTGTCATTGCCCCCACCTGAGTCAGAAATCTTCTCTGAAACCCCAATCCTACTGCTTCTCCAGCAAAGCCCCAGGTCATACATCAGTCACCTCCTTGGGTCTGCTCTGCAAGAGCAGGGACCAGGCTTTGTCTCCTCTTCCCCACATCCCCACACCCGATGTCCACGTGGTGTCTGCACATAGTAGGGGTGCAGGAACAGTTTATGGATGGAACGAAGGAGCCTGGAGCCACCTGGTCCCAGCCCCACGTGTCTGCTGAGTTGGCAGTGGCACCCAGGGCTTCCATATGCTGGAGATGGGTCTTTGACCAAGGAAACCAAAGCACAGAAAGGCAAAGTGACCTGTCTGATGTCATACTGCCAGCAAAAGGTGGAGGCATGATTTGAAGTCGGAGCTCATACTCCTTACTGACACTGGGTCCCCTGCCCCATCAGGGCTCTGAGTTTCCCCACCTCTCTCCAACGGCACTGTGGACATAGGGCCCCCTCCCACCCAGACCCCTCCCTGTCTCTCTTGGGGCATCATGGTGCCCCCACGTCACCACCACCTGCATCCATCTTATGCCACCTGCTGGAGCCAGCCACCTGGGGCAGGGCACAGCTGATGTTGGGTTTCAAGCAGCGTGAAGGGACTTTCCCTTGTTTCAGTGTGAGCATTGTATATAATACTTACTTTATATATAATTTTAATAATAGCATTTAACAATATTTTTATGATTATTCTCAGAGCCTGGAAAAGGTAGGGAGAATTATTAACAAACACCTGAGTTCCCACTACCCTGCCAAAGAATCAAAATATAACAATTGCAGTTAATTGATTCATGAACTATTCATCGAGCATCAAGTGCCCTGTACTTAGTGGCACCTGGGACATAGTGGGGACTGTCCAGGTGGTCTGGATGCCTGGACGCTAGCCAGTGGCCCTGACATCTGAGGGACCCTTCTTCCATAGAAGCTGCCCCGAGTCCGTGAGCACCGAGGGCCCCTGATCCAGCTGCAGGGCCACCCACCTCAGTGGCAGCCAATCTTCTGTGTCCTGCGTGGGGATGGCCGCCTGGAGTGGTTCAGTCGCAGGGAGGTATGTGAGCCTGTGTCTCTTGGCCTCCAGATTCTCCATCCTGCCCTCCCCAGCATGGGTTTGGGGTCTAGATACTAGCATAGCTGTCCCTCCTGTTTTCAATCATCTCTCCTGAATCAAGGGACGCTGTGTTCTTGGTCTGGGGTGGGCGACCATTTCCTGTTGTGCCAGGTGGGCAGACTGAGGCCCAGGACAGGGGTAGGGACTTACTCATGGTCATCGGCAAAGCTGAGGTTGAAACCATGTTAGGTCTTTGCATGTCATGCCCATGTCCTGCTTCCTGGCTGGGGAATTCACTCGGGTCACTCATTGCCCTGGGAGGCAGTTTCCACCTCTGTGAAATGAGCGAGGATGGTCTGCTAGGCAAGGGCTGTGCTGTTTGGATGAGATAGATAATCGGCATTCAGGATTTGGGACTGGCCCAGCATCCTGAGGAGGCTGGGTGCTCTGGTGTGGAGGAGGAGGAAAGAGAGGGGTGGAGGGGAAGAAAGGGGTGGAAGCAGGGAGGGGAGGTGGAGGATTTCCCCAACTAACCACAAGCCTTCCCCTGATCTCACACTGAGACATGGAAGCCACAGTTTAGACCTGCCCCAAAGCAGTTCTGTGGACACCTTTTATAGGAGTATGAAAATGGGGGCCGTCCTCTGGGCTCTGTAGCCCTGACAGGGTACACAGTCCTGACTTCCCAGCATGAATATCTCCACCTGTTGGACACTCTCTGCCCAGATTCCCCAGGTAAGGCTCCTGGGGACCCTGAGGGCAGGTTTCTCTACTTCAGGGCTGTTGACAGTGGGGCCCGATCATTCATTGCAGTGGGGGCCGCCCTGGGCACTGCAGGGTGTGGAACAGCATCCCTGGTCTCCACCCACTAGATGCCTGTAGCAGCCCCCACCCCAAGTGTGGCAACTGGATATGCCCCTAGACCTTGCCAAGTATCCCTTGGGCGGGGGGCAGCGTTGTTTCTGGGTAAGCATCCCAGCTCAAGAAAGAGAAACACCCCCTCTCATCAGAGTGAGAGAGGTAGGTCACTGGACCAGAATCAGAGTAGCAAAGGCTAAAAACAAAACCTGGCATCAGCAAGCCTGTGGGGAGATGGGCGCTGGTGGGTGGGGACGTCTCACAGACCTTGGGCCAGGTGTGTTGTTCAGTCCAGCGTTTCCAGCAGGGCTCTCCCTCCCTCCCTTCTCCCATATTCTCTTCTCCTCCCCCACTCCTTCTCTCTCTTTTTCTCTAACTTCCTCCTTCCCCCCCTCCCTTACTCCCTCTCTCCTTCCATCACACCTTCTCCTTCTTCTCCCCTCCTTCCTCCTTCTCCCTTCCTCCATTATCCCTTCGCCTTTCCCTCCGCTGTCCTCTCTCTCTCTCTCCTTCTTCCTCCCCTCTCTCCTCCCGCCCTCCCACCCATGACACACTGTGCAGGAACACGGAAAGGAGCAGCATGACTGCCCTGGGTGTGTCTGATGAGGGAGGGCCTGTGTTACCACAATGAGCTTGCCCAGCAGGCAGCCTCATCTCTTGCTACCTCATTCCACAGATGTGCACACGGTGGCTGAGGACTGTCACACAGTTAGTAAGGGTCAGAGCCAGAACTGTACCCTTTGCTTCACTGAGGAGCTATCTTGCCACCAAATAATGCACATGCACCAACAAGGCCAGTCTACAGAAACAATGAGGATGTTGCTAACATTGGGGTCCACCCACATTCTATTGTACGGGGTTGATTGAATAATATGGCTGGACCCTTAGACAGGAAAGCTGTGCAGCTGCTGGAGGTGTCCCCCATGTGTGCAGGAGCAAAAAGGCCACTTAAAGAGCAGAAAACTCCATCTTGTAGCAACAGTGAACTCCATGAAGCTTTGTGCAGATTTTAAAATTCAGAGTAATGTCCCCCAAACTGTTAACAGTGATTATTATCCCTGGGGCCTGCGGTTAGAGGGCTGGGATGACCAGGAAATTCTATCTTCTGGATTTTTATATTTTACCACAGTTTGTGTGTATTTCTCTAGAACTCAGCACAAAACACTGTGCATATAGGAGATCCAAAATATATTAACCAAAATTAAATTCATTCTTTGTGTCCACCCAACCTTTCTAGGCCATTGATAACAATTTTGAACTTACTTTTGAACCCGTTTTACAGGATCAGAGAGATGAAAAACTGTGCCCCACACACAGAAAATGGTTTGGCCAAGTTCAAACCTGGGCATGGCTGGCTCCAGCACTCCACTGCAAGCAGGGGCCAGATCACATGCCAACTAGGACAGGTTGTTGGTGGCTGCCTAGGCCACTGTGTTGAGAAGGATGCAGAGGCTGGGAAGCAGTGCTGGGATGGATTGCTCATGTCTGCCCCAAGCACATCTTCCTCTGAGACACAGCTGGAATAAGAATACTATAGTTATAATAGCATGGATCATGCATATTGAGCAACTGCCTGTGCCAGGGTTTCCTCTAAATATTTCATGGTTATTTTCTCCTAGTGAATGAATGCCTGTAGAGCAAATGAATGAATGAAGATGTGACCTCCTGTCTGCTTTCAGGAGACCATACAGAGGAAGAGCCTGACCCCCTCCTGGAAATGCCTGTGAACTTCCCCCTGTTCCTTCAGCATCCCTTCCGAAGGCATCTCTGTTTCTCTGCAGCCACAGGGGAGATGCAGCGTGCGTGGAGGCTAGCCCTGCAGGGTGGCATCCGGCTTCGTGGCACAGGTGGGTCCCAGGGAATGTCAGGCAGAGGTGGCACTTAGAGTCCGGGGTCAGACAGCTGTGCCCCTGCTGGCTGTGGGACCCACTTTAAATCTGTTTTCTTATCTATACAATGGGGTATGGGGTGGGGAGAGACAGATGGGATAGGGCTGTGATGGGGACACAGTCTTGTGGGAGTGCCCCTGGGGGATCAGGGAAGACTAATGTCAAAGCTGGGGTCTGAAAAAGATGAGAGGCTAAACAGGTGATAAAAGGGAGCAGGACCAACACATACAGCTGGGCAGGCTGTTGACCGAACGTCCATAAATGGAGAGGCAGTGGGGTCTGCAGTGCAGCTCGGTCTGTGACTGCCCGCGGGGGATGCCTTTTCCTACACAGTATAAAGGCTCTTAATGGGCTGATGATTGTTTTGAGGGAGCATTATCCCTGCAGAAGGCATTTCTTGTGCAAAGGTCTGGAGGTGGGTGATACCTGAGTTTTTGGGACCTGGCAGGGAGGTGGAAGGCTTCCTTCCTCTTGAGGAGCTGGGGAGCTGGGCAGATGTGACAGCAGGGGAGCGGTGGGCAGGCACTGAGGAGCCGCCTCCCCGCCCTGACCCCAGTCCTGCAGCGAAGTCAGGCCCCCGCCGCCCATGCCTTCCTGGACACCATACGGCTCTACCGGCAGCACAAAGGCCACTTTGGCCACGACGACATGACACTGGGCTCGGACGCCGAGGTCAGTGCCGCGCAAGCCTGCACCGGGACCCCCAGAAACTCTCTAGGCCCTCAGCGGAGCCCACGGTCCCCTCTTCTGCAGGTGCTGACCGCGGTGCTGATGCGGGAGCTGCTGCCGGCACTGCAAGCCCAGATCCAGACGGGCTTGCGGGGGGCCGGCCGAGCCAGGGCCTGGGCCTGGACAGAGGTACGGGAGGGATCGCGGAGGTGGAGCAGGAACACACGGGATCCGTGGAGAGTTTGGGGGCCTGATCCGGACGCCCAGCTTCGTTTTTCCCGCCGACCGTTATCTAAACTCTTTCCACATCTTTCTGCGTCTCTGTCTCTACCCGTCCCTCCACCTCACCACATCTGCTGTCTCCCGCGCTCCTGGCCCTTGGGATCCCCTGGGCTGGTCCGGGCAGCTCCTGGATGCAGTTCACGCCGCCGTCCTGGCCGGAGCCTCTGCGGGGCTCCGCGCTTTCCAGCTCGAAAAAGACGAACTGCTCGCGGCCTTGGATAGGACTATCCGCCCGGATGTGGACCACCTTCTGAGGCTGCGAGGGCGCGTGTCAGCGAAGCTGCTGGGTGAGATCCGGAGGGCGGGGCCTGGAGAGGCGTGGCCTACATGGGGTCTGACGACGTGAGGCACGTAGACTGAGGGGAAAAAAGGGAAAAAGGTTGGTGTAAGGGGCGGGGCCTGGGCAGGGCGGGGCCAGGGTGAGGCCTGAGAGAAAGGGAGCAGGGTAGGAGTAAGGGGCGGGGCCTAGAAGATAGAACCCGAAGACTGGCAGGGGAGGAACCGGAGAATGAAAGGGCGTGATATGAGGTGGGGACAAAGTGGGGCATGGGCGTGGCATTTAGGCTGAGAATAGGGCGGAGTCAAGGAGGGCGGGGCCGTGAAAATGGGGTCAGGCCTGGAATGGAGCGGGTGAGACCCTAGCAGTGGCATGCCTGACCCGAGTTGTTTAGTCAGACGGCGGAGGTAGCTTCCACTCTGCTCAGTTACAAAGAGAACGCTACTGGAATCCGGACTCTGCCTTTCCGGCACGCGCCCCCGAGCCCGACCCCGCCGCACTTGAAGCCTGTTTATCAGTGCAATGGGGTAGAGACGGTGTTCGGAGTCTGTGTTCCCATCCACCTCACCCTGCTGAGCCGAGGGTCTCCCCACAACTTCATTTGCGGAGCACCTTGCAAAGGAGACCCAGGCCAGTGTTTTCCACTCGAAGCTGAGGTCCAGGGCCCCCTGGAGTCGTGCCTGAGCAGAAAGGTGGATGCGCAGCTGCCCCGACTCACACGGACTCTGCTCAACACCGTGGAAGCAGCACTTGCGGCAGTGCAGACACTCCTAGTCCAGGGCATGGACCGCCTGTCTCGCCACCTGCGTGGGAGCCCCTCCAGCACCCGGTTGCGCAAGGAGGTGAGCTCTAGGGGTGAGAGTTATTTTGGGCGGAGTGTTAACTTCATAGAAGAGTTGCATGAATGAACCTTATATTTGTTTTTTGACAACTTTCTCTTTTGAAAAACTTCGCAACAACTTTTTTTTTCTAGGCTGCATTTTACTTATTGTGAACTACCATGCTATGGTCATTAGGGCCCAGTTTTTCTTTTTTATTAAAGTTTTTTTTAAAATATTTTATTTATTTATTTTAGAGAGGGAAGGGAGGGAGTGAGAGAGAGAAAGAGAGAGAGAGAGAGAGAGAGAGAGAGAGAGAGAGAGAGAGAGAGAGAAACATCTATGTGCGGTTGCTGGGGGTTATGGCCTGCAACCCAGGAATGTACCCTGGCTGGGAATCGAACCTGGGACACTTTGGTTCCCAGCCCGCGCTCAATCCACTGAGCTATGCCAGCCAGGGCTTTTATTAAAGTTTTTTAAAAAATTACCAATGAGAGAGACAGAGGAGAATGAAGGGAGGGAAGGAGAGAAGGGGGGGAGAGAGAGGAAAGGACATCAACTTTTGGTGCTCCACTTACTATGCATTCATTGACCATCCCCTGCATGTACCCGACAGGGTATTGAAGCTGCAACCCTGGTGCATCCGGACAATGTTCCAATCAACTGAGCTACTTGGCTGGGGAGTGGGGAGTGAGTGGGGTGCAGTTTAAAACTTGAGGAAGGAGCAAGATGACAAGAGTAGCAATTAATAATATCAGCCTGGAGTCACCTTCCCCCCAAACTCTTACTCCTGACGTTCCTGTTTAGCCAGAGCTCACCCTGTCCCCAGAGAATTCTGCTGCATGCAGGTGAGCTCAGTCTTTCTGATATTAAATGATCTCTACTATACAACAGGAAACCTTCAACTTGTTAAGCCTCTATTTCTTTTTTTTTAAAAGATTTTTTTTTTTAATTTTTAGAGAGAGGGAAAGAGAGGGAGAGAAACATCATTGTGTGGTTGCCTCTCATATGCCCCCTACTGGGGACCCGACCCATAATCCAGGCATGTGCCCTGACTGGGAATTGAACCAGTGATCCTTTGGTTAGCAGTCCAGCACTCAATCCACTGAGCCACACCAGCCAGAAAAACATCTATTTCATAACCATCTCCTCCAGGAACTTTCCCTGGTCTCTCTCTGCTTCTGCAGCTGCCTGCACTTCCCTCATGAAGGCATTTATACACCACTGTGGTTGATTCTCTATCTCCCCCAACTTTTCTGTGAGCTCCTTAAAGACACAGATGGTATTAGATTACTCTGTTTATGCAGGCATAGGGCCTAACACAGAGAAGCCATCAGGTGGTGGGGGTAAGTGTCTCAAGGGCTGAGTATGCCCATTTCCCCTCAGTCTTGCCAGCACTGCATATTATGCATGTGTTTCCATTTGTGTTTTTCCTTCGGTGACTTGGCTGTGAGGTCTTTGGCACTGTTTTCCCATCAGCTGGTGGTGTTTTTCTCATCTGACTGCCATTGGAGCACAGGTTTACTCATTCGGTGAGATGCCATGGGATCCAGAGCTGATGCAGACCTGCTACCGTGAGGCTGAGCGGAGCCAGGGCCACCTGGGGCAACTCGTGGCACCGTTCGGCTTCTCTGGAGTACGAAGTCTGGTGTTTGGGGCCCAGGATCTCTCACAGCAGGTGAGGGAGGGGGGGAGGCTGGGAGGTTGGGAGGCAAGGGCAGCAGCCTTCTCTGAGCAGGTGTCAGTGGCCTCCTGGGGACATCATGGTGACCGAGACAGACCTGGCCTTCTCTTGCTGGACTCCCAGTGTCATGTGGACATGAGCCCATGACCAGGCAGTGACCACATGTGGTGGGCAGGGCTGTGGTGGGGATGTACAAGGTACTGTGGGAGCCCAGAGGACACTCCTGATTCCCCTCAAGGGTTGGGGGTACTTTCAGGAAAAGAGGATTTCCAACATGGGGCAGCAGTGGGACAAATGGCGGTTGGGGCATGTCCTGGGCAGAAGGAACAGTGTGTACACATGCTGGGAAGTCAGAAAGCTTTTCTGCCTTTGGGGAAAATAAAGCAGTTTAGAGACATTGGGCTGTAGGTGTCACAGGAGAGCAGAACGGTGGGAGATGTGCCAGTGAGGTGGGTGGGTATATGGGTCAGGGCCCTCAGTATGGGGTTAAGAGGCTGGGCTCTGTCCTCTACCTCTAAAGGTCAATGACCTCTAAAGGTCAATGGGGAGGCATAGCAGGTGGTAAGCTGGGGAGGGATGTGACCAAATTCAAGGTTAGAAAGCCTCTCCTGCCATGGGGAGCAGGGGCTGTCAGGGACAGGAGTGGAGGAGGCCTGAGCTAGCTGGGTGCTGTTGGTGGAGAGAAGCAGGTGTGTTTTGAAGGCCAAGGAGTTGGCACCTGCTAATAGATGTGGCAAGTGAAAGGGGCAGGAGGCTGAAGTCTGGCCAGCTCTCTGCTCCCCAGACTGGGCACCCTGGCACCATCTTCCAGAGGGGAGGATGCTTTCTACCAGTTTGCACATAGGTCCCCTCTGACTGGATTATCCTTAGGTTCTGAGAGGAGGAGGTGCTACCAGTATTTCAGGAAACAAGAAGTTAAGGGAACAGGCTGGTAGGGACAGATGGGATGCTGAGAAGGTGGCAGCTGGGCAGGAACAAGGCCGATAAGGCCAGAGGGTGGATTCCCTGAGAGTCATCCTAGTTCCTTCTCCCACAGCTCATGGCTGATGCTGTGGCCACCTTCCTGCAGCTAGCTGACCAGTGTCTGACCACAGCCCTGGACTGCATCCAGGCTGCCCAGCAGCTGGAGAAAGTCAGGGGGCGTGTGCTAAAGGTGAGGCCCATGGGGGGAAGGCATGGACATGGGCCTGGGTGCCCAGATAGCCACTGGACTGGCCACTGTGTGTGTCATGCAGAAGTTCCAGTCGGACAGTAGCTCATTGCAGAGGAAGTTCGTCCACAGGTGGCAGATCTGCATCTTTTTGCCCTTTGTGCTGAGCCAGCTGGAGCCAAGCTGCAAAGCGGTGAGTGAATGGGGGGCCTGAAGGCAGGTCCTCCAGGGCAACCAAGCATCTATGTGTCTCTGTAAAGCGGACAGAGTGCTTGCTCTCTCACAGAACCACTGCAACAATTAGAGACTTTTGTTCCCTGAGCTCTGGGGCCCCACTGGGGTCCCACAATGTCATCTGCTTCTCCCATGACAGTGTTTAATAACTGCCACTTGAGAGCTAGGGTGAGGGCACAGGCATCACATACTAGCTGGTAACATAGCTTTCAGAAAAGGGAGGAGGCAGAGGGAGTACATGGGTGTGCGTGTGTGTGGCAAATGGTCACGGAGGCTCTCCCTGGGAAGCTGACACTTGACAGGCAGTGAGCTGAAGGCATGAATCATGTCCTGGGGAAGAGCATTACAGGCAGAGGGCACAGCATGTGTGAAGGCCCTGAGGAAGGCCTGTGCCTGGTGTGTTGGGGGAACAGTGAGGAGGCCAGTGTGGCTGGAGGTTGGTGAGCGAGGTGGTAGGAAAGAGATGTGAGGGGTCACAGGGGCCTGTCAACACAGGGCTTAAGGGCACCAGGCAGCGGTTGGCCTTAGGTGCTAACAGGCTTCTCTAGAGGAGGTGGCTGGGGGGTTCTAGAGGAGACACCTGTGCTCTTCTTGTGGAAGTGGGATGTGCTTTGTTGCATCAGTCTGCACAGAAACTGTGAGAATAGGGGTCAAGAAGTCCATTTTAAAGATGAATAAGTGAGGTTCAAGGCCACCTAGGTACTTACAGTCAGGACTGGAGCTGCACCCACAAAGCTGCTCACCCCTCCAGCCCAGCCCACACCCATCTGCATTCCAGGAGCTGTCTGAGTTTGAAGGGGAGGTTCTTGCTGTGGGCAGCCCCGCCCTGACCATCGAGAGCATCTATGAGGATGTCATTCAGGGGGCCCTGCTGCAGAGGATTGACAGAGGTGAGCCCACCCCCTATGGCTCAGGGGAGCCTGGTGACCCCTGACTGTGTATACTGAGCCCTACCATTGTCCCCATTGCCTTACTTCCTGTGAACACTAGCCTTTTTACTGAAGGTCCAGACAGGGACAGAGGTGGACAAGTCTAGAGGTACAGTGATGGAAGCTCCCTGAATGAGGGCATTGGAACGGGGCTCTCAGGGGGTGTGGGTCTTCTCAGAACTGAGAAACTGCAGATGGACATTCATGTGTAGCCTTTCAACAATCATTGCTTGTGTTTGTGCTGGCTGACACTGAGGCCCCAGGAATTCTTGGGCTTATGGTAGACCTCACAGCATCTCCTGCCCTGGGAAAAGGCTCCAGAATCATCTCTCCTCCCTCCTGCTTTGCCTGTTCACTCATGATGCAATGTCTGTGACCGTTGCCACGTGTGCATTAACTTGAGGCAGAGCAGTATGTGATGGCGATTCAGGGAATGTCACCACGTCCACGCGGCCAACACAGAGGAAGGAAAAGACAACAGGAGAGGAGGCTGGGGGATGCTGAAGTGGACATGCAGGGGCTCGAATGACAGGCAGAGTAGTTTAGACTTTTGGGGGCAGGCAATAGCAAGTCATGGAGGGCGTGTGAGTAGAGGGTGACAGTGGCTAGACTGAAAATGAGGGAGGAGGCTGAGGGCATGGTCCTGGGGACAAATGATGGGCCCAAACAGTGACAGCCACTGAGAGGATGGAGCCCAGTGATGAGGATGAGGCAGGAGCAGAGGTGCCAGAATTGCTGACCTGGGTGTCACCAAATATAAGGGAGGGTGCACAACGTGAGGGTGGAGGGCAGAGAAAGGGGAGGCATCCCAGAGAGCCTGTATTTGAAGGACAAGGAGAGGAAGAAGGGACATAGCCAGAGCAGTTTGAGAGGTGGCAGCAGGGCTCTGGCAGCCAGGAAGTGAGGGTGAGGATGTGGCTCCATTTGTGGGGAGCCACTTTAAATGGAAAAAGGCTATTCTCTGATTGGAAAAGAAAAATCCAGAAACAGATCACACCTCCATTTCCGGGGGTTTTCCATGTTCTCAAGGGTTTTATCCTCAATGAAGTTGTGACATCTGCTTGTAGTGCAGTGTTTTGAGGTGGAGCTGGTAGCATCTGAATCAGTGAAGACGCTGGGGATCAGCGAGCAGTGTCTGCCCTGGGCACAGGCATGGAGAGAGGCTCAGAGAGGCCACTTGTTCACAGTTCCTGCTTGAGCCATCTCCATCCTTTGCCCTCTTGTGGCTTCTGTGGGAGAATGCATAGAAGCCCTTTGATGTTACGGCTGCTCCAGGTGGGTCCAGGGGTCATCTGTTGTTTTAGAATTGAAAAAGGCCCTGGGTGCCAGCGATGTGTCCTGTGCTCTGGATGGCTGCTCAGAAGTCCCGTGGAACCAGGCGGAAGCAGGTGAGGACCTCACAGGTTCTTGGGCCATGCCAGTGAATTGCTGAGGGTAGGGAGGCCTTTATAGGGTGCATGGGATGGTTGAAAGTGTAAGTTCCTGCCCTGACCCATGTGGCTCAGTTGGTTGGGCATCTACCCACAAAACAAATGGTTGCCACTTTGATTCCCGATCAGGGCACAAGCCTGGGTTGAGGTTCTGTTGTTGGTTGGGGGCGTGCAAGAGGCAACCAATCAATGTTTCTCTCACACATCGAATTTCTCTTCTCCTGTTTCTCCCTCCCTTACCCTCCCTCTAAAAATAAATGAATACAATATTTTTAAAAAGTATAGGTTACTGGATGGAACAGCATCCACCTGTCCCTGATGTGGCTGGTTTGGCCAAGCTCACAGTAAACAAGGGCAGTGGGAGACAGAGAGGGACCGTCTAGGCCCAAGCTCTGACATGCACATGAGTTTGTGTCCCATCTCGTGTGGCCAAAACTCAGTGGGGCCTCTCCTAGCAGCTACTAGTCCCCAACACTGAAAGGAGAAATTGTGGTAATGGGACCCTTGGGTTCACCCTGAGCAAGGACTCTGCAAGACGAGAGCAGGGATTCTGGACTGGCTCTCAGCTCCCTTGGGAACTGCTGTGATGAGAGCCTTGCCCCCCCCCCAGCTAAATTGCTCCCATGTTCTTCACCCACAGAAACTCTAACATAATAGACGTGCATTGTTTTCAGCTGCTAATTTTGGGGGCCATTTGTTATGCAGCTATAACTAACTAATGCATATCTGGGACAGCTTCCCACAGTCAGTTGCTGCAGATAAATTGATGAATATTCACACACACTGGGATGAATAAAGATTAAGCAGTCGTACAAAGACTTCTGGGTGTCAGAATGTTTTTTGATTTGCAGCTGACAGTGAGAGTTTTTAGGTGAGCTCCCTAATATATTTAACCAGAATCCAAGTGATGATGGGTTTTGCTTCTAGTCGTTCCCTCTAACAGGTAATGTCACAGGGTATTACCTCAAACTTACTTTTCAGGTGAGTGCAGGTCTTTGTGGGTAAACCCCCAATGTGAGATCTCATGGTTCAGAGTACGCATGCTTGTCTTTCCAGTCGTGGTCTCCAGAGCTCTCTCCATCTGTGTGGTCCCACCTGGTTGCGTCCCCTCACCCACGTGCAGGTGGCCCATCTCCCCACAGGCTGCACAGGCTGTCAGATGACTCAGAATTTCTCATACCTTTTGGGTGGAAGATGGTGTCTTGGCTTCATTTTTATGAGCACATCTCCTTGGAGGTGAAGATAAGCATCTTTTCACATGTTCAGGAGCTGTCTTTAGCTCCTCTTGAAGCTCCATTCCTCTTTTTGGTTCACTGTGTTCTAGATGCTTATAAGTGAAGTTTTTATTTATAGTATCCCATTTACTGAGTATTTATTATGTGCCAAGTATTTGATGTGTCCAATTTTTTAGCATCCTTATGACACTTTCCATTTTACAGGTGAGGAAACTGAGGCTCAGAGAGGGACTTGCCCCAAGCAGCCAGGCACCTGCACTGAGGTCCAGCCACTCTACCCACTGCTGCCTCCAGGGACATTCTGGAGCTGAACCTGCCTACAGCCATCTTCATTACCGGTGGATAAATGTCTGCTAGTGGAATTTCTGAGTCATATGAATGATCTCAAGGCTTTTATAACCACCTCGCCTGCACCTCATTCCTTTTCTGAGAGGCTGTGCCTTTTATATTCCCACTAGCAGCATTTGTGTATATTCTCCATATCCTTTCCAAACATTAGGAATTTTCATTAAAGAAGAAAAGTCAGTTTCATAGCACACACATTTTACTTTTTTATTTTGAATTTCTTTGATGACTAAAATGAATCTAAAAATGTTTACTGGGCCTTTATATGTTTATGGATTTCTTTTTAAGTTGAATTGCCTGTTCGTGGTTTTACCTACTTTTTTCTTCAGGAGATTTTATCTTTTTCTTAACTGATCTTAGATAACTCTGTATTTTGTGTTATGTTACAGATATTCATCTCAGCTTGCTGTTGGCCTTTTGGGTTTGTTTACTTGCTCCAAATTTTAACTTGGTATCAAGTTTCTCAGGGCGAGAGAACTTTCATTGACTTCCCTCTGCTTGCCAGAAAAGTCATCTGTCCGCTTGAGGTTGGCAGTTTCCCCACATCACAAGCCTTCCAGCTGCTTCCGGAGCAGGTTCCTGAGGGATTTCCCCAATGTTCTTCTCAGTTCGGCTTTCCGAGGGGGACCTGCACACTCCATGGAGATGGTTTCCTCCCATTCTGTCCTGGAGTTTTGAGCCTTCCCCAAGAGAATAAGGTTTTCCTCACGTTTCTTGACTTGTCCCTCCACCACCATCTTCTGAGACACATTTGTGCTTCACAGCCCTGTCCAGCTGGCTTCTTTTTACTCAGGATGTAGATGTTACTCTGGAAAAATCGCAGCGACGAGAACTTGTCAGGCTGCCCACTGGGAGAAAAATCACTGTTTTCCCCAGGTTCAAAAATCCTTCCAGTCTCTTTTCAGTGTATCGGGACGGGATGCACTTGTCAACTTATTTTTCTTGCTTAATATGAAAGGTCTTTCATTGCCAGGTCCATAGAGTATCCCCCCCCCCCCGGCTTTTATTAAGGACAGTTTCAAACATGCCCCCAAAGCAGAGATCTCCACTGTGCCCCTATCAACAGTGACCAAGTGTGGCCCCATCCCTTGCCCTCCACTCAGAGCCAATCATGTAACCAGTAAAGACTGGGCTGCGTTTCTGAAATATTCAGCCAAAAACTTAATTAGTGCAGATAATTACTGTAGAAAGGTATCAGAAAACAGAAGTGAAGGAGGAAAAAGTAATTAGAGGAAGGGCATGGACAAGGGGAAGAGCATGGAGAGAAGGAGGGGTGAATTAGACAGGCTGGGAAATTTGGGGCTTTTCTGGTCAAGCTCAGTGCCCCATCTTGCTGTCATCCTTCAATGGACAGCCAGGACACACAGCCTGTGTCTTGAATTTTACTTAGCAATATTAACCCCCTGCTGTCCACACATTAATGAATACACATCTGAGCATCATTCTTTAAACTTAATTTTTAGGAAGGACCCCAACATGATCAATTAGAAAATACATTCGAGTATTGGAAAACAATCTCTTGGTAGCATTTTTATGGAAAAGCCCATCCTGCCTCCAGAGCATGTGGTCAGCACATTAAAACATCACTTGGCTTCTCTTCATGCCAGGTCTGCCGGATCTGTATGACCCCATTGTACAGGTGGACCTATTGAGGATCCCACAGTGAGCCTGGGGAGGGGGCTCTGGGACCATACCCTTAATACTCAACAACCCTTGAGGGCAATCTGGAGAGGTCGGGGACCCAGGACGGTAAAATTCACGTTGCAGCAAGGGAAACTGAGGCTCAGATCTTTCGGGTCCCAAACCAGATTCTAACTATCCAGGTCCTCCTAGTACAAGCCTGGGGCTTGTACAAATAAAAGTTAGGCGACATATCAGATGTGGGTCCCATGGGAGCAGTCGCGGGAGGCAGGGCAGATTCTGAACTCTGTGCCTTTAAATAGGGAGCCGGGCGAGGCTAGGAGCGCCTCGTTCCTTGAGGCTGTCCGGAGGCGGGGCCTGGGAGGCGGGGTCTGGAAGACCAGCCCTGTTGTCTGATTCAAGCCTCGCGCTCTCCTCCCCTTTAAGGCGCACGCCTGCCCCGGGGTTTCAACAGGCCCTTTAAGGCGCGGCCCACGTCCTCCGGCAGAAAAGAGACTTAAAGGCGACGCGTGGCGCGATGGCGGCGGCCCCACGCGCGTGCCGAGGGCGCGGGCGGCCGCTCCCAACGCTGCTGTTGTTGCTGTTGCTGGCACTGCCTCCTCCGGGGGGCCCGCCAGGCGCCTCTGCCTACTTCCCAGAGGAGCGTTGGAGCCCCGAGTCCCCGCTGCAGGCGCCGCGCGTGCTCATCGCCCTGCTGGCTCGCAACGCGGCCCACGCACTGCCAGCCACACTGGGTGCACTGGAACGGCTGCAGCACCCGCGGGAGCGCACGGCGCTGTGGTGAGTGCGGCGCCGCCGTCAGCGGCCGACCTGCCGCCGCCCAGTCGGCGGCTCCATGCCTTGTCCTCCTTGCAGTTCTGGCACCGGGCAGGGCGGACCAGACCTGCGAGTGCCTTCTGCTTGTCCCCATTGCGCGGGCCAGACCCACGCGTGCTCTGTTCCTACTCTTCTTCCTCCGCATGCCCCGCATAAGAATGGGCCAGACCCTCGCTTTGCCTGCTGTCTCCCCATTAGGGCAGATCCAGGACCACACCCAGGGCAGACTTTGCTGTCTAACCCTCTAAACTGTATTGAAGCACACACGCAAGCTCCAAGGAAGGGCAGCCTGGAGCCCCTACAAGGGCGTTGCCTGGGCCCGCAGTGTACTCCCGCTAACTGTATATTTTCCCACTGCTGCTGCTGTTCTGCCACTGAAATCAGCCTGATATAGGCCTTCTAACCAGAGTGGGTGTGTGGGGTATGGCCCCAGAGTAAGTGGATCCTTTCTGGACAGGGAATGGGACACAGCCACAAACAAACCTGACTGGTGACAACCTGCTTCCTGCCTCAGTGTCTGGAACAAGGGGTATTAATATAACTCTGGTTGGGTTTGTCTTTGAAGATTAACCAGTTAACAGGTGTGAAGTCCTGTGGCCCTGGCATCATGGCTTGGCATTCAGTGACCAGAGCTACTGTGATTGTTACTACCATCCTTGTTGTCAACTTAGTAGCAGTTCATTTGGGAAAATAGCTCTGGGCCCCATGGTCAAACTAGATTCCCAAATGTCCCTCTTCTCCACCCTAGGTTCCCTATCCTGAATAATTCAAACACACAGTTGGTGCTTAAGAAATGTTTATTGAACGAAGTAGTGAACGCAGCTCACTCTGAGGTGGTAGTGTTCATAGGAGAAATTAAAAAATGATGGGGTGGAACCAAGTGATGTAGTTTATTTTTATTAAATTACACTATTTAGCACCTAACCTTCTTATAAGATCCTAGATGCCTCAGTGTCTCATGTGTTTTTCTAAAATTAGCTTATTTAATATTCTCTGCAGCCTAGTGAAGTGTCCTCACCCCTGTGTTAAAGATTAAGAAACTGAGGCATGGAGAGGGGAAGCGCCTTGCCAGGCACTATGTAGCTGCTAGCAGGCTGAGCCAGGGTGCAGAGCCCAGGTGCCACACTGTTGCCCTGTCCTGCCCTGGGCTCCCCAACCTCAATGATTGCCCCCCCCCCCACCCACAGGGTGGCCACGGACCACAACTCAGACAACACATCAGCTGTACTGCGGGAGTGGTTGGTGGCCGTGAAGAGTTTGTACCATTCCGTGGAATGGAGGCCAGCAGAGGAGCCCAGGTGAGTGCTAGGTACTGCCCTGAGCCCTCCCAGTCCGACCCAGCTGCACCCCTGCTCACAACCCTCCATGGCTCTCCGCTGCCCTGTAACAGAACCCTAGTCCTTTAGCCCCTGACTCTCTGGCCCAACTCTGCAGCCTCACCTGACAGCTCTGGCTACTCTGGCTACTCTTACCCGCCCTCAGCTTCACAATGGGCCCTAATCCCTATCTCCCGCTCCTGCCCTAGCCCTTTGCCCCAGCCTTCTCCTACACCTCGAGTTCTTTCACCCCATGTCTTTGAGCGATGCCCACTGCTTCGTTCCCAGTCTCACCAGCAGCCCAACAACACCAGTTCTCCTGCTTAGCTTTCCCACAACTCCCTGGGCATTATGGACCCAGTTCCTTTCACTTTTTCAGGGTTTATTTCTGTACCCAATCACCATTCAGATCAGATTCTGAGTCTGGGAGGACAAGTTACAATTTTCTTTTGCTCTTTATTGTCTCCCAGTGCCCTGCCTGCCCCCCACCCCCAGCTTTCTTCCAGCCCTACAGATTGCCTAGACTTTCTCCCCTCTGGGCCTTAGTACTGGCCACGCCCCTTGCGGCTGCGGATACACCTCTCTCCTCCTGTTTTCTCCTTGTTTACTTTTTCCCAGCCTTCAGATCCGGCTTCCCCAGCCCTTCCAGGAAGCCCTTTCTGACCACCTCACAACCTGGGCCCTCTCTGGGCTCTAGCAGTGCCAGTGCTGTGCACGTCACAGCTGCTTCTCTGCAGGTCCTACCCCGATGAGGAGGGTCCCAAACACTGGTCCGACTCGCGCTACGAGCACATCATGAAGTTGCGCCAGGCAGCCCTGAAATCAGCCCGGGACATGTGGGCTGATTACATCTTGGTGAGTTTCCCAGCCCACAGATCACAGGGGTCAAAGTGGTGGGTGTGGAGACTATCCTTAACTCTGTTTTACAGATGGGGAAACTGAGGCACAAGAGGGGACTTGCCTTGTCAGAGGTGACCCAGCTAGTCAGTGGGAGGGGCTGGGATTTGACCTGGGGCGCTTGGGCTCCTATCAGATTGTGTCCCCAGCTGTCCTCTGTGGTTAGTTAGACACTTGGTTCATCTCCACTTTCATTATTGCCATCACTAGTGACACTAGATCTCCACAAACCCTCAGTGACACTCTCTGGGCCACTCCAAAAAGCAGAAGGATGGGTCAGGGCTCGGGAGACTTGGCGACGTTGAGCTGCTGAGGCCTGATTTTTACTTCCTCCTTCCGGGCCAGTGTTGCCCCCGGAAGGCGGGGACGTGGAGTGTTGAATGCTATAATGTTGGATAACTGCCCACAGGTCGTGGGCCTTCCTGTCCCCCTGACTTGGTGTGGTTCCCCACCCTGGTGCGGATGGGGAGGACATTGACGGCTGGGCTACTGGCGACCCTGAACGCAGTGATGCCAGCCTGGCAGTGCCTGTGGCTGGTTTCGTGTACTTGCCAGTCAATATACATTTATGAGCCCCTCTTAGTGCCCTCCTGCTTGCCCTGGGGACAGGCACAATGAAGATCTGCACAGGCAGAGCCCCACCTTGCTAGTGTCCTGGGAAAGGTGGATGTGACCAGAAAAACCAGACTGAGTAAGGAGACATCACCAGGCAGCGGAGCTGTGTCGAAGTTGTAGGAAGGCAGTTGGTGCTGTGTCAGGGTAGTGGGACTGCTGGGACAAAGTCCCACACACCGGGCTGGGGGTGGGGCGCTGTATTTTGGGAAGTGTGTTGTCTCTCAGTTCTGGAGGCTGAAAGTCTGGAATCCAGTTGTCAGCAGGGTTGTGCTCCCCCTCCAAAGCTCCAGGGGAGGATCCTTCCTGCCTCTTCCAGCTTCTGGTGGCTCCAGGTGTCCTTGGCTTGTGGCTACATCAGCCCAGTCTCCGCCTCTGTGGTCACATGGACGTCTCTCCTTGTGTGTCTCTTCTCTTCTTCTAGGGTCACCTGCCAGGACTGTGTTTCCAAATAAGGTCACAGTCACAGCCTCCAAGGTTAGCACTTCAACATCTAGCCTCCAACAGATGGCATAACCAGGGTGGGGTGGTGAGTGAGCAGGGTTGGGGGCCTTTCTTAGGAGGGGTCCCCAGAAGAGACCTGAAGGAGCAAAGGAGCCAGCCTCGGGGGAAGCCGGAGGACGGTATCTGGGGTGGAGGGAAGAGCAGGCAGCAAGCTTGCGGGTGGAAGGGCTGTGAGGAGGCCAGTGTGGCTGGAATGGTGTGAAGAGGGAGCGGTGGAGGGGTGATACTGAGATGGTGAGTGAGGGCCAGCCTCTGCAGGCTGAGGGAGAGATTGGCTTTTCCTCTGGCAGCACTGGGGAGCCACCAAGGGTATGTGAGCAGGGGAGGGCTGTGTTCTAATTTATGATTTTCAGAGTCTCTGTGGTGGCTGTGGGATCCTGGCCTTTCTTTCGGGGCAAGAAAGGGGACAGCAGGAGGCTGTGGGGAGGACTCTATGGGATAGGGCAGGGAGGTTCAGGCCCTGCTTAGGGACTGGATGTGAGGGTGCCAGAAGGACCCCAGTCGTCTGGCCTGAGCCCTTTAGGGAGGAGAGAGCCATCTGGGACAAGGAAGGCTCCTCCTGGGGCCTGCAGATTGATGCCTCCTCAGACCATTTTACAGATGGGCAAGTGGAGGCTCGGAGAGGGAGGTTTCAGCTTGCTGGGTGGCATCCGGGAACCAGTGGAGCGCACAGGTGGGACTCGGCCCTGCCTGGAACCATCCTGAACAGGGCCACCTCGTCTGTTTTGCTTTCATGGTTTGAGGTTGGCTAGTTTTCTCTATTTTTTCCTTCAGCAAACATGGGTAGAACGCCAGGCTTTGGTTCAAAACTCAAACCAGCTTTTGACACATACTATTTTTGAAATTGGGAACTTTGAAAATCCATATTGGCGTGTGGAGTCATTTGTCCAATGTTTTTAAAATTATTATCAAAAGGGCATCTTTTTCCCCCTTTTTACAAACACTATGGGTGTTACTTGTAAGAAAATATACAAGAAAAATAAGGAATTTAAGAAAGAAAAAACAAATAAACTTTGTAATCTTACCTCTCAGACTCACTTTCTGGCTTTTTTGTATGTTTTTTAATTGAGGTGCAATTTATCTAACATAAAATTAACCATTTTAAAGTGTGTAATTCAGTGGTTATTAGCACATTGGCAATGTTGTACAGCCATCATCTCTGTCTAGTTCTAGAACATTCCATCATCCCAAAAGGAGACCTCCGTCCCCATCAGCAGTCACTCCCCACCCCCCTCCTCACTAATCTGCTTTCTGTCTCTGGATCTACCTGTTCTGGACATTTCATATTAATGGAATAACACAACCTGTGGACTTAAAAAAAAAAGATTTTATTTATTTATTTTAGACAGAGGGGAAGAGAAGAAGAAAGAGAGGAAGAAAGAGAGGGAGAGAAACTTCAGTGTGTGGTTGCCTCTGACGCGCCCCCTACTGGGGACCTGGCCCACAACCCAGGCATGTGCCCTGACTGGGAATTGAACCAGTGACTCTTTGCTTTGCAGGCCGGTGCTCAATCCACTGAGCGGCACCAGCCAGGGTTAGATTTTTGTGTCTGGCCTTTCTCACTCAACATCATGTTTTCAGGTTCTTCCACGTTGTATTCATTCCTTTTCAGTGAGTAATATTTCATTGTGCAGTTGGACTACATTTTGTTTATCCACTCATCTGATGTTGGACACTTAGGCTGATTCCATCTTTTGGCTGTTATAAATCATGCTGATTTCAACATTTGAACACAGGTGTTCAAGTACCTGTTCAAGTCCCTGTTTCTAGTTCTCTTGATCTATACCCAGGGGTGGAATTGCTGGGTCACATGATAACTGTGTTTAATTTTTTGAGGACCTTCCAGACTATTCTGGCTGTTTTTACTGTACATATATATTCAGAGGTCACAGTTTAAATGTCCTCAAGGGGCTGGGTGGGGAACATACACAACCGCATGGCTTGTCCCCGGGGCAGCCACCTCCTGTCTGCACGGAGGCTTCCCAGGCGGGGATCCTGTTCCCATGGTGCCAGAGAAGCCTGGGATTCTAGTTTTTGCTGTCGTTTACCACAAGTGATTCAAATGGTCTAAAAACCGTGCATGGGTAACAGAAAGCATACCCGTGGACCAGAGGCATTTTTTGAAAACCCCCATCCTAATAGCTCTGTAACTTACTGTGGCCTGTGTATTTGCACATCCCAGGAGACAGGAATGTCCTCACCTAATTGTTTTCTGTGGCGTGGTCTTCAGTCGTGGCAGCAGAGTTTCTCTAGCTGGTTTGTTGAGGACTTCCTTCAGATGCCTCTAGACTCCTGGGTCGTTCGTTCCCGGCTCATGTGACAAACAGTGACTATCCCCGTGTGGCCTTTCTGGAAGGTGTTGGTGACACACGGCTTTGGGGGAACCAGCAGGCACCCCGCCCCCATGGTGATTCTGTTTGTGGTTTGGTGAATTTCATTCCAGGCTATTTTCTTTGCTTGCAACAAGCAAGTTACCATCTTTTTATCCCAACATTTAAGGTGTTAAAATAAAGTTCTTATTTTTATGAACTTTAAAAAAAATCCTTATTGGAGGATACGTTTTATTGGCTTTTGGAGAGAGAGAAACATCGATGTGAGAGAGACATCAGTCATTTGCCTCCCATATGTGCCCCCACCGGGAATTGAACCCACAACCTTTCGATGAATGGAATGACGCTCCAGCAAACTGAGCCACCCAGCCAAGGCTTATATGAACTTTTTCTTGTCATCTGACTCACAGAGAAAAAAGTGTGTTCCTCACAGAGGTGGCCTCTGGCCCTAACTGCCCTCACTGACCAGCGCTGCCTCTTGTAAAAGTTCCTGCTAATGGGGCCACGTGGCACACCCACTGTCATGTCTGGTATGTCAGCAGCACCGTGTCTGGGACCCATTAGTGTGTCCCAGACACACTAAATACGTGCTGCTGTGTGGTCCATTCCCGCTCCTTCCTTAGTAGTCTGTTTCATCTTAGTAGTCTGTTACTTGTGAATGTAACGTGGCTCGTTGCCGAGGACAGAGCCGTGGGCTGAGGCGGTGGGTGGCTTCCAGGGTCACGTGTGCCATTCCAGGCTCTCTGGACCTCCAGGACTCTGCCTCTGCCCGATCATCCGAGCTGTGGCCCAGCCTCGGTCCCTCGGCGGCTCGCACTGATGTCGTGTGTGTTGGGTGTTTTGTAGTTTGTGGACTCAGACAACCTGATCCTGAACCCGGACATGCTGACTCTGCTGATCGCTGAGAACAAGACAGTGGTAGCGCCCATGCTGGATTCCCGAGCCGCCTACTCCAATTTCTGGTGTGGGATGACTTCTCAGGTCAGGGGGCTGCCTGGGTAGTGTGGGGGCTTAGGGGTGGTGGGGGCTGGGCCAAGCAAGTGGGAGCCTAACTTAGCATCACACCACCCAGTGGCCAGTGTTTCACAACACCGTTGAACCGCCCCACAGCAGGGTCCGTGACTTTGACCTTTCCCCACCTCTTCCCAGTAGTGAGGCAGAAACAGAAGTACGGAGCGAGGAGGCGGCTTGCCTAACCTCACACAGCTAGGAAGTGGCGGTGCCAGGATGGGACTTCAGGCACAGCTTGATTCAGATGTTCAAACAGCATTCCAGTTTTCTTCCCTGGGTGGCTTCTCTTCCAGCTCCTGGGGAGCGATCCCAGCTGCATCCATCTGAAGTCCTCTCTGATTCGGCCTTGTCCAGTCTCTCTCCTCTTACCCCAAACCAGTTACGGGAGCCAGGAACATTCCAGGCTCTGGTAGGCCAGGCCTGTGTCACACCTTCCACCCCAGGGTAGAGGCTGAGGCGGCAGGCAAAGCCAGGGGGAGTAAAGGGGAGGGTGCCGGGGTTGGGGCTGTGCCGGGGGGAGGGGGCTGGGTGGCTGGAGCCAGGAGGCTGACCCGTCCTGTCTCCTCCTGTGTTCTGTTTTTAACTGACATGCAATTCAGAAGACATCAATCTCACCCTTTCAAAGTGAGTAATTCAGTGGTTTCTATTTTTAAAGTGTCTCATAGAAATGTAAATGTTATGTGTCAACAATTCCAGCTTGTAAAGGGTCTGAGGAAGAGAGGCCAATTCAGGATTGTTCCAGAAGCTTTTAAAACTTATCTTTCAAATTGAATTGATGTTCAGTTTTTATGTAAATCAAAGGATGTCAAATTTTTCAGATTTTTTCAGTCCCCTTTTCAGATTTTCTTAAAACTATCTTTGCACATCTTTATTCTTGTCTCCAGGAACATAAATACATGTCAGATTTATTTCATATGAAAGCTGAATCATATTATATACTTTAATTTACAGTCTGATTTTTCATGGAACAGCCCACGTGTGCATCCTGTCAGAACATGGATGCAGTGCAAACACGTTCTTTCACGTAGTCACCAGCGCTTTGCCGCTCTTCCCCCAACAGGCATTACACTGGGTGTACATCCCTAATGCCAGTGCTGGACATACACATTTTGTTTCTATGGGGTAAATCTCAAAGTGGCTTTCTCTGGGCACAAGTCATAGTACTTTATAGTTTGGGGGGTGGGTATTAACTTAGTTTTTTATCCTCATCTGAGGACATTTTTTTTTCCCACTGCTTTCAGGGAGAGAGGGGGAGGGAGAAACACCTGTGAGAGAGAAGCATCGATTGGTCGCCTCCCACATGTGCCCACACTGGGGGTTGTAACACCTGGACCCAGGTGGGGGACTGACTGCATCTTAGGGATGTGCCCTGACTGGGAATCACACCCACAACCCACAGGATGATGCTCCATCCTACTGAGCCACACCGGCCAGGGCCACAGTACTTTAGTTTTAATAAATTTTGCCATATTAAATCCCCAAAACTGTAGAAATAAGCATTCTACCAACCTTGGGTGTTATTTTTTTTAATCCTCACCCAAGGATATGCTTAATTTTTAGATAGAGAGGAAGGGAGAGAGAGAGAAACACTGATGGCTGCCTCCCATGCACTCCCTGACAGGGCATCGACCATGCAGCCTTTCAGTGTACGGGACGCTGTTCCAATCAGCTGAGCCACCCAGCCAGGGCTGGGTTTGGTGTTTTTGGGGTTTTTTTTTGGTGTTGTTGGCCAGTTTAATGTTAAAACCTTTCTCAGCTTTTTAATTTTCTCCTTCAAATGCTGCCTTTATGATCTGAAATGGGGGGCCCAGTCTGCAAGTAGACAGCTATTTTCTTTTTATCAGCCATTGTCCTGTCAGCTGAGGCACAGGGGTGGAGACTGTCACCGGTCACGCCCATAGCACTGCGCTCAGGGAATGAATGCCCTCCACAGCCAGGAGTTGGCACCTGGGCTCCATGCCTCCCAGTGTCCTGGGCCTCCAGCTTCTCCCTGAGGGACCCCCATGCAGAGCTCTGCCCCTTCCCCACAGGGCTACTACAAGCGCACACCTGCCTACATCCCCATTCGAAAGCGGGACCGCCGGGGCTGTTTTGCAGTTCCCATGGTGCACTCGACCTTCCTGATCGACTTGCGGAAGGCAGCGTCCAGGAACTTGGCATTCTATCCTCCACACAGCGACTATACCTGGTCTTTTGATGACATCATCGTTTTTGCCTTCTCCTGCAAGCAGGCAGGTGAGTCCTCGGGCGTTTGCTGTCACAGAGGCGTCATCTGGCCAATTCTCTGGAATCTGTGCTGAACAAGATCAAACAGAGTCCACAGAAAATTCACAGGACCAAAACTGCAGGGTGTAGGTGTGGCTTTAGGTACGGCTGTATCCAGGTGGTGTTCAGATGATGGCCCCAATACCCATTTGTTTTCCAGCCCTGGTCTTGCTGGATGTCTTCGCACCCTAGGACTCCTAATTTTCTGTAGTTGAACATAACTGTTCCCTAATTGCATACTTAGTGAAAAATGTTCTGAAGAGAAAGAACACAGCCATATACTGACCCATCATTACTTTAAATCAGGATTTGGCAAACTGTGGTCAGCAGGGAAGGGGGGGAGAAAGAGAGGGAGAGAAACATCAACGTATGGTTGCCTTTTGCTCCCAAGTGGGGACCTGGCCTGCAACCCAGGCATGTGCACTGACTGGTAATTGAACTGGTGACCCTTTAGTTCACGGGCTGGTACCCAACCCACTGAGCCACACCAGCCAGGGCAGAATGGGTTTTTTAGTTTGTTTGTTTGTTTGTTTTAATTTATTTACTGATTTCAGAGAGAGAGGAAAGGAGAGATAAAGAAATATCAATTTGTTGTTCTACTTATTTACGCATTCTTGTATGTGCCCTGATCACAGATTGAACTCGTATCCTTGGTGTATCAGGATAGTGCTCTAACTAACTGAGCTACCCAGACGGGGCTGGTTTTTATATGTTTTAAATGGTTGGGGGGAAAATGAAAAGAAAAATATTTTGTGACATCTGAAAATTATATGAAATTCAAATTTCAGGGCCTGTATGGAAAGTTTCTTTGGTTCACGCCACACCCACTTATTTAAGTGTTGTCTGTGGCTGTGTTCATGTCCCAAGGGTGGAATCGAGTTGTGGAGACAGAAACTGTTGGGCCAGCAGCCTACAGTATTTATACTGTCGGGCCTGTTATGGAACAAGTTAGCCAGTTAAAGTAAAAGTTATTTCCATTGAGTTATTAACTTTTTAAAAAAGATGCACACTCAATATAAAAATTTAAACCATCCAGAAAAGGACAAAAGCAGATGGAGACAACGTTCCTAACCTTTCACCCAATCGCTCCCCTTTTTGTGCAGAAATACGCACCTTCCCTGTTCCCCTGCTGCTTTGCGGTCCACTTCAGCATGGGACCCTGTGGGGGCCGTGTTCGTGGTGGCACACGGTGCTTGTTAACAGTTCTGTCGATAGTCGATGTCTTGCCTGCCAGTGAGAGCCCCTGTCTGGCTTCAAGTCCTGGATAGAAGTCTGAGGGCTTTCTGCTGGTTGCTGGGAACAGTGGGTGGGACTCTTTTCCTTTCTGGCCTCACAGCTGGGCTGTGGGGCTGATGCTGTAGTCAGAGGTGGCCACTGTCATCTTGTTGCTTAGTTTTCAATTTTGATGTGTATTCCTTGACTCCAGAGGTCCAGATGTATGTGTGCAACAAGGAGGTGTATGGCTTTCTGCCAGTGCCACTGCGGTCGCATAGTACCCTCCAGGACGAGGCTGAGAGCTTCATGCATGTGGAGCTGGAGGTTATGGGTGAGTCTGCCCACACTGCCCTTTCTCTGTCATCTCATGTCCATCTCCTGAACACTGATTGAGCACATGCTGGGTGCTTGTCCCTTTACTGGGCATTGGGAACCCAGCGTGAACAAAGTGAACAGTTGTCCTTCCCTCTCAGGGAGGGCTGGCTTGTAGCAGCTATGCATGGCAGTCAGGGTGGTCTTCCTGGAGGAGCTGGCACTAAGATGCATGGTGGGTGGGAGTTAGCCAGAAGGGGATTGCAGCCAGAGGGAGCATTATATGCTAAGACCGGGAGGCTGAAGGGGATGTGAGCTCAGGGAACAGAACAGGTCATTGGGACAGAGTTGGCAGGGCCAGGGTAGCAGCCTTAAACACTGGTGTTTTCCTCAGGAGCAGTTGGGAGCCATGGGAGATGTGGGAGCAGGGAGAACAATAGCTTTTCATTGGTGAACCTTATGTGCATGGCAGTGTCTGGGCCACAGCCTTTTTGGGCCATTTCCAAACCTCAGACCTATTAAATATTTACTGTTTATCTTATATGCACCCTTTGGTGTTACTTGAATACACTTAAGTAAAAAAGGAAATTACATATTTCAACCACAGTTGCAAGCTCACGTCTTTCTAATAGATAAACAAATAAATCCATAAATTCTTAACTAGCAGCCATGTCTCTGGTGGGCCCCTGCGATGAGTTGAGCACATAGGGCTGAGCTGCCATCAAGATTGCTTGAGGAGGGGCATCCTGACAGGGGTGGGGGTGTCTCTGGAGCAAGAGGATGGTGGTATAGTGCCTGCTTCCGTGGAGGCTTTGCTCTTCGCTGGTCACACATGTCTCTGAAACGGCCTGGCAGGCAGCACAGCCATTACCCCAGTGTACAGATGCGGTGGGGCCAGGCTGCTGGTGTCAGCTGCCCTGATCTTCTCTGCTCTAAAACGGTCTCTCTCAGAGACTGTGTGTGTGCGCGCGTGCATGCGCACATGCACACCCTCCTGGTGGCTGAAGATGGAATGGCACACTCCTTCTTTGGGGGAAGGGACTTTGATCTTCTGAGGTGACACCTGGAGGCTGCAAGATCACCAGGGTGGAGACCGTGCAACACCCAAGTGCCTGTCACGTGCAGATGCTCAGGCCTAGGTCAGGAGCCCCGCTGGGCCACAGTCATGAGAAGCAGGTCTGTGCGTGTCACCAACTCTCATCTGCTTCTGGACCCCAATAGGCATTTCTGTGGCTGCCATAGTTTTCTTCATTTAAATTTTCACATGGATGTCTGTTATTGCTTCTGGTGAAGAAACCATTCACATGACAGAGGCGTGGATACTTCCTGTTCCTCTCTTGAGGGCCAGAGCTGAGCACACAGAACCGATGGAAGCAGGGTCCAGGGGTTTCAGATGTTTGTGTGAATCCTTCCTTCTGCCCAAGTGAAAACCACATTTCTTTCTATCTGCATGTGGGTATCTGGACCTGGGCTGTACACGTGATTTTTCATGTGTTCAAGCATCTTCCAATGAGATTTCAGACTTGCAGAAGAGCTCAGGGTGAAAGATCCCACCTCCCCACAGGCAGGCACTGTCACCATCATACCCCACCCCCTCGGTGTGTGTGTGGGGGGCAGAGGCTCAGAAAGAGAAGGCAAGGGGCCCCTGGGATGTGAGCCCATGTCCTCAGACCCCGGAGTCTTGGCGTTGATCTCGGCTTGCTCACGGAGGTTGTGGTGGCCGGGGGCCAAAGGGTTCTGGGTGGGAGGCAGCCCTGGGACGTGGTGGCCTTGGAGGAGGTCAAGCTGTGAGGTGGGAGGTGCTGGGCCAGCGCAGCCTTCCCACAGTGCTCAGACAGAAGGACCTGTGTCCGTTCCTTGGGCTCACACGGGGCCTTTGTTCTCGGCGAGGCACGCACCACACTGCCCATTGCGCTGGGCTTTTCTGGGCTAGCCTGCTGGGCAGGCAGGGACCTCTATAGGCTCCTGTCTACATGAGGGTCCAATCCTTCTGCGGGAGCTGTGAGGGACGTGCCAGAGGCTCTGGGGATGTGGTCTGACCATTGCTCACAGCAGCTGAAAGGGGAACAGCCGTGACTACTCTGAAATTCTGGGCAAACCCTGGCATGTAGATGTGTCGCTCAGTCAGACGGCCATCTTCCCCCGTGTGTCTTCCTTCTCTGCCCAAATTTTCATTCTCATTGGGACCCTAGTCATAGTGATCAGGGCCACTCTGATGACCTCACTCTACCTTTATCACCTCTGTAAAGACCCTATTTCCAAATAAGGTCACATTCTGAGGTCCAGGGGGTTCGGACACCATCATAACTTTTTGTGGGACGACACCATTCAACCCATACATGTGTAACTTCACGACACCTTTTTACGGGTAACCTTCTGAGGGTTATTAGCCCATTTTATAGATAAGGAATCTGAGGCCCAAATAGGTCAAGGTCACACAGGTTGTCATCAATCTTGGTTCATTCTATGAGCACATGCTGTATGCTGAGCCCTGTGTTGGGCACTGGGGACCCAATGTGAGTGGACAGACCTGGTGTCCATTCCACAGAGCTCGCAGGAGATGGAGTGAGGATCGCCGGACTGAGGTTTGATGGTGGAATCCTGGGCGCTGCGGGGGTGGGAAGGAGGTAGCTGACTCAGCCTGAGGATGTTGGGACACACTCCCCTCACGGGACCAAAATGGCACACTAGAAGGGAGTGTGCCATTCCATCTTCAGCCACCCGGGGGAGACACACACACACCCCACCCCACCCCCCACCCGGGGTTGGGGAGGAGGGAGGAAGGGTGTCCCAGGATTCTGAGGTAGGAAGGGGTGTGTTTGGTGTGCTAACAGTCAGAGTGAGTAGGAGATGGGGGAGAGAGTAGCAACGGTGTTATGGGTGGGGGCAGGTCAGGCAGATTCCCCAACCCCAGGCTGAGGGGCTCAGGGTGATGGGGAGCCATGTTGGGGATGGGGAGGGACAGTGGAAAGAGGCTGGAGTGCCCCCTGCCCCATGACACCAGCAACACCTTGGTTTCTTTCTGCCCTGCAGTGAAGCACTCCCCAGCAGAGCCCTCCCAGTTTGTCTCGGTGCCTCCCAGGATGCCTGACAAGATGGGCTTTGATGAGGTGGGCTGGGCCTTCTGGGGTGGGGAGGGAGGGAGGGGACTTAGGGCTGGAGGGTTCACAGAGGCCCCGTGCCACAGGTCTTCATGATCAACCTGAAGCGGCGGCAGGACCGACGGGAGCGCATGGTGCGGGCACTGCAGGTTCAGGAGATCGAGTTCCGGCTACTCGAGGCTGTGGATGGCAAGTGCGTCCAACCCTGGGAGCAGGGGTGTGGACCATGCACTGGGGGCCATAGTGCAGGGGAAGGGAGTCCCACCCTAGGAGGGTGCCTGGCAGAGCCGCACGGGGTAGACCACCGCCTGCAGGCCTGGCCATGGGTCCAGGAAGGGCACCAGTAGTTGAAGAGGGAAGCAGCTGCTCAGCAGGAGGGGACCCTCGTGGTGGAGTGGCAGGCAGGGGCGGGTTTTCCACTGACCCCTTCCTGTCCCCACTTCCAGAGCCATGAACACTAGCCAGGTGGAGGCACTGGGCATCCAGATGCTGCCTGGCTACCAGGACCCCTACCACGGGCGACCGCTCACCAAGGGAGAGTTGGGCTGCTTCCTCAGCCACTATAACATCTGGAAGGAGGTGGGTCCAGCAGGGTAGGGGTCTGGCGAGGTGGGTAAGCCAGGGCCCTCCTCAGCTTTCCCACAGCTCAGGGAGGGCATTGGGTGTACCCCAGGCAGATTCCAGAGCTGCAGCAGGGTCCAGGGCCTCTCTGGCGAATGTCCTCTCACTGCGCACATGTGTAGCCTGGGGAGGGGGAGGGGTGGGCTTGGTGTCCAAAACAGGTGGGGTCTGGGGCCAAGTCAGGCCTCTTCACACCCAGCTGCTTTCAAATGTCTGGATCCTGGACTGTGGTTGTGACATGTACTAATAGAAGCAACAGCCGTGGTGACTTTAACTATTGTGGAGCCCTTGCCAGGTGTAGCGCGTTAACCCTGGGGCTCATCAGCCGCACAGAGAGAGAGAGGCTGTGATGAGGGAGGGTACAGGGCTGGAACCTGGTGCTGCCAGGCATGAGGCAAGAGGGGTGTCCGGCTGCAGAGTGGGAGGGTCCTCTGGAGGGGCTGTCCAGGTGTTTGAGGTGATGGGTGCTCTCTTGGGTTGCCCTCCTTTCCTGAGATGAATCTCAGGAGGGCATTCGCCGTGGATGGCATGGGGCAGAGGTTATAGTGTCCAAGCAGCTCTGGAGCTAGGGGACATCCGAGTTCAAGTCCAACCCTGCCTCTTAGAGGGGTGAGCTCTGTGAGCAGGATGGTGCTTTCCAGCCGGAGCTTCGGTTTCCCCAGTCATGGCCTCAGGGGGCAGCCATAAAGATTCTCAAGTTCATTCATTCATGGAACATTTGCCAAGTGCCTACTGTGCACCTGGCCTGGTGCTGGTGCCAGGGACAGCGTAGCTGTGGGACACACCAAGCCCCCTGCAGGGGGCTGACAGCTGCAGGAAGTGGGAGGACTGATGATAAACCACAAAGAAATCAGAGTGAAATAAGTAAGATACATACAGAGAAGGGGCCTCGGGGCATGAATTGTCCTCAGCTGGCAGCCTTTGGTGGTGGTTGGGGAGGGCCTCCCAGTGGGCGACATCAGAGTGGAAGCCTAGGGGGCTTCCAGAGAGAGTCTGCCTGCCGCTGCAGGCAGAGGGTGCTGTGTGTCAGCCTAGGCCCAGGCTCTGGAGTGGGAAGGAGCAGCCAGGCAGGGAGTCTGTTGTTGAATGTTTGAGGAGGTGGTGTCGGGGTGGGGGGGTCAGTCCAGACAGTGGTGCAGGAGGGGTGCTTTGTGTCTCTCCTGCCACCCCAGAGCCTTTAAGCTGAGCTGGCTTGAGGGTCAGGCCCGGCCTTGGTCTCCTTCAGGTTGTGGACAGGGGGCTGCAGAAATCGCTTGTCTTCGAGGACGACCTGCGCTTCGAAATCTTCTTCAAGAGGCGCCTGATGAACCTCATGCGGGATGTGGAGAGGGAGGATCTGGACTGGGACCTCATGTGAGTCTGGGGTCTGGGGGTGGGGCCGTGTCTGAGGGCATGACTTGGGGCAGGTGCAGACCTGGGGAATGGCCAGGGCCCAGGGGTAAAGTTTGGAGTGGGGTTTAGCTGGGGATTAGGAGTTAGGCCAGAGCTCAGAGGCATGGTCTGGAGTAGGGTAGAGCTGGAGCCTAGGGGAGCAGCTAGACTCAAAAGATACAGTTTGGGACAACTCTTGGGTGTGTGGCAGGAGGAGTAACTACTCTGTGTATGTATGTGGCCTGTGTGAGGGGTGGGCCTTAGAGTAGTAAGGGCTTGGGGTGCGGCCTCCGGCCTGTGGGGTAGGACCTTCGCAGGATGACCTGAAAGCCTAGGGATCTGGCTATGGGGGTGGGGGTTCATCAAGGCTTGGAGACTTAAAGGGTCTTGTGGGGTTGGGGTGTGGCTAAGAATTGCCCAGGAAACCTGTGAGCTCTCTGAGGAGCTGGGGTGTGGCCTGAGGTGCATGTGGTCAGGACTTGTAGCCCTGAGCTGGCCTAGTGTGGGGAGTAGCCCGGGAGCCTGAGTCTTAACCCAGCACGAGGTCAGGTATGGCCAGCATATTTCTGGAACAGTCCTTTGGGACCTCATATAGGAGGGTTGGTTCCTCCTCCCTCCGTCCCCCTGTCTCCTGTGGTGTGCAGGGCCCTGATCCAGGTTCTAGGTCCCAGACTCTGGACCACGCTGTTAATAAGAATGGTAACTGCACCCCTTCATTCCTGACCGCACACTACATCCTTGCCCCTCACTTCGCAGCCGCACAACCCTCTGAACCCAGACCAGTATTCCTGTCAGACCCGCTCTTCTTCCTTGTGGCACAGCCTTGGAGAACATCCCGGAGATCCCATTTCCCCCAGTTCCAGAGCCTTCTGTGGCTCCCTGGTGCCCTTAGAAAAAGTCCAGTCACATGGGCCTCCTTATTGTGCCCTAAACATGCTAAGCCCGCTCCCACCCCAGGGCCTGACAGGGGCCCCTAGATCCCTGCCTTGCTGGGTTAGTGCTCACTGGTGGGCAGAAGGAGGGTGACAGGCTTTCAATTCTGTACCCCAGCTATGTGGGCCGGAAGCGGATGCAGGTGGAGCACCCCGAGAAGGCTGTGCCCCGCGTGAGGAACCTGGTGGAGGCCGACTACTCCTATTGGACACTGGCCTACGTGATCTCCCTGCAAGGCGCCCGCAAGCTGCTGGCCGCCCGGCCACTCTCCAAGATGCTGCCCGTTGACGAGTTCCTGCCAGTCATGTTCGACAAGCACCCAGTGTGAGAGGGGCTGCTGTGGGTAGGCGGGCTGGGGTCTCGCCACCTTGTAGCTGTCCTGGAGGGGTGGGGCTGTCAGACCCCTAGGAGGGTGCATTTTCCTCATCCACTTCCTTCGTGTCTTTCCTCCACCTCTGGCTCCATTTGAATCCCTGCTTCTGTCTCGGTTTGTCCCCTCCCACTCCTCCTTCCATTTGTCCCTTCCCCTGACCCACAGCTGCCCTACTCTCCCTTCCCCCAGGTCCGAGTACAAGGCCCACTTCTCCCCCCGCAACCTGCGAGCCTTCTCTGTGGAGCCTCTGCTCGTGTATCCCACACACTACACGGGGGACGATGGGTACGTGAGCGACACAGAGACCTCGGTCGTGTGGAACAACGAGCACGTCAAGACTGACTGGGACCGTGCCAAATCGCAGAAGATGAGGGAGCAGCAGGCACTGAGTCGAGAGGCCAAAAACTCAGATGTACTGCAGTCCCCGCTGGACAGCGCTGCCCGGGATGAGCTCTGAGGGGCAGCTGCTAACGCACCGGAGCAGCCTCCAGTTGCTCGCTGGAGACAGCAGGGCCCCCGAGGACCCCTGGCAGGCCACAGAGCACTCTCCATGCAGGGTGGTGTCCAGCCAGCTCTTGCTCAGCAATCACGTGCACGCAGGCAGCATTAATGGAGTGCCTACTGTATGCCAAGAATAGTGTTTGGCCCTGAGAGAGTGGGTGGGAACAGGCCAGCACGCATCTCTCCATGTGCCTGACATTTCTAAAGCACTGGCTGCGTACCAGGCCTGCGAGTGACGGCAGTGAATGGGGCACAGTTGTTTCCTCAGTGATGATGCAGTCATCAGGCATTTATTGATTCCCCCCAAATTGGGCACTAGTGATACACATTCATTTTTAAAAATTAAGTATTTATTGAGTGCCTACTGTATGTTGGGCACCATTTCAGGCTCTGGGAATATTGAGATAAACAAGACACTTTCTTTTATTCAAACACATATCAAGCACTGATTAGCCTGGTACTTGTCACACAAAAATTCTCATTGACTCAGTGCTTTGGTTGAATGTCTGCTGTGTGCCGGGAGCTGAGCTTAGTGCTAGGGATGGAGCTACATGAGGCGTTTTTCACTCTTAAATTGGTTTCTTCCCCACACATCTGGAGGGCACCTACTGTGCACCAGGCATCAGTGATACAAAACAGTACGATAGTTGTTTGGACAGCATTTGGTCACCCACATGTGTGCTGGGCCACTAATGAACAGAAGAATCCTTTCCTTTCTTCATGCATTAGGCATTTATTGAGTGCCTACTCTGTACCAGACCTTGTGGACTCCCAGTGGGGTTAGAGAATGGTTGAGTTGAAGTCCTTATTCATTCCCTAGTCACCTGAGCTGTGTGCACACCACTCCCTAGCAGGGAGCGTGGCTGTCCTCTCACCAGGGGCTGCTGCTGGTCCCGGTAACCACACAGCCCCCCTGGAGGGGGCGGGGGTGAAGATGGGGGCTGGGTCTCCGCTGCCCACCCCAGCTCCTGTTCGCTTGACCTCCCAGGCCTGCATCTCAGGTGTAGTCTGCCTGCTCGGTGGCATTCCTCTCTCCGAGCCTTTGGCGGGCTCAGCTGCACTGAGGTGCTGCCCGCAGCTTGGGCAGGATGCGCCCCGGCCCAGGCTGGAGGACTTGCAGTGCCTTCAGGCAGCAACGAATGTCAGAGCTGGCCAGCAGTGCTTGACCCTCTTAGGGATGGATACTGCTTGCTGGGTCGGATCCTGGATAACTTGCTTATTTTTTTATTAAATGTTCCTGGTTGGTTTTCACATAAGTGTGTTCTCTTCTTGGCCCAATGCCCTGCTCACTGCCAACACATTGCAGCCCCGTCCTTGTTGCTGGCCAAGGTGTGGGAGGGAACCAGGTGCTGGAGAGAAGCTGAGGGTGGGGGTGAGTGTGGGTGAGGGGGCAGTGAGGGCCCTCTAGCCCAGCCTGTCCCATAAAAACATCGCCAAAATAGTCCAGGGACAGATGGCCAAGTTTGCTGTATCCTGTGGGGTCAACTGCAGGAATATTTGAGGTGACAGAATTCAGAGGGGGCCTTTCATGGTTTCAAGTCCCCAGAAAACAGACCCTCTGGTGAGGATTTGTATCCAAGTGGTCACCCCCAGAAGCCCAGATGGAGGCGGAGACCTGAGACCAGGAAGAAGGAGCTGCAGGGGAACCAACAAGCAGTTGGGCACCTGGGGGCCTCAGGGTGACAGCCTGGAGCAACACCTCAGGGATCCCATCCCAGGGATTTGGATTTTCTGTGTCAAATACTTAAGGGTTCTCAAGATTCGTAAGCCCTGAGAGTGTGGGCGTATGCTTGAGGTATTTACACAATAACACTGTGTGTGATCCTTGTGGAAAACAGGACATATGGCTAAGCAAACTAAAAAAGCAAAATTAAGTCACATGTCCTCAAAGACAACTAATATTTTAGTAAAAAGTCTTGCACACTTGCACGGAGCATATCTGTACATGTTTTTCAGAAGAGAATCATGTGCCCTGGCCAGTGTGGCTCAGTGGATGGAGCTGCATCCCGTAACCCAACGGTTGTGGGTTGGATTCCCAGGGCACATTCCCAGGTTGTGGGTTCATCCCTGGTCCAGGTGTGAGTGTGTGTGACCCACCCTGGTCTGGACACACATAATCCCCGGCATGGATCCCTGGCTGGGTACATAGGAAGTCAACCAATCAGTGCTCTCTCTTATCAAGGTTTCTCTTCCTTCCTCCACCCTTTCGTCTCTCCTTCCCTTTCTCCCTCCCTCTCTCCCTTTCTGTATCTAAAAAAGCAAAGGAAAATGTCCTTGGGTGAGGATAAAAAAAAAGAACATCATGTTACATAAACCCTGCTGCAACCTGCTTTCTTCTCCCTATATAACACATTTTTATTTCATAAGCATGGGATCACTTTTCTTTTAAAATGTAACGACATGTTGTGGACCTTCTAAACCATGCAGATGTCTACCAGTTCCCTTTGGGTTGTAACATACACTCTTCCGTGGTGGAGTGGACCGCCATTTTTCAGACCTTCGTGGTTGTGGTTGGAGAACATCACAGCCCGCAGTGAACAGTGACACGTGATACACTTTTGCTCCTGGAGCTTTTATTTCAGTTGGGTAAATCAGTAACAGTAGAGGCCACCATAGTTACTTTTCTTGTTAACTCCTCCCCCTTCATCCAGGGTGGATGATCCGAGATTAGTAACCACTTCCCTCTTATGGGACCTGGGAGTTGCTTCTCACGTATTACAGTTACATGACGTGCTTCCAGGTCTTATTTTAACCCAGTGGATTTCAACTGGGGGTGATTTGTTCCCTCAGCAAGATTGGGCGATGTCTGGAGATGTTCCTGGTAATCATGATTTGGGGTGGGTACTGTTCTTATTGAGTGGAGTTAGGACACAGCTAAGCACCCTACAGGGCAGAGTGGCCCCGTAACAAAGGATGATCAGACCCCAAAGCCCACAGTGCCCGAGTCGAGAATCTCTGCGCCTAATATCATCCAGCCTCTTGGGAACATGAGCCTCTAGAAGGGTCTTCTTTGTCGCATGAAGTGGCTTCCTTTGCTTCAAAATGCCTCTGATAAAAACATAAACTCTCAGCCCTGGCTGGCATAGCTCAGTGGATTGAGTGCAGGCTGCGAACCAAAGTGTCGCAGGTTCGATTCCCAGTCAGAGTACATGCCTGGTTGTAGGCCATGACCCCCAGCAACCGCACATTGATGTTTCTCTCTCTCTATCTTCCTCCCTTCCATCTCTAAAAATAAATAAATAAAATCTTTTAAAAAACCCCTACATATCTCTTTAAAGAAAAAAAATAAACTCTCAGACTCTGCCTCCAGATTAAAGGGGTTAGAAGCTTTCTGGTGGTACCTTGGAATCTGAATTTCATTTCGAATGCCCCACCCTCACATCTAATTATCCAACTCAGATTTTTCCTTTTCTCCCTTGCCCTTCAGGAGAGCCGCATTCTTCCTTCTGCAGTGTTCCGCATGTATACTGTTTTAATGTTACTTTTAATTGAAAAGATTCATGTTCATGGAAAAAACCTTCGGTTGGTCCATTGGCATATTGTCTTAGCTGGCTGTGGCTGCACAAACAAACTTCCCCAGACTTAGTGACTTAAAACAATGTACATTTATTCTCATGTGGTGCTGGAGGGCAGAAGTCTGAAATCACTGCTGCTGGGTTGCAGTCTCGGGTCAGCAGGGCTGGCTTCTGTGGGAAGGTCTAGGGGAGAATCAGAGTCCCTGCCTTTTCCAGCTCCCGAGTACTAGCTGTTGGCGTTCCTTGGCTCATGACCCCTTCCTGCATCACTCTGACCTTTCGCTTCCACTATCGCATCTACTTTTTTTTTTTTTAAAATCCTCACCTGAGGACATTTTTTCATGGCTTATAGAGAGGAAGGGAGAGAGAGAGAAACATCGATGAGAGAGAAGCATCGATTGTTTGCCTTCTGTATGCACCTGGACCGAGGACTGTAGGCACCCAGACTGGGGATCATATGCGCCTGGACCAGGGATTGAACCCACAACCTCTCGGCTATGGGACAATGCTCCAACCAACCAAGCCACACTGGCCAGGGCTGCCAGGGCTGCCAGGGCATCATATATACTTCTTTCATTCTTCTTGTAAGGACCCTTATGCTTGATTACATTTAGGGCCAATATAATAATCTGGAATAATCTCCGTGTCATCTCAAGATCCTTAGTTTAGTCCCAGATGCAAAGTTCCTTTTGCCATTTAAAGTAACATTTACAGGTTCTGGACAATAGGACACGGGTGTCTTGGAGGAGGGTGCACTGTATAGTCTACCACATTCATCCCTCAACATAGCTACAATCGTCTGGCTCCACGGATGTATCATCATTTACTATGTATCATAACATAGTTATGCTGGGAAAGGGAAAACCACTTTGAGGTCTTTTAACAGGACAGGGTTAATATAGGAAATTCGCAAGGACTCAATTCTGCCATTGTAGCATGAAAGCAGCCACAGACTGAACTGAATGAATGAATGAGCGTGGCTGCGAGTTAATAAAATGTCATTGATAAAAGCACACAGTGGGCCAGGTGTGGGCCAGGGGCCCTAGCTTGCGAGATTCTGGTGCAGAGGAGCAGGACCTGAGCTGGTCTTATTGGAATGACTTCATAGAACTGGCTCATCAAGGGAACTGAGGCTCTCCACAGTCATAGAAAGTGTGAAGTCAGGGGGCCCCTTGAAACCTCCAGCTTCAGGCACATGCACCACATCTGTGATTCAAGAATAGGATCCACACTGCTTTTCAATGCCACCATGGTTTGCTCCTGGCAGAGTGAACGGGAGGAAAAAACAAGATAACGCCAGTTCCTTCTTTCTTCCAAAGTCCCACTGGTGCCTCCGGCTGGTGGACCCAAACACGAGCCTGGCAACCTGGAAGTCTGCGAGCATGGCAGCAGCTTTGCAGCCTCTGCCCAGAAGGGGCTGGGTGGGGACGTGGGCTGCTGCCTACCCACCACTTCCTTCTCATTTATTACTGTACAGTACGGGGATGGTAAGAATGATTGTGTAATTGTGGGATGCATAATCATAGAAGCTATTACATGTAATTGCAGGATTAGGAGCAGAGTAATTATTATGCAGTGTAACAAATTACGTAATGAGCTGTAAGTTTACAGAGATCACGAATCACATAATTGTGTTACACCCTCCAGGAAACTGAGCGATGTTGTCTGGGTGATCCTGGCGCGTGGCTTAGTGGAAAGGCATGAACATGTGGGGGTGGGGTTAGGGTAGGTTAAGGGGTGGGGTCGAGAGTGGAAGAGTGGGGTGAGGCTGGGGTTTCGGGTTCCAGTGACAGTGGAGGGTGGAGTGAGCAGGAGGATGGTGCTGGAATTAGCCTAACATTGAGAGAGGTAAGGCAGGGAAGCAGAAGAAGAATTGATTAGGCCAAGGGGTTGGCAGGTTATGGTCCATGGACCAGCCACTGATTTTTCTTGTTGCTTTTAAATTGAGGTCAAATTCAGATAAAATAGAATTATCCATATTCAAGTGTATGATCTCATGGGATGTAGTACATTTATGTTGTTGTTCCGCCAGTAGCCCTATCCAATCCCAAAACATTTTCATCCTCCCAGAATGAAACTCTGTCCCCATTAAATACTAACTCCCACCCCCCCTTCCATTCCACGTTCTGCCTCACTGACTCCTCCACGGACCTTACAGAAGTGGAATCACACAGTGTTTGTCTTGTTGTGTCTGGCTTATTTCTCTCAGCATAATGCCTTCAATGTTTATCATTCCGTAGTGTGTGTCAGAACGTCCTTCCTTTTTGAGGCTGAATAATATTCCACTGTGTGGATGGACCACATTTCACTTATCCATTCATTCTTCAGTGGACATTCAGGTTGCTTCCGCCTTTTGGCTGTTGTGACTAGTGCTGCTGTGAACATGGGTGTGAAAGTATCTCTTTGGTACTCTGCTTTCATCATTTCCCAGAAGTAGAATTGCTGGGCCATGTGGTAATTCTATTCTTAATTTTTTGAGGAGCCCCATACTGTTTTCCACAGCAGCTGCACCATTTTACATTCCCACTAATAGTGCAGAACGGTTCCAATTGCTCCATGTCCTTGCTAACACTTAAAAAAAAATAGCCATCCTGATGGGTGTGAGGTGGAATCCTCAATTTTTTAGTCCTTAGCCTCATGCTTATTATTATTTTTAAATTTTTATTTATTTTATTTTTAGCCCTCACCCAAGAATGTGTTTATTGACTTCAGACAGAGAGAAAGGGGGAGAGAGAGAGAGACACCGATCTGAGGAACAGAGATTAGTTGCTTCCTGTATGCGCCTCAACCAGGAATTGAACCCGCAATTCTGGGTTTGTGCCCTGACTGGGAATCGAACCTACAACATTTTGGTGTTCAGAACTCCAATTAACTGAGCCACCTGGCCAGGGCTATTTTTATTCATCACACTTATTTATCCTTAAATTATATCTGTAGGTGTACCTTGTGGGTGTAAAAATGCATAGCGAGTTTTTGAGCTTTATAAATGTGCTGTCATGTTCTCTGATGCCTTCTGGAACTTGTTTTCACTCTGCATCACACTTGTAAGATTCATTTGTGTCAATTGTTGAAGAACCTCACTCATAGAGAATGCAGACACACCTGTTACTGGTCCGTAAGTGCAATGTTGAGACTCAGAGGGTCGGAGCAAGATGGTTTGTTTCTCACAGCACAGCAAGCAGCGTGTACCTCGGTCTTTGAGCTCCACGGGTGACATGACAGACCCCACATGCGGAGGGACACAGGGCCAAGGGCTGAATACGCTTTGTAGCAAGCAGCAGACAAGCCAGCTCCCCTGTCAGGAAGTGAGCAGTTATGCTGAAGTCCCACTGCATGGCACACCTGTCTCGCTAGGAAAATGGCTGGGTCTCAGGAAAAAGATAAGGGCTGTGGTCTGGCACAGCTGCCAAGGATGGGCAGTGACACGCAGGGCCCCTGGCAGGCTGCCCCTCTCGGCATCATGCAGACAGCTATAGTTCATCTATTTTTTGTTTTTTAATTTTTAAAAAGATTTTATTTTAGAGAGGGGAAAGGAGGGAGAGAAACATCAATGTGCAGTTGCCTCTAGTGTGTCCCTTGTTGGGGGACTGACCTGCAACCCAGGCATGTGCCCTGACTGGGAATCAAACCAGCAACCCTCTGGTTTGCAAGCCAGCACTCAATCCACTGAGCTACACCAGCCAGGGCTGTAGTTCATCTATTTTTATAGCTGTATAGTATCCTTGTGTGAAAATACCACGACAATGAGGCTGCTTCCAGTCTTTCTACCCATGTGCAATTCTTCAGAGTGGAATTGCTGAGTCATATGTAACCCCTCTGGTTTAGCCGCTGTTTGTTCCACTTTTAGCCCTTTTTGCTTTTATTTGCAACTAAAAGTACTTATGGAACTCACTCCCAGTGGTGGATCCCATAGGCTGGCTCTGGCCACTCTAATACAGAAACAGCCCAGATCTTCGGAGGACAGTCCCTGAATTTACCATGAAACCCTGAGCTGAGACTCAGTTTCTGCTGCCTGGTGGGATGGAAGATCAAAACAGAAATTAAATTTAGCTGTAGAAAAATGCAGTTTCGGTCCTTTGCATCTCCGAGTTTATAAAATGAGATTCTCACCTGCTACATCAAAACAAAACAAAAGGATCAATCCCAGACAAACACGGATTTGGGGGGTGCGCCCCTGGCTTTTTTGTTCTTCATTTGAGTTAAGAGCAACCGCTGCTCCCTATCCCGGATTCAAATTCTGACTCCACCCCTTCCACAAAAATCTCACCTTTCTGGGACTGTTTTCCTGCTCTGTGAATTGAGGCAATGCTACTTGTAGATAGGTTGGTTTGTGGGTAGAAAGCATGTTCAACAGTCTGCACACAGTAGGTGCTATGTGAGTATTTTTGCATTTCTGGGAAGGCAAAGCCACCACCATGGGTCTGAAGCTGGGTACTTTTTTTTTTTTAATGTTTGCTGTTAATAAAATATTTTTACAGAGACCAAAAAGTCAGAATAGTGCAAAACATCTCAACATCATGCATTCATGATCACTTTTCGTGGTTTTAAACATTTGTTCCAAGTCACATATTTACAGAGAAATGGGGGCACCTGTGCAGATGCTGGACCAACGGGATGGAATTAAAACAGTGTTTTGACTTCACATTTGCAGTCACATGCTAAGAGAAAGGTATGTAGAGGAAGAACCTCCTGGACTGGGTGGCAGGGTTCAAGGTCAGAGGGGCAGGGCCAGGGGTGGGGTCTGAGCCCACCCCCACCCTGAGGTGCGGCTGGGGATGCCTGGGAACCTGCCACCCGAGCCCTGTGCCTCAAAAGAGCCACTATGGCTGGGTAGTGGTGAGGGGGTGGGAATGGGTCTTACTCAACACCATCAACTTGGTTTCTTTCTTAAAAAAAAAAAAAAAAAGGCAAAGAGAAAAGCAACACATGTCAGCAAAGACGACTTTGGTCCTTAACAGTTCATAGGAGAGGATGTTCAGGGGACAGATGGGGTGGTGATACAAACCAAATCCCCAGAGAGCTCCCCTTCCTCTGCACCCGGACAGCAGAGTCTGGGGTGACTCCAGGATGTCCCTACTCTGCCCCTCCCTCAGTGTCCCCATCTGTAAGATGGACAGCGCAAGGGGTGGGGGTCAGGGACAGTAAGGTCTCTGAGGTTCCAAGGATTTCTAGTTGGGTGTTAAGTATTTTTTGCATCTCTGATGGGGGTGTGGTGAGGTTTCAGGCTCTGGTGTCTGGGTCAGAGGGATTGGGGACATGGCCAGGAACCTCCACATTTTGAGTAAACCCTTCTAGGTGAGACTAGGGACAGCCAGAAGAGTGGGTCTCTCTTCCTTCTAGTTCCCCAATTTTGCCATTTCTCCTGTCCCTCTCCATCTCTGAGTCTCTCTCTCCATCTCATGGTCTCTGTTCCCACTGGGGTGTGATCGTACTCTCCCGATTTCGTATCTTTTCTATCCCTCCTTCTCTTTTTGTTGGTGTGCTTACTCTGTCTCTGGCCCTCCTGGGAAGGGGACTGGCTCTGTCGAAGATGTTCCTCAATGTCACACTCCTCCACCTCATCAGGGGCCCACTCTACTTCATCCTTTCCCTGACTCATGGTAAACTGGGGCCAGCTCCTCACAGGAATCGAGGCCCACTGCAACCCTGAGACCCCACCAGGCCACCAGGGTTCAGAACCCTGGCCACCCCAGGTGAGGTGAAAGCCTAGCAGTGTCATCCCAGGTCAGGCATGGCATACACTTGCCGGGCAGGCTTAGGGAAAGTGCTGCTTCTCTTTGAGCCTTGCTGTTCCAATACAGAAACTTCCTGATTTCAAATCCTTCCAGCTCCTTGGATTCCTCTCCTGTCTCTTCCATGTCCTCTCTCCTCTCTATCTTGTAACTCTGCCACAGTGTGGCTAGAATACCTCCTTTGTGCCCAGATCTGTGTGGGAAGGGAAGGCTGACAGGGATGGTCATGGACAGATACACATGTGGAGGTGTGCTCACAGAGATGTCCCCCACGACATAATTCACCTAGCCATACCCTGTGTCTTCTCTGTGCTCAGCCTGTGTGGGCCTTGAGAGGCCTCAGAAGTCGGAGGAAAACAGAGGCTGTCACAGATGCCTCCAGTCCCATGGCTTCTGGAACAGAGAGTGGGGAAGTCCTGAGGGGAGCAGTGACAATTTTCTACAGGAGGAGATACTTGTGGTGAGTTTTGAGGGATGAGAAAGAGTTCCCATGGAAAAGAGGGAGGAAATTTCCAAAGCACATGCCTGGGGTGGTGTTGGGGAACCCATCTTCCCCCTCTGGAGTTTCTGGTCTCTTTCTGTTCTTTCCTGTCTGGTGAATTCTGGGAGAGGAAGTAGAAGTGGGGTGGGGGTGGGTCCAAGGAATCCCAAATCCTCACTTATTGTTGGTGGGAGGTCAAGAGTTGGCCCAAGGCCCTCATCTCTTGTATGGTCACGGCAAGCCCCTGTAGGGGGTTAGCAGCAATTGGGAGCACTGTCCCGTCACCCAGTCTCAGCCCACCCTTGGATGTGGTACACAGGCCAAAGGGAGTGGGGACAAGGCATGGCACTGGGATCCACAGCAAATCTAGGGGCCTCAGTTTTGCCATCTGTCAACTGGGTGGGTTGAACTCTATGATATGAGGATTAGGCATTGTCAGGTGGGATTGAGGCGAAAAAACAAAAACAAAAACCCCATAGGTTAATGCGGGAGCCCCAGAGCCGTTCCCTGGGCCCCCAGGGTTTGGGCGCCCTAGGGCGCATGTGCTTTTATAATCCCATCTTAGGCCCTCTTCCCGTTTATTTTTTGCACTAACATAAAAAGAGACTCGGGTATTCCGAGGCCCTCCAGCTACCATCCTAGTCCCTCCAGCCCCTAAGACCACCCCAGACCACCCACACCCAGCCCAGGGCCCGCCCCTCGAGGGAGCTTAGAGTTCCATACTTGGCAATTGGTCTTGGGCCCCAGGGCTTGGGGACCCGTCTTATGGCTTTTCCATGGGACAGGAGGCAGGGGACCAGAGCCGAGGGACCTGGCCTCCTCCATAAGGGGTGGGACTCTCCCAACCCAGCTCGAAAGGCCGCGTAGGCGCTGCGGCCGTTGCTTCCGGGAGGCGATGTGGCTTTTTCCTTCCCCGCGCCCTAGGGCGTGGCCTTCCGAGGGGGCGGGGCATCTCCCATTCACAATTCCCCAGAGCAGGAAGTTAAGTCAAGGGCGCAGGCGCAGACCGCCCTCTGCGCAGAACCCCAAGACTTGCACTCAGAAAGGTCCCGCCCCGCCTTCCCTGCACAGGCGCAGTGCTGCCCACCCGCGCCCCAGCGCTAGGGCGCAGGCGCAGCACCGCCTTCCTCCGCTGAGCGCGTGTCCGATTTGAGCTTGACGAACTCCTTGGCTACCTCGTCATTGCTGCGCTGCGACAGGATACGCAGCACCGTGAGGCCCGTGTCGTCCATGTGGATGCGGCGGCCGAGGGGCAACCAGCAAGCGGCGCTCCCGCGCTGGACCAGCTCACGTAACTGCAGCACGGCCAGCCCCACTGTGCGATCCTCACGAGCAAAGCAGTAGTCTTTGACGCACACCTGCAGCTCGTAGCACTCGGGGCCCGCTTCCGCACTCAGCGTGCTGCGGAAAGCGGGAAGTCAGAGTAGGTCCCGCTCATCGGTCAGCCCCGCCCCTACCGATGGCCCCACCCCACGCCAGCCCCTCCCACCTGGCCAGCCAAGTGGCCCAGTCCACCTCGCCCGGTAGGCAACACCTACGCGCACTCCTTCCATTTTCATACTCTCCTACTCTAGGCCCGCCAGCCACTGCCTCAAGTGACTGGCCCCACAGCCCTTCACTGGGCCATGTCCATACCAGCTGGCACCACCACCACCAAGGAATGTCCCTGTCATGTCTCTTTTCCTTCCATTCTGCTCCACACCCAACAACACCCTACCATGTTCCTACCCCAGGTAATCCTTACCCCAGAGCCCCCTGGCTAGGCCATGCTTCCACCACTCTGATACTCGCTGTCCACACCCTTAATCCGCTGAGCTGCTGCCCTCACTAACCTGCTGCTCCAGATATTACACCCAGAAGCGCCATACCAAGCTCCCATCTGAACACAATTTCTCCCTTGATATGGCCCCTCCCCATGCTCCCTAGCCCACTCCTTGTATCTCCAAGATGCTCTCCAGATCTGCCCCTGCCCTGATGTCTCACCGCAACTCCCCCTGCCCCCAGGCTCTATCCGTAGTGAAGCTGGGATCCTGCCCCTCTGGCGACTTGCCATGACACCAGCTGATCAAGGGCCCCTCAGCTTGGCCAGACCCACACCACTCTTCGACGTCCCCCTCTCAGGCTGCACTCCTAGCCCTCAAGTACCCTAGCCCATCCCAGGAGGCATATGCCCCCCTTTGGCCCTGTTCTTGCTCCCAAGCATTGTGTCAGGTGACCTATTATTCCAAGGTCCACTGGCCCCCTTCTAACAGACTGGTCAGCTGTGGTCCTTCAGGAGTCCCCACCTCTCCCCAGCTCTGATGCCTTCTGCACTTCTGTCCTCAAGAACAGCCCCCAACCTTACCCTGCCCAGTGAGGTTCGCACCTCACCCAAAAATCCACCCATTGAACTCCACCCACTCTGTATACCCTGATCAGATTTATTTATGGCCCCAAGGGTCTGTGCTCTCTAGATGCCTGATGCTTTGACCAAGTTCACAGCTGCTGACCAGGAAGCCTATCCAGATGTGACCCCACACACCTCAATAACATGCACCCCATACTCTGGACCAAGCTGCACTCCACTCCTGTCCCCAGCAGCAGACCCCTCAGATGACCTGCCCCAACATACCTGACAAGGCTCACTGCTGACTCCATGAGTCCTCACCTCCACACCTTCTCCTGCATCATGACCCCCTCGGACCTTAGCCAGGGTCTCCAGCCCCAGAAATGGCCCTGACCAACACATCCCTCTGCCCACACTTCCCTCACCTTCCCAAGCCCTTGTCATGATGTTATATCACATTTGATGCCACTCCCCCAGACCTGCCTGCCCCCAAGGTAGTCAACTCCATCCTGGTGTCCCCTGACTGATGTCACTCCTGCACTAAGTTGCTTCTGTTCCCATTACCCCCACCTAGAACGTGACCCCTTGCATTCCTGCATCCAGGAACCACTGGCTCATCAGACATCCCTCCTGCCTAGTGGGCTGAGGTTAACCCAGCAAATGCCCGCTCCCCAGGGCTCCCCAGACTCACAACTGGAAGCTCTCATTGTACTTGGGAGCCCAGCTGTTGTTCTTGGATTTGGTAGCAAACTTGCGTTTCTTGTCACTGAGATGGGGCCCAATGATGTTGACCTCAATGAATGGACGGAAAATGCCAGAAGTCTGCCACTTGAGGTCATTGGCAGCCACCACTATTGGAGGAAGAAGAGGGGAAGATTGGTCAGGTTCCCTCATAATGGGGTTGGGGTTTTAAAGCTGGTCTTAAATACTATATTTCCCAGCATGCTTCTGAAGCTAAGTGTGGCTATGTAACTAAGCTCCGGCCAATGAAATGTGAGAGAAAGTGACCGCCCAACTTTTTTGCGGCTTAAAAGGGAAAATGCCTTGAACTTTTTCCTCCAGCTGCAGGCTAGGATACTGGTCAGCCTGAGTTCTTTGGGACCCTATAGAGGAGGAAAATAATGTGGTGGGTTTTGTTTGTTTGTTTTTGTTTTTCTCCATAAGATGGACCTAGGTTTTAGAGGAAAATAGGAAAATTTTGAAGCAAAAAATGTGGTAAAATAATAAAATAAATAACAATATTTCACCAATGTAAATGTAAAGCAACTTTCAGACTATAACAAGCACCCCCATTTGCCTCCCAATTTGGGGAAAGTGCATCTTATAGTCCGAAAATACGGTACATTAGGGATGAAAGTGCCACAAAAGATGGCAGAGACCTGGATCTCCAATTCCGTGATGTCTTAGTATCAGCTCTGGGCTGACTGTCATTGGGAGTCACCTCAGGGAAAAATGTATTCTCTCTGTTTAAACCACTGTTATTCTAGACGTTGCCCAAAATAGACTTCTCTGTGTTCTAATTTACAAAAATAAAAGCCAATGAAAGAATAGTAGAGCTGAGAGATGGAGAAAGTAGAATTGATTCCTATAACACTGTTTGTACCCCTGGATTCAGCCATGCCTGAAGGTGGTTAGTTCTGGAATTTTCAGTTTTATGAACTTTTTTTTTTAATGGAAAAAGTTTTTCTTCCTAGAGCCAAGAGTTTGGTTTCTGTTTTAGAACCTAGTACATCCTGGCTGAGGCACTCCCCCTCCCACCTCAGGCTGCTCACCTTTCACTGTGACCTTGTGTTCACCAGTTCCCGGATGAGTGAAGAGCTCAACGTGGAGGGAGACTTCCCCTACAGGGTCTTCCACACCAGAGCCTGGGTGGGGCAGGGGAGGATGTTTGGTGTCAGCTCCATTCTTTCCCACCCGCCAGAAGGGACTTGGATTGCTTCCCTCCTCCTACCACGTGCTGGCAGCACCAGGTCAACAGCCCTGACAGGGTGGCACCGAGGACTGGCTAGGGTAGTAGGTGCTGTCAGGGAGTCAGGAATCCAGGGCTCAAGCCTTTCACTGCCTTGCTCTGTGATCTCAGGTAGATCTCTGAACTTCTCTGAGTCTAATGTGTCTGCTTCCCACCTTTGTTTTTCGACTGACCACCGTGAGGTCAAAACTCAGTCTTCATCTAATATACCATCTCAGCAGCATCCGACACTCTGGCTTCCTGTGTCTCAGTTTCTCCTCTTGGCTACAACAATGCCACACTCTCCAAGTTCTCATCCTATACACTAATCACTCCTTATCCTCTTTTTTCACCTCCTCCTCCTCTGTCAATCCTCAAAGTGTTGGGGCACCCCTGTACCTTAGGCCTTGACCCCCTTCCTTGTTTTCACTTCCTCCCTAGGTACTGGAACGTTAGAAGATCCTACCAGCTCTACCTTCAAAGTACGTCCAGCATGTCACCTACCTCCCTAGCCTCCAGTCTCCGTCCCAGCCCCCCTCATCGCACTCCTGGACTATTGATTGCAGTAGACTCCTCCCTGTCTTCCTGCATCCTCCTCTGAGCTGCTCTCAGCACACCAGAGAGAAAACCTATTAAGTTAGATCACATCCCTTCTTTGCTCAAAACCCTCCCATGTCACCTGGAAGTAATCAAGTCCTTTTTGTGACCTGCAATATTCCTCCCGATATATCTCGCTATTACCTCTCTTGCCTCACTTTCCTCCACTCTGACACTTGCTAACTCTGCTTCAACCACAGGGACTTCCTCTTTTATTTTCCCTGCCCCCACACCATTCCTCTTCTAATAGACAATCCCAAATTTCCACTGAGAAATGCTCCCACCCTCACCTCAGACCTTGTGGCTCCCTAGTCAGAGCATTCCTTGCCCATGCTGCACTGATTGGCTGAGGGATGGTCATGTGACTCAAACAGCCAGCAGGAGTTGACTCTGGGGCTTTGGCTGTAAATGTTAAGAGAAAGTCTTTCTGTCTCTCTGATGCTAAGCTGGCAAGGCTGTCTCTGCCCAGTGAGGAGAGAGGCTACCTAACAGAGGTCTCAGAAGAGACCAATGACCACTGGCATTGTCGAAGACTCTGGATCCAGCTATTCCTGATGCTAACTCAACCCCTAATCTTTTAGTTCCACAGTTAACAAATTCTCTTCTCTGCTTGAGTCAGCGTGAGGTGCACTTCTGTGTCTGGCCAGCACAAGCATCCTGATTGGTTTTGCTGAGGATCATTGAAGGGCAGCTTAAAAAGTTCTGTCCCCGTCCCTCCCTCTGTGACTTTGGAAAGGGCATCCTGTAGGGCCTGGGGACCTGTGACTGCCAGCACACCCAACCAGGCCCCTCCCTAACCTCCCAGGAAGCACCCCGCCCTGGAGCACCCCATGCATGTGGGAGGATAGGAGGAAAATTGGGAGTGGGGGTGGGGAAGGAGAACGGGTCAGTCCAAGGTTGATTCCAGGTCACTTGCATGAGAAGGAAGTGACTGAGGCTCCGGGGCATAGAAGCCTGCAGACCCCCAGCACCCCAGTACTGGGGCGTGCACCCCCATCTTCGCTGCTACCCCAGGCCACTTTCCTTATCATCTCAGGCTCTCACCCCGTCCTCCCCCCAACCAGTCACATGCTCAGGCTCACCTCCCCCCCTCCCCCAGGCTGATGCTTCATTGCAAGCTCAATCCGGGCCATAATGAGGGTGCCAGAGGGGAGTCAGATGGTGGTGGGAGGGGTGAGGGGTCAGACCAAGGCCAAAGCTAGTAAGAAGGGGGAGGGGGGCAGTGCTGTGCACCCCCCTCCCGAGGTTTGCTGGCTCCAAGAGGAAGGGTCTTTTCTGGGCCTCTCTGTGCTTCTCTCAACACCTCCCCTCCCCCCACAAGCCCTGGCCTCCCCCAAAGGGGAAGGTTCCTCGGACAAGTGGTTTCTCCTTTGAGACTCAGCGTCCTCATTTATAGACTGATGGATCCCCTTGCAGGGCAACTAGAAGGAATCTTTGTAAGAATCCTTGAGAAGTGTTTGGCACAAGGGCTGGTTCCTAGTTAGAGCCTGAAAAAAAGTTTCCTATGCTAGGAAAAGTGAGAGCAAGTATAATAACAACAACAACAATAACTAAACATTGCTAGGAGCTATTAAATGTCAGAAACTGCCCTAAATTTAATTCATCACATCCTATGAATTAAGATCCTTGACTGTCTCCAGTTTAGAGATGACAAAACTGAGGCTCAGGAGGTTGTTCCTTGCCCTAGGTGCCCAGCCACTGAGTGGCAGAGCTGGGATCTGGCTTAAGAGATACGCAGGGAGAAACGGATGCCGACTCATAACGCTTCTCCTTCCCCATGTGGAACCAGCAAGCCGTCCTTCCCCCTTGTCCACCTTGGTCCCCATAGCCGGTCCGGCCCAGACGTGGCTCGGGGCCGTGGAGGTGGAAGGACGGGCCTTTTACTAGCCGGGGCTGGGAAGGGCGCAGGCACTGGGCACTGGGCGCGGGCGGGCGGCGGAGGCACGTACCCTTCTCAGGATAAATGTCTTCACTAAGGGTAAACCTAGTCCCTTTTCCACCATGGACTAATTGCGGGGGAAGGGGGAGAAAGGAGGGAAGGGGGCAGAGACGAGAAATCCAGGGGCGAAGATGGAGGGCGAGTGTGTGTGGGGTGAGCAAGGGAGGCGTGGAGGGGGCAGCGAGTGAGAGGGAGGAGAGACAAGAGAGAGAGAAACGTCAGCTGCAGACGGGCAGACGGACAGACGGACAGCTTCCCGCACCGGGGGACACCAGGGACACCAAAAGCAGCAGTGTGGACTGGGCACGAAGCTGAACGTAGAGGCCTGACGTCCAGGGAGGGCCAGGGCTGACTGGGGTGGGGAAAGGCGCCCCGGGGCCTGTAGGGCTTTGCTCCCTCCACCCTAGCCATTCCTTCCACTGCTGGGTCAGCGGCCGAAGTTCTCTCCCTTGTTCGCACAATTAAAGCCAATTTTGAAAAGTGGGGGTCCCTGGGGAGGAGAGCTAGTTGTGTCCCCCAGCCCCAGCTGCGGTGTGCGAGCTCAGTGAGGGACTGGAGACAGGCAAGAGAAGAGAGAACTAGAGAAATGGGAACTTCCTCTCCCTACACCCTCTCTAGGTTGGGGTCCTACCCATCCCTGGGGCCGTCAATCATTCCTTAGCCCCAGACAATACAGAAGTCTCCTCCTCCCCTTCAACCTTTCATCCAGAGGTCCTTTCCCTGGAGCTGCCAATCACTCATCCGCCGCAGGAAGTCAGAAGTCCCGCCCCTGCCAGAGCTGTCAATCACTCCTTGGGCGCCCCCACAGTAGAGGTCCCGCCCCCAAAGCTGTCAACTTTGTGTTCAGGTCGCGCCCCTAGAATCTGTCAATCACCTTGGTCTTTGACATTAGAGGTCCCTCCCCAAAGCTTTCAATCATCTCCTGGTCCTAAGACTCGTCACAGATTTCCCCAGACGTCAATCATCTCCTGGCCTGGTGACATAAGAGATCCCACCCCCACAAGCTGTGGATTTCATTGGTCAGTGACATCAAGCAGTTCACAAGATCCAAGCTGTCAATTTGCCATGATGTCACAGAAGAGATGAGCCAGTGGCAACTCGTGGCTGGGCTAGGCTGCCCTGTGTGGGAGGGCGGGTGTTGGCCTGGAGCTATCCTGGGGCCCCTTACCCTGGGCCGCCTGTGTCTGCACGAAGGTCTTAATGAGCAGGTCCGTGGCCTGCGTGTAGAGGGACAGGGCGTAGCGCAGGGACTGAAGGTCTGGGCTCTTCTCCAAGAAGGTCTTCTTGAGGCCCACACCGCCCGCGTGGAAGTATTGCTGTGGGCACAGGGTGGGGAAGGTGAGGCCAGAGGCACCCCCTATCAGGTCATTGTGGTGAGCCCCCATGCCCTGTCCTCCATCCCTCTGCTCTCTGCAGTGATGGAAGGGGTGATCTGGTGGTCTCCAAAACACCCAAGTCTGGTGCTGCTGCTCCCTACCTCCACTCCTGCCCCAGACCCTCTAGTGGGCTCTCAACACCCTCAGAATAACACTCATACCTCCAACCCCTCACTCGGCCCATTGTGGCTCTAACTGTGGTGCATCCTCTCTGCCTTCTCCCCAGCTGTCTTCCCTAGAACAAGCCTGCCTCAGTGAGCACTTACTGTGCTCACTGGTGGTAAGGCCCTCTCTGCCCCTACCCTGGCCCTTAGTCTTACCTGGCTCCTTGTCTTTCTTTGATCAAGGTTTCAAGGAGCTTTCCCTGACCCCCGCTCTTTAATATGTTGCCCAACTCCATTTCAACAAAACATTTTTTTTTTCAGGGTAGTTTTCATGCTTTTCATTTCCTGGAGACCACAGGCCCTTTCATGCCTCCATGTTCTTGCATGGGCTGGGCCTCTGCCTAGAATGCTGTTTGCTTTGCCTTATAAACTCCTATGCATTCCTCAAAACCTATCTTCCACATGTCTTCTTCCAGAAAGTCCTTGCTGCTCCCTCCCTGGGCTATGCCAGCTCCTGTCCTTCCTTCTACCACACTCTGACTCCACATGGCTGGAGACATCCATATCCACCTGTGCCCCCCAGCCTGGGGCTCCTCTGGGCCTTGCCAGAGGGTCATCAGAAAGTGTTTATAAATTGAATGAGTTAAGGTGGGTTCGAACCTAGGTCCATGTCCGCATCAGCCACACCTTCAGTCTGCCCCACCTGGGATAGGTAGGGGTGGAGCATCTCACCTTGATGGTGTCCAGGGCCAGCTCAACGACTGCACACTGCTTTGGGGTCAAGCTCTTGGCTTCCTCTCGTACCATGTGGTCCTGGATGGATGGAGAGAAGGGCCAGGTGGGTGGAGCAGGCCCTTCGTTAGGGATCTGCCAATCTATGGTACTAGTCCTTATAAAACTATAAGGAGTTAGATAGTGGTCTGACTTTTCATCATGGTGTCCCCAGCACCCAGGATGTAACAGGCACACATATTCAATAAATACTTGTTGAATAAATTATTTGCACCCTTCATCAAGCTGTACCTGAAGTTGAACCATGTACATCTTTCCAATACACCAGAACAAATAAATCGTGCTTAAGCCAGTCTGAGTAGTATTCCTGCCCCATGAACCTGCAAAGTGCGTTACTATTCTGGGACTTCTTCCCAAGGAATCCCCACCCTGATTTCCTGCCCCCACCCCTGGGCTCACCTTGAGTTTAGACAGCTGACCCAGCTCCTTGGCTGCATTGAAGATCATCTGAGTTCCCTGTGGGTAGGCAACAGACATAGCCAGGTAAGGGTGGGGTCCTCCAACCCAGTCCCCAAGCCCCTGCTGATACCCTAGCCCTGGACATCTTCTTGGTTCTTGTCCAAAGGCTCTGGGCAAGGCAATGGGTGTGTCCTGGACACACGTCTGGAGCCTCCCAGGAAATGCTGAGAGGTGGTGACTCTGTCCCCAGAAATCCCTGTTCTGTGGGGATGTTGTCCACCCTCCCACCTCCACCAGGACCCCAGGTTTTGGGGACAGAGAAGAGAAACAGAGAGAGAGAGAGCAGGCTGTGAGGGGCGGTGGGTGGGGGGAGCTCCAGATGGTGTTTGTAGGTGTGGGTGGGCCTTGCCAGCCCAAAGTCAGAGGGTCTTGAGGAAACTGTGGGATGGGCTCTAGTGAAACCCCCACTACTCGCAGGACCATTCCCTCTGTGGGAGGCATTTCCCAGTAATCTGGGGGGTCTGTTAGTCTGACCTTTTAAAGGAACAATCTTCCCCAACAACACACACCTTAATATACCCTTCCCCTGCCCTCCTCCCCAAACAGACACCGTCAGGATGGTGTCCTAGTTATTGTCCCAACAAGCTGAGTGGGGCAGGGTTCAAACACCAGCTCTGCTGTGTGGCCCTGGGCAAGTCACTTAACCTCTCTGAGCCTTAGTTTTGCCATCCAGATGAGGGAAATCATATCCATTTCAAGGTTTAGCTGTGCCTGTGTCTTTGTTCAATGGTTATTGCTACTAGCACTTGATCTAAAGGTCATGGGTAGTGCTGGGGGAGACAGGGTCCAGGCCTGGAAGTCCCATGTCCTGCCTCCTCCATCACTTTGCTGGGTGACCTGAGGTGTGTCCCAGACCCTTTCCGGGCCTCAGTTTCTTCCCCTGGCTAACAGGGGCACACCTTGGAGGATGGGGGCTGAGTATCAATGAAATAAGGAGTCCTGCATTACTGGGTCCTGAGCCTGTCTGGGGGTCCTGGGCAGGGAGGGAGACATTCACAGCTAGGAGATGTAGAACTAATTATGTGGACACTCTACCAGCTGACCCATGGAAGCCACTACGTGTGCTGTCACCATCCTGGCTGTCTTTGCTCTCTTATTCCTGGTCTGTGATTCCCCAAGGCTGTAATGAGGCACAGTTACTCAGGAGATCAGCTGCTTGAGCCTCAGGTTCCCCTGCCACCCCCTCCTCCCTGCCTGCTGCGCCCCCGCCTGCCACCCCTCACAAGCAAGCCAGACAGACAGAGGAAGAAGAGACCGACAGATGGGTTCACAGAACAACCCAGACGGCACGGACCACAGGGGTGGAAGGAGGCAGGGGGTGGGGTGGGGGTGAGGAGGCGCCAGACAGACAGTGAGAGGTCGGTCTTACATCTGAGTGGCTTGGCAGTTTCGCCCTGCCCTGTGAAGAGAATCAGGTGGAGGTCAGAGTTCAGGTGCTGGCTGGGAGGATAGTCAGTGGGACTTCCCTGCCCCCTCAAAGCATAGTCCCACCCCCCTGCCCAAGAGCTCCCTCCCAGGTCCTGGGTCTAATGATGAGGTCCCTCCCCAGCTAAGCACTTTCCCTTGTCCCTCGGTGTGGGGTTGGGGCCAGGCTCCTGGACTGCCATGCCAAGAGCCTAGAACCAGCCCATCACCTTGGGACAGATGCCCGGTCCCATAGTCAGCCTGTCCCAGGGTGGGGCACCTTGGGGAAGGGGAGAAGAGACAGAGCTTGAGGCCTATTGTCTCCCAACTCCCAAGACCTTATCCCGGCAGGCCTGACTCTAAAAGAAACATGCTAACAGGTATCACAAGTTCGCTCAACACACGGACACTCAGGCACATCCATGAGTGTGCAGAAAGTTTATGCACACACACACCCAAGTTGACATACAAAGACACACACTTGCAGAAGTCAAATGCTAAGATATACATGTGCATTCCTAAATACTTGCACGTGTGTGCACAGTCATCCCCACCCACACACAATCTCCCCCTCCCACAGATGCACATGCATGTGTATGGTGCCTGGCACCTTGAAGGTGGCTGGATGACTGCGTAAGGAAGTCCTACAATCCACATTCATAAAGTGGAGACCTCACTTGTGTGCACAAAGGTATGAGAGCTCCCACACAAGTGCACAGCAATGGCACTGTTTGTGTGTTGCTACAGCTCCCATCTCTTTAGAGTATACAACCATTAGAACACAAAAATCTGCATAAAAAACAACACATGTCTCATCCCAGGACAATGGTTCAGTGTCTGGGCCCTTCTCAAAGCCACAGGATTTCAGCTGAGCGCAGGCCTGGGGTAAGCTCCTTGCGTGTTGTCCTGAGAGGGCAGGAGCCTACGTGCACACATCAGCTCACAGGTGTACACACACCGTAAGCCTGTCCCTGGGGAATTGCCTCATCTCTGCATCCTGGTTGTAAGGGTGCCAATTAGGACCCCTTCCTCCCCTCCTCATGACCCCAGCTGACCGTCTTGGCCACGCACACGGACACACATGCACACATAAGCCCAGACACCAGGGCTCGGGGCCTCAGCACCACAAGGCCCTCATTACCTTTTCTAATCCCTTGCCATGTTTTCTCAAGAGGGTGCCCTGCAGAGACAATGTCACAGGGTGATCAGCCTGGCAAGCCATGGGGGGCGGCGTGGGGTGATCACGCAGGTACTCGTGGGGACCGGGGTGAGGGGCATCTGCGCTGCACAAGGGGCTGGTGACTGGGTTGCACGGGGATGTGTGTGTGTGTGTATCTTAACGACTGACTGTTAAAACATGTGAGGGAATCGAAAAGACAAGAAAGACAGGAGAAATAGAAATACAGAGCCAGAGAAAAAGGAGAGAAGTCGCTACCAAAATATAACCATTTACATTTGTTTTCTACATGAGGCGCTTGGTTCTTGGGTGAATAGGAAAGCAAACAGTTCCATATTCAGACAGACCTGACTTTGCATACTGACTCTGGCATCAATTTACTATGAGAGTAAATGACTCCTCCCAAGTCTCAGCTTTCCTCATCAGCAAAACGGGAACAATAAAATCCACCTTTCTCTAAAGGCTCATGAGGGTGAGCTGAAATTTCGCGCAGCTGAGAGAGGGTCTGGCATACAGGGAATCATCAGTAACATAAGCTCTCTTTGCTTCCTGCCCACCAGTGCACTGTCTGGCTGGGTGCGTTGCCCCCAGATGGTCGCGGCTGAAGACCCACGCTGAAGCCGCCAAGAGATGAGATGAACTCCTGTAAACTTTTGACAAGATTAAATATTGTAAAAGCTTTGTATCTCCCACAAAGAGGGGGACCCTAAAGTGGTTTTTACTGCTTTCTGCCCTGGCATGTGTCCACATACTACCCCCTCCCCACCCCCACCATAACAGCGTTAGCGCTCATGTAGTGACGGCTGCCTCCGCTGGTCATGGAGATGAGCACTTTAATGCATTGTCCCATTCGGTCTTGATAATAGCACTCTGCCAGTTGCTACAATTAACCACTTTTTCCAGACGAAGAGACAGAGGTTGGAAGGTGAAGTGACTTTCCAAGGTCGCAGAGAGAGAGAAAGAGAGAGCGGCTGGGCTGGGACCTGACATCAAGTCTACCTGACACCAAATCCATCTCCCTCCTGGGTGCTTGGGTTTATGAGCAGTGAGAGTGGGGTGGGTAGGGGTGGTGGAAGGCCTGCCCTGAGCAGCTAAGTAGTGTCCTGGGTGGTGAACCCAAAGGGGAGATTAGAGGGGCTGTGTTGACTTTGAACTTCCTAGTTTCCAGGAGAGATCCTGACACCCTAATGGCGTCTGAGAGTTGTGGGGTTATCTCAACAAAAAGACCAGGGCAGATGTGAAGGTGGTAGGCCTGGGGTTTGGGAACCTGGAGGTGCTGCCTCCATACTTATAATGGGGTGGGGGGGTGGGGGGGGCCTCCCTCCCTCCCAGCCCCACCCCCTCCCCATGCTCCACCCCAGACAGACACAGGCACATCTAGGCAGGGGGTGGGACAGTGTGCGGGGCAGTGGGTGAGGAGGGGGCACTGGGTGGGGGGACTGTGGCCACACAGTGGGCTGAGTCCAGACATAGAGCGGACGGACGGACAGACAGACAGAAGGGACTCTACTTACGATCATCTGTCAGCCGTGATGGGGGCCGGGTGGTAGGGAGGGGGGAATAAGTCACCATGAGTCTCCGGGGAAGGCCAGGGAGAGGGCGGGGAAGGCACAGAGGGGTGAACCCCGTGCCCTAGCCCAGCCTGGATGAGGCAGGGTCGGCTGCGGGAGGGCCAAACCTCCTACACCATTGTTGCCTCTCTGGGAGACCCCACCCACCCTCCCCAAGCCTCCCACGTCCACCCAGGAGTGTCCTCCCACTTGGTGCTGAGCCATCAGCAACCCACATGTCAAGGTGTCCAGGCCCTGAATGCCTCCCTGGAGGGATCCATGCCCAGCCACACCCCTCCACAGATGTCATGGTACCCCATTCCCACCCGGCAGCCTAATCCCTGGGGATTACCCTCTCTAGGCTGTTCCCAAAAGGGAAACTCTTGTTCTATTCATCTTTGATCTTTGAGGTCCATGGTGTCTCCCTTCCTTGTCTCTTGATTGACCCCCTAAAGGGCCTCTGATAAACTCAGAGACCCCTATGACTTGTGTACCCCATAGGTGGTCTTGAGCCCTTAGCCGACTTGTTTTCTGGATGACCTCTGACCTCTGAATGACCTCTTACTCATGTGACCTCTAAATTCCATACATGTCATTTGACTCTACTTGACCTCTTTGACCCTTTGATGACTTTTGACCCATGTGTAACCTCTCTGGTTTTCGGCCTCATTGATCTCTGGTGGCTTCTAAGACCCCCGGATGACTCTTATGCCTGGACAACCTCTGAGTCCCAATGCCTTTAGCACCAAGCTCTCTGGGCTCCCACAGGGGAGGTGGCCCAGGCATCCCCTCTGACCCCTGTGGGCCTCACCGTCTGGTCGGTGAGGGGTGGCAGGACGATGGTCTTCTCCATGGTGTTCATGACCAGCTTCCACAGCTCCTTCAGTACCCTTTTCAGCACTGTCTTCTCGCAGATTTTGGCAAAGAGAGTCAGGCTGGGGATGAGGGGCAGGTATGAGAGAGAGCCCAGCTGTCCCTGACCTGTGGAACCAGGCCCTCCCCCTCAACAGATGGGCAAAGTGGGAAAGCATCCCATGGACATGCCAGAGGGCTCAGAGCCTGTACAGGGGCCTTGGGTAGTCCGATGGAGCTACGATGTGAGAGAAAATGGTGGCTGGAAAGCACAGCAGTGGCCAGACAGGAAAGGGCCGCAAAGTCTGGGAGGAAGGCCTGAGCCTTAGCATGAGGGCAATGGGGAACTATGGGGTATTTGAGAGAGAGAGAAAGACAGATCCTACTGTTTGAAAAAATAGAGTGGGGATAAACTGGATTAGAAGGCAGCATGGAGAATAGGGACTGTGAGGAGGCTGGGGCCATGCTCAAGAGGAAGAGGAAGCAAATTATAGGAAAAGGGCAGACTCGAGAGGGAAGACAAAGAATTCATGGTTGGATGTTTGAGGCAATCTACCATGATTCATCCAGCAACTGAACCCCCCACCCACTGAACCATCCCTCCCCCAACCTTCTTTAACCCTCCTTCCATCTATTTTTCCTTCTTTCCTTCCTTTCTCCCTCCCTCTCCCCCTCTCTTCCTTCCTTCCATACATCCAACTTTCTAACCATTCATCATCAACCTTTCTTCTGCCCTCTCCCCCCCTTCCTTCCATCCATCCTCCCATCTACACTTCCATCGATTTATCCTAATTCTCATCCATCCATCCATCCATCCATCCATCCATCCAGTTATTCATCCAGCCAAATACCCAACCATCCACCCATTCATCCATCATTCCATTTGTTCATCCATGCATCCTTTCATCCACCTTTCCTCCATCTAGCCTTCTAGCATTTATCTTTTAATCTACCCATCTATCCACCTCCCCAACCCTTATGTCATCCATTTATCGGTACAAATACTTACTCACCAATCCCTCCAATGATTTACCCACACATCTTTCCATCCCTTCATTGTCTCCACCCACCCACTCATCCAAGTCATTCAACCGTCACCCAGCAAGCATGCCCAAGCACTCTCTCCTGGCCTGTGCCCAGTCTCTGAGGGCCCTCCCATGGCCTCTCCCTCACCAGCCCAGTCTACTCAGCCTGGCTCACTTGCTGTCTAGCAGGTCCATGATGGGCTGTAGCACATTGTCAGCATCCTGGGCCACGCTGCTGCAGGCACTGGCTGGCACATTGCCGGTGCCCTTCACCTGGCTAAGTATGTCGCCCATCTGTTTGACACACTCCTCAATGTGAGGCTGGAAGCTGAGGGCAAAGAGGGGAGGAGCTCAGACCAGACTTCTAGACTCTGGAGAAAGGGCCAGGTGAGGCCATAAATGCTGATCTGTGGACCTTGACCTTTTATCATCAGCATCAGGGAGCCATGGCATATAACTGAGGAGGGGGCATTCATAATAGTAGAATCTGGGCCTGGGCTAAGACATTTACCATTTTATCACACAGTCCTACTCAGGTACTATTATCATCCCTACTTTACAGATGAATAAACTAAGGCTCAGAGAAGTTAAGACTCACCCAAGGCCACACAGCTAGTAAGCAGTGAAGCCATGATTGAACTCAACTTCATCTAACTCCAAGCCTGAGCTCTTCACCACTACATTTGCTGAGTCTCTGGACGCCCCAGGCTCAGAGGTCTGGAAGCTGCCCCCTCCCCCTGCTCCCAGCCCTGGAGGTGCCCCCACCTGGTAGCAAATACCCGGCTGAGTTCATCCAAGACGTTGTTAAGTTTCACCTGAAGCTCTTTTAAGATGTCACTGGCCTCAGCATCCAGCTAAGGAAGGGGAAGGGACATCTGTCAGGTCAGGTTTACAGAGCACCCATGTGTCTGGAGCATTTTCCCACCCAACTCAGGGAAAGGGTCCCCAAGGGGCTGAGGAGGAAACAGAGACACAGGCAGTGAAGCTGCTTGCTGGGGTTTAAGGGAGTGGCTGCACTGGAATTCATCAGGTATGAGCTCTGGGGCCTACAGGGGCGGGGGTGGTCATCACCCTGCTTGGCCCCACCTCACCTCCTTGCCTCCCATGGCTTCAAACATCTTCTCTAGCTGAACTCGCAGCTGCTGAGTGTTGTTCATAAGAATACAGGGCTGGGGATGGGAACAAAGCAGGGAATCAGGGTTCAGGACCCCTCACTAGGGTCTCTTCCACCCACCAGCAGGGACCCTGGATGGTTTCAGGGTCTGGGTCTGGAGAGAGCTGGGGTCCCACAAGGTCATCTGAGAATGGATATTCCTGGGAGTGTCGAGGAGGGTGGCAGAGGGAAGGATGACCCAAGGAAGGGGAGTTCTAGTCAGATACCCACGTACTCCTACATGGGTTCAAAGCTTTGCATGCTCATGTACATACACCCTGAAGGTTTCATTTGCCACAACCAGACAGTGACACACTAAGGGCATGTCCCTTCACCTCCAGATCCCCCAAGACATACACAGTCAGACACACACAGTTGGACACACATGCAAACATAGGTCTTAGAGCCCAGGGAAGGATGAAGCCCCAGGGCTGCAGAATGGGGTTGGGAGGGAGGACAGGGGCCCCGCAGGTCACCACTTTCTCCTTCTCCTTGGAGCAGTAGGAGGCGAAGTCCTTGATGATGATGTCCGCGTACTGAAGGAGCACATTACTGATGGTCTGGGTAGGACACAGAGGGTGGTTAAAGGGAGGGCTGGAGCTAGATGGGCCCATCAAGAGCCACCAGTGAAATGAGGGGTAAACTCAAACCCACTTTAGTGCCTAAAATGGACCACTGGGCTGGGTGAATTCTCTACCCAGGAAGGCCATCATAATCAAGGGAGACACCACCACTTGAAGACAATTATTTTATGTAGATTCAGCTCTTTTTCAGAGCAATCAATCATCATGTTAACCCAGCCCCAACCACGAACATTATCTGATCCCAAATCAAATCTTAATTCCTACTGCATTCCCCAACTTCATGCCAGCCTAAAACAAATCCAATTGAACCTAATCCCAGTCCAATGACCTCAACCTCCAAACTCCCCCAGGGCTCACTCAAATTCTACATAACCCTGAACACTCACTCTAATGATACCAAATCAAATCCCAATCCTACCAGGAACTCTAAACCCAACCCCAAACTCAACCCCATCCCCAACCTTAACTCCAGCTCCAAATCAACTCCAACTTTAACTACAACCCTGACCTCAACCCCAACCTGAACTCAGATGCTGTCCCCAACTTACAACTCTGACCTCTATGGGAGAACCAACCCCAACACTGACTTCAACCCCAACCTCAGTCCCAGTGTATCACCAATCCCAAATTTTACCTCAAACTCAACTTCAGCTTCAATCTTGACCTCAACCTCAACCCATGCCCCAATCCCAACCTTGACTCCAATCTTAATGACATCACCAACTCCAACCTCAACGCAAACCCTGTCCCCAACCACACTTTAACCTCTATGGCATGACCAACTCCAATAGTGGTTTGGGTTGGTTTTTCCACTGGCCCCAAACCCAACCTCAGTCCCAATGATATCACCAACCCCAACTTTGACATCAATCCCAGCCTCAACTCTGCCTCAATCTTGACCCTAAGGCTAACTCATCCCCGACCTGGACCCCATCTCCGACCTCACCCGTACTCCCGCACCTTGGCAAACCGCCTCATGTAGTGCCCCACAATCTGGGGGTCAGGGCACTCAAGCTTCTTGATAATCTCAAAGCTCTGGTTAAGCTGGGAGAAGACGTCCACCACGGAGCAAGAGAACAGGGCATGCTCTGAGGTCTGCTGGAACTGCAGGGGAAGGGAGACCAGGAGAGAGAGGGGTCAGAGCCAGACAGTCCCCAGAGCCCAATCCCCCACTCTCCATGAGGAGAACCAGAGACTGACTGTCCTGGGGTGAGATGGATAGTATGTGAGGTTGACTTACAGTCAGACACAGAGGCCACAGGGGGAGGGGAGGTGGGGTCAGGCTTGATAAACTCACATTCATTTGTTGAATGAACAAAAGGCTTTAAACACCATGAATAAGACAAAGATTATGGACACCCTCCAGAGACTGGCCTCATCCTAATGGCAGTTTTTGCCCCCAAATTGTATCTCAATGGACCACAGAGGGAGCAAATCCACTGTGGTCAGATTGGGAGCTTGGCGGTGGGTAAGCCTTCTCACCCCATCCTTCTTGTCTCGCTCCAGGGCCCCGTGCAAGAAATCTCGGGACACCTCCTCATTCTCGTCCAGCCACTGGATGACGAAAGGCTCAAACCACCTGGAACGGAGAGCTGGGGTGGGACCCTGCTATCTCTTGTCCCCATAATCCTCTGCTTGAACACACCCTGTGGCCTTGGGTGGTCACTCCTCTGATCCCCTACCCCACCAGGCCTTGGCTTCTTTACCCATGAAATTGACCAAGTGACCACTGTCAGGGCAAGGCCTAGACACGCGGTTGGTTGATAAACTGACATGGGCAAATAAGTTTACTCTGAGATCCCAACACAGCATAGTAGGTCCTCAGTAAATGGTGGCCACCAACCCACTCTCTACTACAGCTTGTGTGTCAGATATTCCAAGTTCAAATCTATCTCCATCACTTATTGGATGTTGCCTTGGGAAAATCCTTTAGCATTTAACCCTATATTTCTTCATCCACAAAATGGGAATTATGATGTTCCCATCTCATAGAACTGTCTAAAGAATTAAATGAGAATATATACAAGGGACTTCTTAGTACAGTTCCTGATACTTATGATTATTAATTATTTGGCTATAGGAGTCTTTAGGCCAATGACCAAGAATGGAGAACACTGGGTTTGAGCCCCACCTCTGCTCCTGATGCCCAGGGAACACTAAGTAGTGAGCCCTCCTCTTTGGGCCTCAGTCTAGTGTCAGCACTATAGTTCTGGCTTGGGTTCTGGGCAGGAGGCTTACGCAGGGTACTCCGGCACTCGGTCCTTGAAAGCAGGAAGCTCTGCCACATACTCATTGTAGAGCCACTTGACCTTGAAGTGGAGGTTCATGTAGTCGGCACTCTTGCACAAGCGATGCTTGTCATGCTCTGGAGCAGGGAACAGGGGGGAGTGGCTCAGCAGGAAGGGTCTGCCACCCTCTGTCTTGGCAGTGCCCACTCTGGCCATCACTGGTATTCGAGCTCAGGCATGATGGGGCAGGGAACTCACAGTCCTGGAGAAGACACTGAGACACAGCTATCTGCTGTAACCAGGCCGGGAGACGCAGAGGTGGGGGACTCACCCTCCATGGCATACTTCATATCCTGGGCAAACAGGTTCCACATCACTTCAGCACTGATTTTACCCACATTCAGCTCCTGGGGAAACCTGGCAAAAGTTAGGGTACAGGAACTTGACAGTCAGAAGGCAGATGGCACAGGCTGTTTTGGCTTTCCCCATCAAAGGGTAGGGAAGAGGGATCTATATTCAAGTTCCCTCATAGCCACCAACTTGCACAAGTGATGCTTGTCAAGGCTGAATGACTCTGCCCTGAGGCTCTGCTTCTCCTGAGTTTCCACCCACACATCCCTCCATCCCTTCATCCCTTAATTTACCCCTTTACCCATCCATATACCCATCCATTCACCCACCCATCTGTTTATGTTTGCAAGTTATGCTATATTTCACCCAGGCACAGCCACACCCACAATTGCTCCCACATACACAACACTTTAGGTGCAATAGACATTATTGCCTTTACACATAAGACAAAACTGTGTACACACATACATGATGACTTCCAAATAATTAACTACATAGACACACAACTCACTGGTTGAGGCAGGGAGTGTAGGAATTCTTGTCTTCCTCAATGATGGACACTATGAGAGTGATCAGCTTGGACCAGAAGTCGAGGTTCTTGATGCTGGGTCCCTGTTCCTCTGGGGGAACTTCCCCCTTCTTGGCCTGGTGGGGCAGTGGAGATATTGGCCACAAGGGGTCAAGGGATGGGAGCTTCAGGTTTTTACTGAGGTGCAGGAGGTTGCTGAGGAAGGGGCCCCATAACAAGTGTGTGGTTCAGGTGGGAGGTCTGCATAGAAAGGGACGGAACTCATGTAAACAGGCTCAAGCAGGGCTCATATCTACTCAGCTTAACAAGGCTTAACAAGACTCAGCTCATAAAACTGAATAGAACTGAATTTAGTTGAACAAACTCAAGCTCCCTAAACCAAATGAAACTGAAACTAATACAAATCATACCCACTTAGCTTAACAGATTGCATTTCTCAGAATTAATTCAGTGGATCTGAACTTGGGCCAATTACACTTCATAGAGTGGAATTAAACTGGATTGAATTTAACTCAAATAAACTGAATTGGATTTAACCTAATCAATCTCTCCAAGATCCACATCAACCTACATCAAAATAATGGACAGTAATCAATCTGAACTCAACTCAATTTAATATAACTCAACTCAGTCTAAGTCAACCTAATCCAACTCTACCTGCTCACCCCAACCTAACATACTCAGACCAACTCAATCTAATGTTAGTCAATCAATGGAGATGAATGTAAGTAAACTCAACAGAAATGAGTCCAAATGAACCCAAGTCAGTTGAACTCAGCCGTACCTAATCCAACAACCCAGCTCATTCTGACTGAAGCCAACTCAACACAGTCAAGAACAGCTTCAACTCAATTCAACTGAATTGAAATGAATACATTTTTACTCAGTTAAATTCAACTTAATCCAATTCAGTGCTGCTCACTAATTAGCCAAGAGCAATTTTAAGCCAATGAGTAGAAATAAATGGAACTAAACTGATTAGAGTTGAACTAAACTCAATTTAATCCACTTCATCTCAACACAATTGAAACCAACTTGATTTCAGCTCAAGTCAATTAATTCAGTTCAATTGAGAGCAACTTGATTTCAGCTCAAGTCAAATAAATGTAAATGAACAGAATGAAATAAAATTGAACTGAATTTGGCTTATGTGCTACCTCCTATTAGAAGCCAAACCTGATGTAGGGGCCATCTCAGGCTAATCACACTGGGCTGTAAATTACTAACTTTTACATCTTTCCCTCCTAATAGAGCATAAGTTTCTTGAAATGTTTTTGACAATCCTGGGACATTATATGTGTAGATAAACACATGCTAAAAGATCTCAAATAAATTGAGTTGAAATGACCAAAACTGTACTGTACTAAAAAATTCAATTCAACTCAAAGTTTATTGAACAGTGATTCAATTCCACACACACTGTGCTATGCAAAACTAAGCTGAACTAAAATCAAATTATTTGAGCACCTATTGTGTATCAGGTGCTAAGTATGTAACTGTATTTTATGTAAAGCTTGTATCTCATTGAATCTCTTCAAACCTGAGATGTGGGTTAATGACATAATTTTATAGAGCGAGATACTGAGGCTCAGAACAGTAAAGTCATTTGGGAAGGAGCAGATCTGGGACTTAGGCCAGGGTCAGGTGGTGTCTACTAGTCCCTTCTGCCTCATCTGGAGTTCTTACAGGGTCTGTCTGGTACTCCCGACTGTAGAGTTCATGACAGTTGTTGAAGATGTACTCATAAGTAGAGTTGAGGCAGGCTTTCACACAATCCTTCACCACCTGGCTGGCTCGGGGCGGGCTCTGGAGTTCTTGCACCTGGAGGAAGGGAGGTGGGCATGGATGGGTAAAGCAGGGACAGGAGGTGCCCAGGAAATGGCTATAAGTGGTTCTGGGTTTAAGGAAACATAAAACAGTGTGAAAACAGAGGGTCACTGCGAAAGGGTACTTGTCTCCAGGAGAAGTGCTACTTTTAGGAGCTAAGAGTCCTGGAGAATTCTTCTTGGAGAGCTAATGGGACTGGGTCCCCTTTCCTACCTTCATGCGAAAGAAGGTGATGCTGGTAAGAAGGTCCACAGTGGATTTGAGGTCCTGGAGTCTTTCTGGGCTGCTGGCTGGGAAGTTATTCTGTTGGAAGGGAGAAGAGAGGTGGAGTTATGGAAGAAGGTTAGGGGAGGATGGGACACAGTGTTTCAGGGGAGATTCAAGAGCCCTCAAGTTTCAGGAGGTAGATTGGGGGTCAATGAGAACGCCTTGAAGCAACTGGGAGGTCTTCTTGGATGCACCAAGTAGGTTGAGAAGGAGCTGCTCACATATGTGTATACGTGTTAGAGGAACACACTCTGCACATTAGAATGGGTCCTCCCATGGGCACACCTGCTAGAGGCTGTCCTTTATGGGTACACACATGCATGGCAGTAAGCAAGTCACCATGCACGCACTTCTCACCCGATACATGGAGAGGTCTATCCGCAGGGAGTTATGCAGTTGGTCCAGGAGCTTCACAAAGCGTTCTTTCTGGGGAAGCAGAAAAGGAGGAGGGTGGATGGAAGCAGAGACTTGGGCATTGAATGTAGCAGTGAAAGGCAGCTGCCATATTGGCTGAGGGTTTAATATATAGTAAAAGCATCCCATCCACCATTGAACTGAACCCTTATAATATCCATTTCCATTCTACAGAAAGGTAAACTGAGACTCAGAGAGATGTGACTGGTACAACGCCACACAGCAAATCAAGTCCAAATGGGAAATCTGGGAGCTACACAGGGTTTCACCACCACAGGTTTGGGTTCTCCCTCATCCCCCAGCCCCTGGGACTGACCCCAAAATTGGAGGCTGCGAAGCGGTCGGAGGCAGACACGTTGGTAGAGGCGGTGGTATGAGCATAATAGGCATTGATGTTGGCAAGCAGGGTGCTCATAACGGCAGGTACCCCAGGACACATGTACTTGGAGGAGAGGCAGGCAAAGTGGCTGGTGGAAGGGAGTGGGAAGCACTGGGCCTGGTGTCCAGCCAGGAGAGGCTGTAACCCTGCAGAATGCCTCCAAGACAGCACCCTGACTCCTCCCAATCCCCCAAACAGTCCCTTTCTGTCACCTGATTCTGTCCTTTGAGTTTTTCTGTCTCCTCTCCAGGTTGTCTCCTGTCTCTGTCTCTAACTCCAGCTCTAATCCCTGTCACTGTGACCCCCAGCACTGGTACTTGCCTACCCTCCCAGAGGAATTATATAACACCTACCACACCCACTTCTTCTCTGACTCCTTTTCCTATGAACCCCTTCCATCTCAGATCTGGCAGTATCTGCCTGGTGACCCCCTTGCCCAGTTTCTTGCACCTCTCCCTGATGTCCACCCCAGCCTACAGCCTCACGTCATGGCTTGGTAGATGGACTCGACGCCATAGCGCATGGCAAATTCATCCACAATCTCCTGGGCTGTCTCATCATAGTAAACTTTCCAGGCATCATCACCCTTGGCATCCGGGATCTTCACAACCCCATTGTTCTGCATGTCAGTCACAAAGTGAAACAAGTTCTGCCAATACAAGGGAGAAGGTGTATCAGAGAGTGCAGGGGGCCAGAAGGGGTCTGGTCTAAGGCATCTTACATTATCTGTCTGTTTATTCATCTACTCTTTCATCCATCCAGCTATCCAAAATTTCACCTATCCCTCATCCATTCTTCCAATAATTCATCCATCCATACACACACGCATCCACCTATCCATTCAACTACCCCAAAATTTATCCATCCACTAATTCACAATTCTGATAATTCAACCACACATCCCTCTATCCCATACATTTACCCGCAACTTAATCAATCCATCCAACAATTCATCCTTCCACCCAATCAACCATCAATCCACTCATCCATCTATCATCCATCTGTTGATGCATCTATTCACCCACCCACCTGTCTAACTACCCCAAAATTCACCCATTACACCTCTGTACTTCCAATAGTTCATCCATACATCCATCCACTCACCCAGCCATTTGTCCACCCACCCACCCATCCTTCCATTCATTTACCCATCTATCCATCCATTGATCCATTCACCCCTTCAACAACCCCCAAATTTATCTATTCTTCCTCCCAGTAAATCATCCACACACCCATCTATCCCACCTACTACATACAATGTAATCTGTCCAATAACCCATACATATACCTATTCAGCCATTTGTTTCCCATCAATTTATCCATCCATCCATCCATCCATCTGTCCACTCATCCATCCATTATCTATCTGTCCATTCATCTAGTCAGCCATCCATCTATCCGACTACCCCCAAATTCTTCCATCCATTCACCTATACTTCCAATAGTTTAACTAGACATCCATCTGCTCATCCCTCCTACATCCATATATTCTTTTATCTACTCAATACTCATTCATTTATTTAATTATTTATTTTCTCCAGGGGCCCCCAGGTACCTGGAAAAGATAGACTCAGACACAAACAGCCCAACCTTGAATGTTCATGGATGGGACAGATGGGAGACCTGGAGCTAGGTAGTAAGAGTCTGCCTGGAGGTCAGGGAAGGCTTCCTAGAGAAGGGGACCCTGAAGCTGGACCTTGATGGATGGGGAGGAGTTTTCCAGGCAGACAGAATGGCATAAGGGACAGCCTCAGAGGTCCAGGGGAGTGTGGACGGTGTGGCAGAAAAGAGGAAGGAGGAGCTGGGGCAGGTAGAAATGGTGAGCGGCAGTGTGGGAGATCATAATGAGCTTTGTGGGCAGGTTGAGCAGTGGGCCTCACCTCATGCAGACAGGTGTACTGGACATGGTAGGGGGCCACCTTCTCCTCGCCCTTGATTTCCACACTGATGTGTAGCCGAATGGCACCTGACACAGCAGATTTGTCAGTCCGCTTGTCTACAGGGCAGAAAGGGATTGCAGTGTCAGAACTTTCCTATCTGGCCCTGGGCTATTTTAATGTATGTATGTCTGTTGCCTTCCCGGACTCCCTGAAATTAAGGTCTGGGTGCCTGTCCTCAGATTGGATCCCTCAACTTGTGTTTCTCCCATTAGACTAGAATTCCTTAGGCCCCATCTCTCCCTTCCAACTAGGATCCCAGACCTTGCTTCCTCACTCAGATTAAATTCCTGGCTCTGCATGTCCCTCCTTAGACTAGAAACCCTAAACACTGCTTCCCTCCCACCAGCTGAGTTCCCAGGCTCTGCCTCCCCAATCAGATCAAGCTCCCTCGAGTCTACTGCTCATCTTGTTGTACAGGGTTGCAGCCTCCCCCCAGGTCAACCCAATCCAAAGGATGCAGGCATCCTTTGCCTGCAAGCCCTGGGCACAGACCACTGGAAGATATCCCATCAGAATGGGATATCTAGATTTCTTCCAAACAAAGAATTTCCTGGACTCTGCCCACCCTTCTCAGACTGGGTTCTTCTTACACCTTCAGACTAAGTTCACAGATCCTGAATTCTCATCAGATTGGGCTCACAGATTCCACTCATCTTCTTGGACAGGGCTGGTGGGTCTACAGCTCACTTCTCAGGTTAGGATGCCCAAACTATGCGTATACCTCCTTTCTTAGATTCGATTCTTAAAGTTCAATCTTCCTTCTTAGGTCAGATTCCTGAGTCTATGCCTCTCTGTTCAGACTAGGATCCCCAGGTCTTACTCCTGCCTCCACCATGAGACTGGAATACAGAGATTCTGTCCCTTCCTCCCCCTACCAAACCAAGCTAAGAATTGCCTAGGTTATCCTCTCAGCTGGGGTGCTTCCTGCTGCCATCAGACTAGGCTCCTAGACTGACTCCTCCTGACACTGTGTCTCTCCTTTCCAACTAGGTTCCCTGTCTTGGCTGGCTCCCTGGGGCCTCCTCCCCGCTCCACCCCCTGCAGACCACCCCCTCACTCACCCAGGTTGTACCACACGTCCATCTCGCCACTGAGCGTCCGCACCTCGATGATCGTCTGTCCCAGGAAGTCATCAGACTCCCTCTTGAACCGTTGCTTCACTCGGGATTTAATATCATCATCTTCGTCCCAGACACGGACCTTGATTCGATCTGAGGAGTTGTGACATTCACTGCAAGGGGGAGGCAGGAGCAAGGGTCAGGCAGCTGGCTCTGGCTGGTACTAAGGTCCCCAGCAGGGAGCTCTACACGGGATTCTGGGGACCCAGCCAGGCGCTTACAAATGAAAGTTCTCCTCCCACACGGGGTTCAGGTTCCCATAGATGGTTTTCGTCCGTTTCTTGGTCTTCCCAACCTGCACAGTGACATAGGGGTCACTGGATCCCGTCTTGTCCTTTGCCTGCAAGCCCTGGGCACAGACCACTGGAAGACACATAGGACAAACATAAATGTGGCTCGAGGAAGGACGTATGCCGGAAAGAGTCACTGCCAGAGGCTACAAGCTGCTTGCTGAGGAGGCCTCTGATATGGCCTGAGGGCACACTGGCCTTAGTAGAGAGTTAACACCCAAGGAACCCTCAGCCAGTGAAGGATGGGAAGGTGCCCCAGGGTCACCCCTGGGGTGGGACATTCTCAGGGGTGTGCTCTACACTGTGCCTCTGAAGTTCCCCAGTGGAACTGAACCTCCATTGACCGCAAAGTCACCTGCTCACTGGTGCCCACCTGAAGGGCATCTTCTTTTCTTGCTCCCAGAATTCTGTCTCCACCCCCCACCAGGGCTTCCTGGGACCACCTCCAGGACACCCACCTGCCCTGAAATCATCTTGGGGTCTGTCTCCTAAGAAACCCAAATGAGATATGGCATGGATAAACACCACAAGGGCCCTGCCCCTAGGGTAGGACCACTCTGCAGTGGGAGCTCAATACTGTCCCCCAGTGGTCCCAGGTGGGACTGAGCCCCAGGTGTCCACAGCACTGCCTGCTGTTGGCACTCTGTGTAGAGCTCCTTCTCTTCCAGTTTCACTTCCAAACCCCCCAGGGCTTCCTGGGATCACCTTCCAGACAAACCATGTGCCCTCAACTCCTTTTCCTGGTGTCTGATTCTGGGGGCACTAATCAAGATGCACCCAGATACTGTCATGCACATAGTTTTGGAGGCATACATGTTCACCTGTGGGCATAAATGTACACACACGTGGACATGGGAAAGACATGGATATGTTCAAGTCTGTGCAGCAAAGGGAAGGAAGAGGCCTGGGAGGGAGCATAGAAGGCTGAGAAGGTCCCCCTACCCCCCAGCCCCCACCCCGGGCGGCCTCACCAGTGATGCTGATCTTGGCTGACCATTTGGACGTGCCATCCAGCACGCTCTGCTTGACTGCTTTCATCTGCTGTGTGTGTGCGGCCTTGGTCACAGCAAAGACCTCCTGGATGAGTTCGAAGATCTCGGGCTTGTTACGCTCCCGGATCTTCATGCGGTCCTTGAGCACCATGATGATGTTCTGCGTCCGGTCCTCAGCCCCGTGCTTGGAGCTCTTCTCCGCTGCCCCTGCGGAAGCGGACAGCCCGCACTGTCCGGGGAGCGGGCCTCACCGCAGCCAGCACCCCGACTCCCCCTCCAGAGCTCCCTCAGCAGCTGCCATGGGCATTTTAAGCCATGGGGGTTCATGAGAATCAACCCCCCCCCCCCCAAACAGAGCTTCCTGCTTGTTTTCTGAATCTCCGCACACCCTCTGAATCCCCTGCTTCTCCAAGACCCGTCCCTTCTCTGAGCTAACCCTAACCCTACCTAACCCGTTTTTCTCAAGGGGAATGAGTGCCTCTCATTAATCCCGCCCCTTGTAGTTAAGCCAGTCTGAGTCCCGTCCCACCCTTTTTCGGCTCTCTCACCTCGCCTTTCCCTCCTCTCAACCCCATTCTTCCGTCAAAAGGAGTCTTGCCCAAACACTCCAACCCGCCCACAGCTCTGCCCCTCTCTTCATGCCCCTCCCATCTCGCAAATCCTTCTCGTTCTGGCCCCGCCTACCACCCTGCTTCCACGGAGCCCCCACCCCCTTGCCCCCCCCCCCCGCCCCGCCCGCGCCAGCGCTCACGCTGCAGGCAGTCGGCGTTGAGCAGGTCCTGGCACTTCTCGTGGCACTTGACACCGCACTCGGTGCAGCGCATGCCCTGCCGCGCGATGCCCCACAGCAGCCCCTCGCACTCATAGCAGTAGGTGGGCGTGGTGGCCGTCCACACCTCGAAGTTGTGCGGTGTCGTGCACGAAATGGGGTAAATTAAGGCTTGCAGGGTCTTCTTGTAAACGTGGTTTTTCTGCGAGGAGGGAGGGGGTGCGGTATGGGGAACAGGGCCCTCGCCTGGGGGCCCTGTCCTGCCGGTACCCTCACCCTATGTATAGTATATTCCAGTCTCAGTCCCTCCGCCGCCCCCACGCGGTCAGAATCCACAGGTTGCTGTGTACAGAGGGTGCTAACCCGATGCTGAGCTATCCAACCCTGGGGACTGACGAATGCCTGTCTCTGCCACACCCCTTTCCTCTTCCTCCAGAAGCCCCCACCTCAGCCCATGTTACAACCCCACGCACCAGCTCCTCGTTGTTCAAAGTGCTGGAGGCCAAGGCGGATGTGATGCCTGCTTTTCTGGACTGGACCAGGGACTGGGGCGGGATGGCACCAACGGAGTCACGGAGTAGATTGACACCCATGGGATAGTCACCGAGAGCAGAATCCACAGCCACAGTTTGGGGCCACCAGCCACAGAGTCAAGCCAAAGTCACAATGAATAGGACACAGCAGCAGGAGAACAGGCAAAGAAGTGACAGAGGCTCTGGTTTAGAAGGGACCCTGGAAGGTGAGCAGCCCTACACCCCTAACTCATCCCCCTCCCCACGGGCCAGACTTGGCCATGGTCATCAGCCACACTGTGAACCAGGGTGGGGAGTCACTTGCCCTCTTCCCCACCCATGAACTGCAGGACACAGCAGGGCCCCTCCCCAGAGCCCATGGGTTGGGGGCCAGTTGACAGATCCCAATACAGGGGCCTGGGAAGGAGACTCAAGGGGCCAGGTCACTATCACTCACTCACCATGGCCTGAGGCATCCATGCAGCACACAGGGTAGAAACCAGATTACGTTAGTCCCAGAGAACACCTCGCCAGCCCCCAGTCCCAGGTCTGCTGTGGGCAGTTGTACAGGATGAGCACTGGGGGAGGGGAGGGCGCAGGCACTCACCAGGTCACTCACAAGTGGGATGGGCTTCCTCTTACGAATGTCAGGCATGCTGTCAATGATGATGAGACCACCCCCTGGGCTGCAAGACACACAGGAGGATGTCAAGAGCCCAGAGAAGTTCCCCTTCCTCCAATGGACATCAGCTGAGGCTGGGGCAGGTCACGTGATTTCCCCAGGCATTAAGAATTTAATTGTGTCCCCCTTCCAAAAATATACATTCAACTTCTAAACCCTAGGACTTCAAAATGTGACCTGTTTGGAAATAAGGCTATTGCAGAGGCCATTAGCTAAGATGAGGTTGTACTAGAGTAGGGTGGGCCCCAGTCCAATACGGTGGTGTCTTTATAAGAAGAGAGACACACAAGCAGAAGACAGTGGTGTGACAATGGAGGCAGAGATCGGAGTGACACATTTACAAATGAGAATTACTAAGGACTGCCAACAGCTCCCGAAAGCTGGAAAGGCCAGGCAGAAATTCTGCCCTATGGGTGTCAAGGTAGCACGGCCCTGCCCGCACCCTGATCTCAGACTTCTGCCTCCAGAACCATGACAGAATCAATTTCTGTTGTTTTAAGCCCCCATTTGTGGTAGTTTGTCACAGGAAATGAAGACATTGGGCCTCAACTTCCTTGTCTGGAGATGGGGAGATGATGCAGGCACCCATGTTTAATAAAAATTTGAATTAAGGGAAACCTAAGTAGTATATAAAAATATCAATGAAACCTTTCTTTATGCTCAAAATTGAAAATATATGTGTCTATTGAAAATCCAGCCTGGAAGAAGTGGTTTCAACTCCCAGGGGAATGAGGGAACTGGAAATTGTGTTCTTGTCTCTTGGAAGTTTTACAGTAGCCAGAGGACTGAATGAGCGCTGTGACAGACGCCATAGTGACCTGTGTGAATTCCCTTTACTGAGAGGTGCACTCATTCCAGGAAAGGTTCGGCTGTGGCTCCTCTCCTGAAGGTTCTCGCTGGCCAGTGAGAGAGGTGCCTGGCCAAAAGGTATCTTGGACAAGCTCTAAGGTGAAGTTCCTGCTCCAGCACCCCCTGCAGAATCAGGCAGAGGCTTGGGGACTGCTGAACCACATCTTTGCTCAAGCTGCTTCCCAGGCCTGACCCCACCTGCCACACAGGTGTCTCCTAAGAGAGCTTCCTCCATCCACCACACACACAGGAATCCCCATCTCAGTCCCTGCTCCGGGTCTCCCGGCCCAGCACACCTGTTTATCTGTGAATCACAGCTCCTGGCTCTGTTTGCAAAAGAGCTACAAGAAAGTCACTCTCCTGCTGCTATTTTAAAACATTAGTGTAATTTAAGAATATCTTTTGCAATCTCATTATCCAAAGGCTGAACCCCGCCTCCCCGAATATCAGTAACTTAAGAAGTTAGATGTGACAAATTGCTCCATTAAAGACCAAATGACTATTGTTAATGAAAGTGCCAGCAGCCACAGCAATAGTCTGGGAGATTTAAAAGCAGAATGAAAGCAAAATATTCACTCTAGGCTTGCAGATGGGCAGTGCGGGAAAATGGGTTTTTTCTTTATCTCGCATTTATTTTTAGAGGGAAGCACTTTTGAATTGTGTGACTTGGGCAAGGCATATACCTCTCCGGACTCAGTTTCCCCACCTGTAAAACAGAGTAGTGCTCCCCCATGGCTTTGTTGTGAGGGCTCAACATGTTACTACCTTTGGCTCCTGAGTGTCTTTTGATAGTGGTTCCGCTGTTTCTCTCACCCATGCCCACTCTGTGCCCCGTCTAAATGGAACCTGTCCCTGCCCTTGCTGGCTACGGTGCAAACTAGACTCAAGCTCTGGGTTCAAAACTTCCTCCCAGCCCCAAAGCTCCATTACTCACCCGCCTTTGAACCACAGGGATTTGGACATCTCTCCTTCTCCCCGGGCCTGTGGAACAGACAGATGTGGTGAGTGTGGCTGTCCTTCCCCAGGGCCAGGCAGTCTCCAAACCCACTGTCTTCTCTTTTGGTTGTGGGTCAGGAAACCTGGAGACCTAGTCCTCACTGTGTGTCCTTAGAGAGCTCACTGTTTTTCTCAGCTTTTCCATCTGTGAAATGGGAGAGAGGAATTCTTCTCTGCCGTCAGCCTTCATGGATGTTAGTCTCCTCATCTATCAACCTGAGGATGTGTTAGCATCATTCCAGCAAGAGCTTATGCTTTTGTAGCCTCTGGGGATTCTCAGGGGCTGGTTCAAACACTCACAAGAACCTATTGTTTCTTAAACTCCCTACAGCCTCACCTGCCTGTCTGCTTTTGTGCCTCAGGGCCCTTGCCCAAGCTGTACCACCTGTGTGTACATGCTCCCACCTTCTGCACCCAAGAAACCTCCATTTATCATTCAGGTCTCAGTGTAGACTCTAGTCTACACCTCCCATGTCCCATGCCATTAACTAAAGGGTAGCGTGGCTGAAGGGGGAGTGGGCAGCACTCTCTTCTGAAATATTACTGAAGTATTTTGAATACTTTAAGTGTCACCTCCTCCAGGGAATTTTCCTAATTGCCTTGCATTTTTTTATGTCCCATCTACAAAACCCAGAGAGCCTGCCCACATTTATTTTTCTTGTCATATCACTGGTTCCAGGACAAGGGTAATAGCTGTTGCTTTGCTTTTTTTCTTTTTTCCATTTAATTTTGAAAGTTATTCAATAGACTTTTCACTGTATATTCTTTTCTACCTTTTAAACTTGGAATCATGTGAATATCTTATTTAGTAAAAAATAAAATATTTTTTTTAAACTGACAGGAAATTTGATTTGAAATTTTTGTGGCTCTGATACTGGATGGTTGAAAATTTTGGGAATGTGATTAGGATCTCCTCTTGCCAGCCTCATCCAAATTATCCAGAAGATCCCCCTGGATAATAACACCGCTCTGTCTGCAGCCCAGAGTCATTTGAATGACTGGAGGAATAAGTAAAGGGTCTCAATCTTGCTGCACATCTGAATAGTCATCACCCTGACCCTGACACTAATTTTGTCTCTCACTGAATTCCCTTTCTAACACTGACCTGGCTCTGGACCTTTCCCAACACTGACAGTAACACCCAATATGATTCCAAGCACTGATCTCATCCCTTGATACCAATTCTAACTCTGACCTCTGACTGCTGCCTTAATCTTGATCTCTACCCCTATTCCTAACCTCTACCCCTGTCCATGAACTTGATCCCTGACATGGCTGTAGCCATGACCTAGGTCCAGGGCACAGCTCACTTCTCCTCCTCCCCTGCTTAGAAATATCAGATTGGCATAGGAGAGGCTGGGCTGGATCTTGGCATGGGGGATGATAGGACAGGCAGGTGTGGGTGAGACCAGGAATGGTAGAGCCAGGGCAAGGGCAGGCAAGCATGGGGCCGGGTTGGTATGCGTGGAGCCATGGAAGGACCAGGACCTATAGAGGAACAGACATGGTGGATGGGGTGAGGAAGTAGGCATGGCCAAGCTGTCCATGGGGTGTGGCATGGACTGCTGTGGTGGGTAGGGCTAGGAAAAGGACCAGTGTGGCAGGAGCATTAGGGGAGTGGGGGAGTGGGCATGGCCAGTCTGGGTACGGTCATGATGGGGGCACTGGGCAAGAGTGTGAGCTGGCCAGGGCTCTTACTCACCTCCTGCAGCTGCAGCCGCACTTTGTTGAAGGCTCGCAGCCAGTTGGCCTTTGCCCTCGACATGGAGTCCTGACCCTCCTGGCCTTCCTCATCTTCTTGTGGCCTGAAACTGAGGCACGGGGCATCCTGAGGTTCCAGGGCGGGCTCTCCCTCCACCCTCTGCCTTCTGAGTGATTCCTGGTCCTTCAGAGACACTAGGACCCACCTGTGCCACCCTCTGACCTGTCCCAGTGCCTCTGTCCTCTTCCCACATGCCCATCACCTGACAACTTTGGGTCCCCAGACACCCTTTTCTATCCTTCTGGCCCTGAGACCCTTTGTAAATCTATTTTCTCAGGGTCCTCCCAATGCATTTGTGACTTCTCCAGCCCCTCACAACCCCTAAGACACCTTCATGACCCAGCTTGACCTCCTCTAACCCCACTGAACCCTCTCTGACCACCTGGGCCCATCTTGATTTCTTCAGTAAACCCATGGTCCTGTGACAACTCTGCCCTCCCCTCCAATTCCCTAGGTCCGTGTTCGCTTCATCATGGCATCACTGACCCCTGATCATGGTGACCTTGTGACAGTCCCTCAGCCCCCTCTCATTACCTCTCCTCAGCTTTGGGGGGCTCAGCTGTAGGCACCTCCTCAGGCACAGCTGGCTCAGGGGCCACTTTGGCCACAGCGGGGGCCTCAGTGGGCAAGGCCGGGGCCTTGTCCTCCTTCTCTGGGGCAGCTGGCAAAAGACTGACACGCTTGAAGTCCTTGGGCTCAGCCACGGCCGCCTCCTGGTGCTCAGCATAGGCACGGATGTCATCAGGCACCTCCTCTTCCTCTTCCAGCTCTTCTTCGTCCTCAGGCAGCTCCTCCTCCTCCTCCAGGAAGTCCTCCAGGTCCTCATCCAGGTCCTCATCCAGGTCCTCATCTAGCTCCTCGTCCAAATCATCCTCATCCTGGTCCCAGTGTGGCGAGTCCTTGTGGTAGCTGACTGAGCTGTGGCAGGAGTGGTAGGAGTCCCGGTCCCGCTCGTCCTCCAACTCGGAGCCCTGCAGGCTCTGCTCATCTGGGTCAAAGTCCTCGCTCAGCTGTGAGCTGCCCTGGCTCAGCTCCCCTGAGGAGGCATAGCGGCTGCTGCCTGTGGGGCTGAGGGGATGGGTGGGGCTCAGGCCAGGCACAGAGCCAGTGCCCAACCAGCCCCAGTCCCACAGGTCCAACACCCAGTCATTTACTCAGCACTGCTGGAGCACCTGCTGTGCACTGGGCCCCGCCATAGGTGCCAGGGAAACACAGCCATGAGCAAAAGAGACAGAAAGCCTGCTCTTGTGGCATTTATGGTCTAGGTGGACAGACAATAAACCAGATCAATGAACTTAGAGATCATTGATGACCTACTGTGTGCTGCCCCTGTCTACGCTCCTCCCACATGCTGAGTATCCTGAATCAATGTCTTCACCACAGCCCCCATGGAGACCTTGGGCTCCTGCGATGTTGCCATGGTTGTGCCTGGCTCTTGATGTTTCCCACCTCAACCTGGCCCTTCCACCACTGAACCCCCTCATTCGCTGAGGCTCAGGGCCTTTCTGCCTCCACTTCTTGCCTCAACCTCCGCTCCCAGCCAGCCCTACCACAGGTCCCCTTAACTCCAGCTTGCAGACGTACATAAAATTCTCTCAATTCTCTGCACCCCGGGCCCTGCCCTGGTCCAGGCTCTGCCATCTCCACACAGTGCTGCCCCAACATCCACTCCTGTCCCCAACAGTCCCTGCTTCCCATGGAAGCAACAGAGGGGCTTCTTTGAGTCATAAACCCAATCACATACCACCACTGTCCAAATGCCACCAGGCCCTTTAGTGTCCTTGGACCCAAACCCACACCGTGCCCAGCACCCTTGTGTGGCCCAAACCCTCCAACTTCCCCACCCTCACCTCCCTCTCTGTCCCTCTTTCTCTCCCCCTGCTCTGGTTGCATCGACCTCCTTGCTGTTCCTCCAACACCCTAAGCTTGTGCCCACTGCCAGGAACACGCTTCTTGCTTGATGTTCGTCCCATTTCTACCACTAAATGTTTTTACCTTGAATGTGTTATTTCATTTCATTCTAAAAAATAAAGGCTAGAGTAGATGCTCGGTGTTTTAATAAGTTCCTCCCAAAATATCCTATCTATAAACTAGCTAAACTTTCTGTGGTGTATATTAACTATAGAAAAATTCAAATAAGGGTTGTTCAAATATCTGCAAAACAAATTGTATTGGTCAATGGTCAAGTCTGAGTAGGAAGCTTATGAAGTTTTCCTTCAAATTACATTTTACCCAAACTCTCACACTGTCCAATAGAACTTTCAGCAAGGATGGATGTGTTTTCTATTTATCTAAATGCCGTACAAATATTCAAGCTGTTTAATTCCATGTTTGCTATTGTTCTGTTTGGAAACCAGGACTAGGGTGGTCAGGTCAACGAGGAGGGGCAGCAGGCTAGAGTTTCAGCCTCCTTGGCTCAAGGACCGACACCCTGCCCTAAGCAGTGGTAAGGTACACAGAGGCCAGGGGCCCACCTACTGGCTGGGGACAGCTTACTTTCAAAGGAATGGTGACAATGGCTGGACAGAGTAGGAGCAGCTCCCAAGTCACTGTGCCCATGCTTGCTGGCCAGGAACACAGGGTCTGGGGCCACCAGGAGGGTTGGGCAGGACCACCTGGGACGCCCAGCCAGCTGCTTGCTGGGATTTTTCCAACAGCGCTGTGTCTCACATCCCCCACTAACAGTGATCTCTTACCATCCACCCTCCCCCGCCCAGTAAGACAGTAGATAGGGACCAGTGGCTTTTTAAAGGAGTACAAGGAGCCCCCATATTTCAGTGGGATCAATCAGGAGCATTTGGACTTTCTTTCTTTAGCCAAAGCAGACCCACTTTTCTTAATCTTGTGGAATTTTCTTGCAAAATTTTGGGTAAAGCAAGGGCTCTACTGCTTATAAGAAAGTGTGAATGCTGCTTTTCTAGACCCAGTTACCTATACCTCCAGCACCCTCCAGCCCCCTACTCCTATCTTCACTCCAGAAGACAGGGCTAGACACACACACACACACACACACACACACACACACACACAGGGACCTTGACTCCAGGGTGGCTACCTGAGGGCCTGTGGCTCGGAGAACTCCTCATAACTGTGCATGGAGTCACTGTAGGATTCCCGGGAACCCAAGGGTGGTGGACGAACAGAATACTGATGGACTGAAGCATTGGGCTGGGATGTAGTGTAATAGGGTGGGGGGATGCTGTTGCTTGTCTCGCTGCGATAGTCACTGTCACGATCATCCACTGCACTGTCAGGGTCATCATCTGGAAGAGAGAGGAGGTGAGGAGGGAGAATGAGGAGGGATGGGTGGAGGAGAGAGAGGGGGAGAGAGAATACAATGGGGACCAAAGCAGGATCTCAGACTTAGGGGACCTTCACTGGCTGCTAATCTAAGAAGAGTAACCAGAATGAATAAATGGGTCATGTAAATAGAGGTACAGGCTTTAGAATAAGGAGGTGAAAACCCTGCTTTGCCTTATGTGGATCAAACTGGACCTGGAGTCTGGGGTCCAGGGTAGGTGCTACAATGTGAGGACAGTGAAAATGGGAGGATGTCTTTCAGCTCAAATGTAAGAATGGACTTTGCCAAAGTCCAGGATCTCTGAAAACAAAATGTCCTCCCCCCTCAAAATCAGGCAGTGAGCTTTCCATAACAGGAGTCAAGCAAATACTCAAAGAAGTTGGAAGGAGATCAGAAGGCCAAGGCAGAGTACAAATGCCCTTTAACCCTCAGAGATTTCTTGGTAGCTGAGAACGGAGACCTCACATCTGAACTCACGCGCACAGGAACAAAGAAGGGGCTCTGACCAGGTACCGTCTGCCTCAAAGAGGATTAGGTCGTTAGGTGGGTGAGTCCACCACACACCCAGAATCTATCAATAAAATGGACCAGGGTGGAGCTGCCAAACTTCAAGTGTTGCATAAAAATTAAAGGATGTTTTTAGTTTGGTTTGTTTTCCTTAGTAAAAAGAAAACAGGTTTTCTTTCTCAGTAAAAAGAAAATGGAATGGTGTCGAGGGATGTTAGATCATTGCATGGCAGGAGAGACTATTTATTTTGAAAACAACACTTGGGTTGGAAAAGGGGTGCAAAAAATAAATAACCCCCTGACTGGGTGGCCCACAGCATCAATTTACTGGTGATTTTAAACACCAAGGAGGTGGCTCCCCTCTTTTTATTACTTTAAGTATTTTTTGTTTAAGTATTTTTGCTTTAAGTATTATTTCCCAGATGTTTGTCTATTTTTGTTTCTTTGTTACTTTAATCTTCTAATTCTTTTCCAGCTAATGTGTCTGTTCTATATATATTCAATAAATAAGTCCAATTCTTAAAATGTGGTAAATTTTTAAAAACTTATTCATACATTCCTTCGGTTATTTTACCTTTAGGAAAGCCTTAATTCGTTTTCAGCTGGCAAAGCTGGCCCTACCAAGGCAACTGTGGATTCCCAGTTTCTCATTTAACTTGTGCTGCTGTGACCTCCGAGCCTTCTACCGTGTCCCCTCCCATCCTGTAAAAGCCTGAGGTGGGGGATCTGAAACCTGGACGATCCCCCTCAAAGCTCTGGAAAATTTGTCAATGTCACCAAATTGCCCCAATGACCAATTGGTTTTCTATCCAGTTATTCAGGTCTTAGGCCAAATTGGCTTTCTCTTTACCAAATTGTTCTTGACCAAGCCAAGATGTTTTCAACCAAGTCACATGAGGCTGTGTGCATGTTCACCCAACTCTTTTTTTCTGACAAATTGTGTGTTTTTGAGGGGCAAATTGCTTTTGATTGTATTTTTGTTTTCACCCAGACTCTGCTTTTTACCAAATTGCTGTTTCCAACTTTCAAACACTTGTGTCTCCAAAAAAGGTTCTGCTTTTGGCCCAGTGGTCTTTGCTTTTCACCCAGTTATCAGCTTTAGCCAAATTGGATTTAACCAAAAACATCTCTGTTTTTGATGGTATTGTTTGCTTGTGGCAAACTGGTTGTTACCAAATCTTTTCTGCCTAATGTGTATTCTGGTCAAATTGATTTCTGACCGACTCGTTTTTGACAAAAATTGTTTGGATCGGAGAACATGTAAACACTTTCCCTGGTCCTGGAGGGAGGGGTGAGTGGAGTTTGTCCTCCAGGGGAAGGGTTGGGGTGGAGGAGCCCCCAGCTGGTGGAGGAAAGAGGGCACAGATTCATATTCAGACTAAAGGACTGGATTTCTCTGGAAGAGGAAGGACATGGGAACTAGAGAACTCTTCCTTAGGGAGAGAGATGGGTATCCAAATTGGGGGGATGGCCTGTCTTCCTCCTCTGGGGGCAAATTGGAGGAAGATGTGTGTGAGGGGGCTTTGGAAGGAGGTCTTGGGAATGATATCCACCTGAGGACCCCTGCCCTCTGCTCTGAGACCCTCTTTCTTCCCCACCCCCACCCTCAGAGTGACTTTTCCAGGTTGAGGAGGAAGACAGGGAGACAAAAAGAGGAAGGAGTCACAGGAGAGGAGGTTATACATGGGGAGTGGGGGAACGGGGGTCACAGTGCCCAGCTGGAGACAGGCAGGTCTCCCGTCTAAATGCCCAGGCCTCCCAGCTGAACCCTTCCACCCCAATGGCAGTGCCCACTCCCCACCAGACAGAGCAGGAGCCCCAAGACAGATGTTAACAGTCGGGGCAGGAGGGCAGAGAAGGGGCCTTGCCACTGGGCCCCAGTGTGCCAGCTGCGGGCTCCTCGTTTCCCTGCACGGTGGGGGGGGTGGGGATGCCAAGGCACCCACTCCCCATGGCCTCCCAGGATGTCAAGCTGAGTACTTACTCTGCTGCTCACCCCAGCCAAAATAATTCCAGTTGCCTACAAAGAGAAGGGGCAGAGACAATAAAAGGGAGCAGGCAGGGGGGCACTTGGAGGGGGGGCTCCACAGTCCTCCTCATTCTCCCCATCCTCCCATCCAGGACCCCAGTTGCCTCCTAACCTCTGAGGATCTTTTCCCAAGTACCACTCTAACCACTGACATTTGTCATGCCTTCACTCACCACCTTGGGAGAAAGGCGGAATATCTGTTTTTGGAGGAGACCACAGGCTCAGCCAGGAAGTAACAAAAGGGGCATATCTGTTCTGAAGTCTGGGGGCAGCACACCTCTCTCCTTCCCTCCCCTATCTGGTGCGTGAGGAAAGAAATATTGAACTGGAAATCCTAAATTTAGGAAATCCTAAAACACCCCTGTCAGGTGGGTTTTTCTCATCCTGCTCATCGTACAGGTGAAGAAACAGGGCTCAGAGGGGTAGGATGAGCAGCCTCAAGTCACACAGCCTCCGAGCCTCAGGGCCAGGAAGAGAACCACATCTCCCTTCTTCGTTCCCAGTGCCTGGCATTGTGGGAAATGCCTTGGACCAGAAGCCTGACTCCTCCATGAACATTCATTCCTAACAGGACTTGGAGGTGAACGCTGGAAGGTGGGTCTCCATTCCCAAACTGAACCCACTCTTCATTTCAGTCTACCTGCCCAGGTACTCTGTCATCTGCTCCTGCCTCCAGCCTGTCTGGCCCTTCCCCCACCACAACCTTCATTGAGCCCATTCATAGGGGTAGGGGGCTTATAATTCCTTCTGGGAAGTGGTGGCTTCCCCCCAGGCAAGGAAGTCAAGAGACTTTCTCAGTAACACACCCCAAGTTATGACAGAACTGGGTCCCCCAACCGCAGTCCCCTAGCAGCTCCCCCACTAGGCTCTACCATCACCATCCTGGGCATATGGGGGTGTGTGAAAAACAGGTACAGGAAGACAGTGAGAGAGCAGGGGAGGGAGAAAAGGGGGATAAGGAAGAAGATGGAACCGGAGAAAAAAGGTGAAGTGCGGGGTGGGGACAAAGCATCATGGGTTCAGGTTCGACCCTGGATCTGTCACTTCCTCCCCACTCCAGAGGACTCGGGAGGAACTTTTGGGAAAGAAACATCTCCTTGGCCCATGGAGAACTGGTCTGGGTGCCTCTGAGTGTCCACAGGGCCAAGGAACATAAACAGTCTTGAAAACTCCAGCCTGGATGCAGGGGCAGTAGGCGGAGGAACGTGATCATCATCAGCAAAAATAGACGCAGTGCAGTGGAAAGAGTCCCTCAGACCTAGTTCAAATCCTGGCTTTGCCTCCTGCTGGGTGTGTGACCTTGGGCAAGCTGGTTCTCCTCCTGGGCCTCAGTTTCCTCATCTAAGAAAATGGGCAAATGAAACAGCCTTTGTCCGTCATCTGTGCGCCTGTTTTACACATGTCGGCAGGACTGTCAGTGTCCATCTGCTCCCTCTGGCTGTGGGCTGCTTGGGGGCCTGTGCTGGCCTCATGAAAGAGCCTCTCATCTGGGTTTGATGAACAGGATTAAGGCGTCTGCAAAATGTTTTTTAAGCCTCTAGATGTTCTGGGACCCCTCAAAGTGAAGGGCTGTCAGATGCATGGTTTCAAAGAGAGCAACTCCAGGGATCAGAGAGGGGCACTGGCATGCCTGCAGCCACAGAGCGAGGCAGAACTTGAACCCAAGTCCCAGATCTCTTCTTCTTTCCACCACACTGTGAGCGTTAACTGCCCACTCTTAGGACCCATACCTCTGGAGAGGGGTTGGCCTGTTACACACAACAGCCATGGGTGGGGGAGGGAGGCCAAGGAAGGGATGGAGAGGTACTTACAACACTGGTTGCTGGGGACAGGGAGAGGCTTGTCTTGTTCACCTTGGAACGAATACTGAGGGAAGGGAAGGAGAGAGGGCACATCTCAGAGAGGCCAGGAGCCAGAGGACCAGGATGGTCTTCTGCTGTGTCCCATCCTGACACCCTCATGCTTCTCCAATCCTCTCCCTCTGGAGGAGAAAGATACAGATGTTCACAGACAGAGAGAGATACATACAGAGAAGCAGGGAGACACGGATATAGAAAAAAGAAAGAGACGCACACGAAGGAAAGAAGCAGAGACAAGAGAGACAGGAGGGAGAGAGAGACAGAGAAATGAGGCTGGACAAAAATTACTCACACGCGAGTACTGGCCCCTTGCCCTCCACCTCTCACTAAAGAACATCGTAGTCTTGTCCGCTCTTCCTTCCCTGCCCTCACCTCTTAAAGTCTGTTCTCTGGGCCACAGGGGTCTTTGCACTGTGGGGATATAGAGCCAAGAAGACGAGGAAGGGGTGGCATAGAAGAACGGAGGTACAGGGGCTGAAGCTTGTGGGGGACGAGAATTTTTAAGAAAGCCTGAAAGTGTGACTTGAGGAATTGAGGGCTGTGGGGCAGAGAGGGGGTGTGAGCACTGCTTCAGGGCCCCTGTATATCCTTGAGGGTATTCGGCAAACGCAGAACTTGAGTCAATTGAAATCATCATCACATTTTTGGTAGACTGTTCCTGGCTGACATCCTGCTTGGAGACAGGACCATATGAGTCACCGATTTAGTCGGGTTATGAAGAGTGAGAGGCACAGATATAGGGGAAGATAAGCAGGGAGACAGAGACAGAGCAGAGGACATGGGGAGGTGAAGAGAGACGGATGCAAGAAGGAAAGAGCCCCCATGTCAATACTCACCTCATCCTGGTCCCGCATGGCGTTCAGCTGCTCCAGCTTCTTGGCCCAGTAACGGGCCTCCTCCTCAGGAATGTCTGGAAGGGGAGTCCTGGCTGTGATCCTGGAAGCCCCTGTTGTCCCCTCAGCACACACCCAGTGTATCCTACAGGCCTACAGGGCTGGTCTCCAGTGGGTCCGGGGACAGGGTGGCACCCTGCTTCCTCCCTGTCCCAGCACTGCCTTGGGGATGGGTGTGGAATGGGAGAGAAGATGTACCCTAGCACCACAATGGTGGGGGAGCCATGAGTCCTTGGAGGGATGATGTCCCAAGGGATGTGGGATGAGCTGCTTCCTGAGCTGCTTCCAGGAAAGGTGGAAAGGCCTCTTTGTGTCTCTACCTTTGTTTATCTCTGCTGTCTCTCTGTCTCTGTTTCTCTGTCTCTGTCTCTCTTCCATCCCCAGCTCACCCCTGAAGCCAAATCTTTCACCAAGGACCAGCCAGGGCAGCTCAGACCTCCATCCCATGGGTCAAGAAGCATTTGCTTCCCCCTGGTGACCTGTAGGAGCTGGAACATGCTCTGTACACAGCAGGTGCACACCTCATCTGACTCGCTGAAACCCAGAAAATCTTCTGTCCCCAGAGAGAGGAAACTTGGCCCTCATGATGAGGCTTGTATGGACCTACCCAGGCATGACCATTCTCCTGGGACTGGGTGAGGGTCTTGCGCCCCCCAAACTCACCTAAGGGCAGCTCAAAGCGGGTGTCAAGGAGGATGCGGTGGAAGGTGGGGTCCTTGGTGCCACAGATTTCACTGTCCGCCATGATGACCTGGGAGTCCAGAGTCAGCCATTCTCCAGGGCCCTCCTGGGTGTAGGGAGCAATGAAGACAGGGGTCAGGTTCCAGATGAGGTGAGGTGAGGTGGATCAGATATCTGTTAACATGAGTTGTCTCCCTCATCCCAACTCATCCCTACTCCAGAAGCCAGGGCCACACCCCCACTTAACAGATGAGGAAACTGAGACTCAGAGGGAAGAGCCCAGTCCAGGGCACCATGGGGACTTGTCCAGGGAACCCAGAGTCAAAGATCCAGAGAGAGGGCCCTGTGGAGTCAGCAGGGGCAGCCCTAGCTTCATATAAAGGCCCTGGTGCTCCCACAATCCTGTACGGAAATCCTTCCCTAAGTGAATGAACCAGCACCCCTGGGTTTAGGGACATAAGCCTTTCAGCAGGTGGGGTCCACTCTGAACTTCAATTTCTTTATCTCAAGCGAGAATGATGTTCTGTGGAATTTGCTTTCCATAGCCCCAGGGAGAGGCTGGTAGGGGTGAAAGTCCAGGGTCCTCTGCATGTATCCAGGGGGCAGTTATGAAGGGCTTCCCGGAGGATAGGACATGGGAGCTGAGCTTAGAAGGTGATGGGAGGGACACTGGAAGCTGAGGAAACAGCTTATGTGAAGGTTCAGAGGGTTTCTTTGGGGCCTGTAAGGGGTGGAGGTCGGGGTACAGAGGGAGATAAGGCTGGCAATGTGAGCTGGTGCCATCAAGAAGGACTCCCAAGGGAGATGTGGAGAGGGTAGGAAAGGGTCTTGGGGTAATAAGATGCTGCTGGGCTCGGCATGGGGAAATGAAATGGAGGAGGAAAAACTTAAGGTCAGGAGGCCAAGATTGTCTAGTACTTTCAGGGCTTGTGTGGCCTTCCTCTTGCACAAAGTGCTAATTGCTCATAATATCCCTTCCCCTCTCTTCCATAGGAATGCATTTTTAGCTGGTTCCAAGGCTATGCAGCTTAAGACTATATTTCCCAGACTCCCTTGCAGCTAGTGGGGGCCACAAGACTAAGTTCTGGCCAATGGGATGTGAGTAAAATGCCAAGAGCAACCTCTAGGTTTGGCCCTTAACTTGGAGGGTAAACTCCATCCCTTGCCACCTTTCCCTTCCCTGGTGGAAATGTAAATGTAATGGTGGTTCTCCAGCAGCCATCCTGGGCCATGAGGTGGAAGCACATGAAAGGAAGGGCAAATAAGATGGAATGAGTTTAGACCCTGGTGACTTTGGAGATACAACTGCAGCCGCAGATGTCTACATGAACATTGTCAAGGGATGGAGGTCGATGTCCATCTTGTTTAGGTCACTGGCCTCTAAGCCCCTCCCAGGCACTCCTCCCTAACCCTCAGCCCACCACTCACTTCATTAGACTGGCGGATGGTCCTCAGGGGGATCCACACGGTGCCCACCATCGTGTCCCAGATGAGACCCTTGTTCCACACCTCCACTGTCAGCCCTAAATCTAGGCGGTTAATCTCGCTGAGGAGAGAGAGGAGGGGGCAGGAGTGAGCGAATGGAGACTCAGAAAAGTCAGTTCACTCACCTTAGGACATACAGCCAATTGAAATTCAAACCCTGCCCTGGGCGAGTCCTAGGCAGGAAGGTAACACAGTGATTCTTGTTTAACAGATGAGAAACTGAGGCCAGAGGGCTATGTTACGTGCTCAGGGTCTCACAGTGGAACCAGGGCTCCAAGCTGGGATGGAAGGGGTGGGACAGATATCACACACCTCCTACACCTCAACTTGCCTGGTGCCTCCTTAAACCTTCAAACCTCGAGAATGCTGGCTAAGTGAGAAAGATGCCCAAATACCCTTTGTGGCCCCTGTTATCCCAGGATAAGGGCATTTGGAGTGCCTCCATCCTTCCAAGTGTCATCTCTGTCCAACTGCATGGGGACATCCCTGAATATACAAATGATCCTATCCCTGAGCACTTGCCCAGCAGGCCCCAGACTATACATAGGCAGATTTGGGGGGAAACCTTGGTGAATGTTTAATTCACTGAATTTACCAATTTTCCAAAGACTTATCTTAAGAAATGTTCTTGCATATATATGTTGGCTGTAACCTGGTCATTCAGTTATTGGATTTCAGGGAGTTGGGGACCACCTTGTTCCTTCCTGCTTTACATCTTCCTGAAAATTGTAAGGCAAGCTCCTCCTTTACTTCCCTATATGCTTCTCTGCTCCAGGATCCCAACTGGGTTCTCTCATGGCCTCCAGGACTGACAGTCCCCAGCCAGGCTCTGCTCAGGGGTAGAGGGCTGCTTTGGACCAAATCCTAGCTCTTCCAGGTAGAGGCTGTGTGACACTGAGCAGGTGGCTTAGCCTCTCTGGTCCTCTGCTTCCTCATCTGTAAAATGAGGATTACAGTAGCATCCTCCTTCCCAGTGTTGTGGGCAAACTGATGTAATCAAAGCCTTAGCAGAGAGCATGGCACACGTTCCCATCATCAGAGTAGGCAGGATGTAATAGGAGGGCCTGAATGGCTCCAGGTCAAGAAGAGGGTCCAAGTCATGAATTCATTCAATGATTAGTCAAATACATATTGAATGTCAGGCCCTGTGGTTGGTGTGGGGGTGAGAGTAGCAACAGAGACCAACCAAGCCCTACCCTCCTAGAGCTCACAGTCTGAGGTCAGGGGCCATAAATATGTCCAGAATTCACACTAATTTGACTGAAATAACAATTGGTAGCACGGCCTGAAATGATTCTTCGATTGCAGCCTGGCAGTAGTGGTCAGGGAGGGGACACAGCTGAGACAGGAAGGATAAGAAGGAGCTAACTGGGAGGGCCAAGAAGTGGGGAGAAGAGCAAGTGCAAAGATCCTGGGGCAGGAACAAGCTGGCCATGTTGGAGGAACCTTGCAGCGGTGGCTGTGGCTGGGGCAGGTGAGCCAGGAAAGATGGAGGGAGATACTGGTGGGAAGTCAAAGGGGCCAGGCCTCTTTGGGATTATGGGGAAGAATGTGGTTTTTGTTCTGAGGTTGATGAGCCACAGGCAAGTGTGGAGAATGAAAGGATGTGATTTGCAGTTTTAAAAATATCTCTCTGGCTGCCTGGAGAAGAACAGATTGTGAGAGGCAGATTGCAGCAGGAGACCCGGGTGGAGGCTGGTGGCACTGGAGACTTGCCTGGTGGCATCAGAGATAAAGGGAAGTGACTGGGTTTGGGAAGTGCTTTGGAGGCAAAGCTGATGGGTAGACATGGGGCAGAGGGAGGGGGAACAGAAGTCCCAGAAAACACCCAAATGTTCAGCTCTGCCCAGTGGGACCAGCAAGGTGCAAAAGGGGAGGTTGCGCGGGACCAGACTCACAACATGAAATCCTGTTCCCAGCTGGGCTGGCTGCCCCGCACAGCGATGGTCGTGCTCTTGACATTCTGCACCTTCAGGGTCACATATGTGTTGAATTTCTCTGTGGTGGTGAGAGCAGGGTTAGTCTGGGGACTCAGACACACCTGGAGCCCCTTCCCAAACTCTAGTCAACCTGCTGTGATCTCCCAGGTGCTGTGTGTGCTCGGGGGGACCCCGAGGTCCAACACAATGCTCTGCTTCTGTGTGTCCCTCCCACTCCCAGGCCAGTCCCCAAGCTTCCCCCTATGCCCAGTCCCTTAGAGCACAGGGGAGGGGCCTTGGTGCAGGGAGACACGGAATTTGGGGATGCCGAATCCTGCTGCTTAAAAATAACTATGTCCAACAATCTTGGTTTTTAGCTGGGAAGACTGAGGTCCCAGATGGGAACAAAAGTGACTGTAAGAAACTCCAACACCTCTCTGAGCCTCACTTTCCCCACCTGGAGCCTGATCTAAGAGTCCCCACCCTATCTCTTAGGACCCTGGGAACGGACGGCTATTGGCTCAGGGTGAGCTCCACCCACCAAGGGGTTTTCAGGGGACAGCTGAGGTGATTGCTGGGACCACAGGCCCTGTCTGACATTCTCCATGATGCTTAGCAGACACACAGCCCAAGTCTCCCACCAATGGCTCAGATCCCCCTTCCTGGTCTCTCCAAGAGATGCATAGACAAACAGACAGACAACATAGGACAGGACAGGTATAGAGGCCACTTACCTTGGGCACCATCAAACTTGGCTTTTTTGACTGTGGAGAGAGACAGAGATAGGGAAGGGAAATGGGGAGAGAGGCGGGGAGGAGAGAGACAGAGGCAGAGAGAGTGAGAGTGAGAGTGAGAGTGAGAGAGAGAGAGAGAGAGAGAGAGAGAGACCAAAATAGAGACAAAGCAAGAGAGACAGGAGAGAGACACAGAAACAGAGAGAAGACAGAGGCAAGGATAGAGAGCAAAAGACACAGATACAGAGGACAAACAGGAAAAAATAAAAAAGAAGATAAAGACAGAGGCAAAATTAGAGACAGAGACAATGAGACAAGGAGAGGAGGAAAAATAAGGAGAGAAGGGAGGCAGGGATGGGAGGGAGAGAGAGCAGCCATCAGACAGGTGAGCTAGGGGTGGAAGGAATCTGGACCCTGGGGATAATCCATGCCCCCTCCCTCCATATCAAATACTCCTAAATCTTCTCCCCTCCAGCTATGTCGTTACCCTTAATTGAACAAGATTTAAAAGAAGGAGCTGGGCAGGTGACAGAAAAGGCCTCTTACAGGAAGCCCTCCAGGATTGACACAGAGGGAAGACAGTTGAGGAGAAGGGGAGGGGGGAGAGAGGAGAGACAATCTCCAGTGACCCTATCCCCCTGTCAAGTTAGCAAGATTTCTCCTCCAACTGTCCAGCTCAGCCTGTCCTACCAAACACTCCCCAGGTTTGAGGTTCAATATGCAGAGGACTAGAGGAGGTAGAACAGGACATCTGGTCCTGGCCAGGAGGTTGTTCGAGCTTGTCCAGTCCCACTTACCCGTGGAAGGTACAACCTGAATATATGTCAGGGTCCTGTGTGGTCCAGTCTTTTCAGATTTCACATAACCCACAGCCCTAATGATTCAATTTCCCTCTTCCCTGGCTTTTCTCACAGGATAGTAAACTTTCACTTTCAACATCTCTTGCCCTCTGCAGCTGGCCCCAACATCTCTCTCCATCGTTCACTCTCCACCTCCACCTAAAATCCGTTACCAAACTGAGCCTCTCTCCTCCTTTCCACGTTTCTGCTACCTTTTTTAAATTTGCAAATGAATGTTTTTATTTGAGTAGGCAACACACACACATTTTACAAAATCAAACTTATCCAAAAATTTTACAATGAGAATAAGGTTCTTTCTACGCTAGCCTTCCTTCTCCCTCCCAAGTGCACTCAGCGTTACCAGGTACTAGAGACAGATAGTCTGGCCCCGGCGACCAGGAGCACAGGCGCATTTTACTTCCTGCACAGACAGTAGCACGCCACACCCTCTGTAGGCCTTGGTGTGTTCCAGTATGTTTTGAAGAGTGTGTGTAAGCAACTTAGAGGATAAATTTCTAGTAACAGAACTGTGGTTTATTCTTTCTTCTTTTTTGAGAGTCAAGTTTGGACTTTTTCTGGGCAAATGCCACAGCCTCCCATCTTGCTTGTATCTTGGTCCCCATCACTTGAATTTCTGCCATGCAAAAACAGCTGAATGCAGCCAGTGAAGAGAGAATTCCCATGAAAGGAGGGCAGTGAGGTGGTCCTAAATACTTGTCAGTAAATCTTGTTTGTTCCTGTTTGGTGGAAGGGGTGCTTCGCAGCAGCAGCAGCAGGGTGGACTCACAGAAGCACTGAGTGAACTCCCCAGAGTGGCAGAGTGAGAGAGGGAATGAGTGCCTCCTGATGCTTCTGAAAGATCCAGACTTTAAATGTCAATGATTGGGCATCATATCCCCATTCCGGTTTGGGTTTGAGAGGTAGAGTGACCAGGGAGCTCTTGGCCGGGCACTGGGAAATGTGGAGTCAGGTGGAGTCAGGTTCAGTTTACCATGCTGTGTGACCCTAGGCAAGTGAACTCTCCTCTCAGGGCTTCCATCTCTGTCTCACTAGGATTCAGTGTCTCCCTGCTGTTCTAGATCTGGCTGCATGTGTGTGTTTCTGTCTGTCTGTCTGTCTCCTTCTGTATCCCCCTGTATTTTCTGTCATGGCCCTCCTCTTTTACCCAGCTCCTCACCCCTGGGGCTGAGAGAAGCTCAGGGGTACCTAGGACTGTGTGCATCGGGAGCTCTAGTCCTCTCTCCTTGGGGGAGCTCCAGCTTGCCTGGTGACTGTGAAGGGAGGGGTGGGAGGATGGTGGGAGAGACACAGACAGGGGCTGAGAAAGGCACATGCAGAGGGGCCTACAGGGGGAGGAGAGGAAAAGGAGGAAGAAGGGGGTGGAGATGATAAGTCGAGAAAGTCAGAGACAGACACGGAGACAGGAGACATGCAGATTTCCACTGGGGAGGGCAGGCAGGGGGAGAGAACTGGCAGAGCCTGGAAAGAAGAGCTGGACAGAGGAAGCTGAGGTGGGTAAGTGAGAGGCCCTGGGGGGATAGAGGTGGGGTGACTGGGGTCTAGCCTCACCTGGCCCATGCTCCACCCTGCAGCTCCCACTGTGTCTCCTTTTTACAGATCAAGACAGGGCTCAGAGAGGAGGCCAGTCTTCCAAAGTCTGTCCTCCACACTCTCCTGGTGGGGGGTTTGGGGTGTGTGGCACCTCTCCTTGTCCCCCTCCTCCTGTCCTGTTTCTCTCCACTCCTGTCATTGTCTTTCTGTCTCCTTCCTCCCCTTCTGCCTTTGTCTCTGTCTCTCTTGTCCCCATTCCTTTCCCCTACCCATTTTCCTGCTCCCCAGGCCTCTGAAGGCCAGAGGACAATGGGCTTGGCTGGGGTCCACAGCAGTGGGAAGCTGCTGGAGGGACCCAGCTCCCACAGCAGAGGCCAGGCTCAGGCCCCCAGGCCCCTTCAGGGAGTCTAGGATAACGATACCAATTTATGTTCCTCTTGGGGACTCAGAGAAACGAGGGGGGACCCAGGGTGGGAGAGGGGGATCAGGGAAGGGGGCTTAGAGTGGGGAGGAGAGCTCACAGGGTAGGGAACTCACAGCAGGGTTTGGGACAGAGGCAGGAAGGGAGGAGACTGAGGGAAGGGGCTCTGGGAGCCGGAGGAGACGCGTGGGGGGCGGGGAGAGCACGCCGAGGGGCTCAGGGAGGGGCCGATAGGGCTCACAAAAAGAACCAAGTCTCTTTCTCTCCCTCCTTCCCCGCCCCGCCCCCCACCATCTTCCCTTCTATAAATGTCTTTCCCTCAGCAAATGATCCCGAGTCATCGCCTCCTTCGCCACCTTCACCATCACAGACGCGCCCGCCACCGTCCCCACCTTCGCCGGGCAATGAGGTCACTGGGGCGGAAGCGCCCCCCCCCGCCCCCCGCCAGCTCCTGGTCACACGCAAGAGGCTATTTATAACGCGGGCGCAGAGGGCAGGGGCAGCTGGACCGCGGGGAGCGGCGGGTCAGGGCGGTGCCTGCTGCTGGCCCGTCGGACTTGCTGGTGAGAGACACCGCGAGATTCGCGTTGTCGGGCGCGGCCAGCAGCGCCGCCTTCGCTGGGGGGCCCCGTCAGCACTGGCTGATTGATGTGGTTGCACAGGCAGACGGCGGCTCCGGCAGAATCAGTGGAGTCAGGAGCAGGGCTCCCCTCACAGGCGCTGCCAGGCCTTGGACCTCAGTTTCTCCATCTGGGAAATGGGGAGAGGGAGAGCAAGCCGGTTCTCTTCCTCCTCCTCTAGTCTTCCCTTCTCTTCCTCTCTCTCCGCCTTCTTCTTCGTCGGTATTAGGATCAGCGTTATTATACTATCATTACTACTACTATTAATAGTATCATTACTATTTTTTAAGAGAGATTTTTATTTATTTTTAGAGAGAGGGAAAAGGAGGGAGAAAGAGAGGGAGAGAAACATCGATGTGTAGTTGCCTCTTGCATGCGCCCTACTGGAGACCTGGCTTGCAACTTAGGCATGTGCCCTGACTGGAATCGAACTGGAGACCCTTTGGTTCATAGGCCGGCACTCAATCCACCAAGCCACACCAGCCAGGGCTCACTACTACTTTTATTTGGCTGGATTTTAAATGTGCCGCTGGCCTGGAAACCCCTGGATTCTAATTGAGGTAGACTCCGGTGTTGGGGTACTTGGTCCATGACCTGCCAGGCCTGGAGGTGGGGATGGGAAGTAGAGGATTCCTACCCTTAAGAGAAGAGGCTCAATGTCCTCTCTCCTACAGGACATTCTTATCAGGTGTCAGAAGTTACTACAAGGGATGAGGACGGAAGCCTAGAGAATTCTGAAATAAATTCTGGAATTTTTGGCAGTTTCATATGTGATGTTGATAGTGGACATGAGCTCTGTGATAAAGACACTGATCCGGCTGGTTTGGAATCTGGGAAATAGAACCCTTCACCAACAAAAGACAGAAACAAGCCAGAACCTCCGATGTAAAAAACGCACCAAGAATCTTGACAGGGATTTCTGTCTCTTGTTTACTAGGTATCAGAACTAGGCCGGGCCTATATAGCAGGTGCTCATTAAATAGTGTTACATGAAGAAATGACGTCATTTCTTCTTCCCAAATCTCTGCAAGTGACACCCAGCCCAGAGGCTCAGGCGCTGCCTAAGGCTCGAAATTCCTGGAGCGCCCCGCCCCGCTGTCCACGGTGCTGAACCATTCGTCTCTCCACCCCGCAAGCTGTTCACCGCGTTGAACGCGCCCTCCCTGCGCTGTCCACGGTTCTGAACACGCCGTCCTGTGTACTTCCAAAGAACTTGGCACCTCTCTTGCAACCTGTGTACTCCTGAGCCCTCCACAGCCCTGAAAACTCAATGAGTGCTCAGGAAACGTCTTACACCCACGGACCCCCTTCAAGAAAGCTTTTAGGTCCCATTAATAAAAACAGCATCATTGATTTTTTTTCTGTCTTTGGCTCACACTTATTAAACCTTTCCACAGAACAAGCATTGTGCTGATGGCTCTGTGCCCTTCACTTCATTGGACAGTTCCAGGAATCCTAGGCAATAGGAGCTATTAGTGTGCCCACTCTACAGATGGGCACATTGGGGAATGAAGAGGGTATGGGACTTTCCAGGAAGTGGTGGATTTAGGGATTCGAACCCAGACATGATGGACTCAGAATATCCTGGTTAGCATCTCACAGAGGAAGCCATTGTATGTGGGAGAAGAGTGAGGTGCAGGTTATGGGAGCAGCTAAGATTACAGCCCCAAAGATGAATCAGAGCCAATCCTGAACGGCATCTTCTGAGGATGGTAACAGCAAAGACACAGATGCACACCCCTCCTGGCTGGGTGGTATCAGAAATGGGGCAGTCAGGGGCAGAAGGATTTGTGAAGGATTTTTGGGAGAGCAGCAGGAGTATAGCCATGATAAATGGGGAGATCATGACATGTCTTTTTACTGAGTGAATGAAGAAAGAAGGCAGTCCCAAGACAGATTTTCACCTCATGGAAGGGACTTGGTTGTCTCACAGGTGTTGAATGCTGAGAGGAGGCTCAACCTTTAACCTCAACTCCCAGTAGGCTGTGGAGTCAGGAAGCTGCAACTCTGACTCTGTGGCACTAGGCAAGTCATTGGCCCTCCCTGAGCCTCAGTTTTCCTCATCTGTAAAATGGCTGTTGTGAGGATTAAATAGGGCAATGAGCATAAAAGTCCTCAATATTGCTTTTAGAATGCTAGATAATGGTGCTTTTGATTGCTTTATTATTAGTTGTAAGGCAAATGCATCCTTAAACACATTTGCTAACTTTACACAAAATTAATTCATGAAATATTTATGGAGCCTTAAAAACATTGAATGGCCTTGCAAATGCCAGGAGGCACATGGGAAGGTCTAGAACTGAATCCACTCCAGTGGATTCAGTTTTGCCCGTGTTGCTTCTCTCTTTTCTTAGCTCCCCACTCATCTTCTGAGACCAGCCAAATGATGGTGGGGATGTCAGGGCGGGCTTTCCAGACAAAAAAAGCACTGGATGACCCCCTTCCAGGTTCCCTCAGCCCTTTCTTCTCATTCCCACTCTGAATGCAGTAACATGAGGCCAGGAGTAGGGCTGGGTGCCAGGAACAGTGTCTGGCACATAGTAGGCACTGAATTCATGCTTGCTGAGTAAATGCATGAATGACTGCATGAAGGAACCAGATGAAGTTCTTGGTAGTAGCAGCCTCAGAACTCTGCTAAGACCTAGCAAATGAATTAGAGGCAGGGGTGGGACTCCACATAAATAATGAAATGAGAGGGGGCAGAGACAAGACCTATATAGGGTAGCCTCCCATGTGTTGGTGTGAGGTAAGCTTGCATTTATGTGTGTTTGCTTATGTATTTGCTTGTGTTACCGGGGCAGGCAAGTGTGTATACATAGCTGTGTATGTGCATTTTGGAGGGACATTGCTATATCCCAATGCAGGTGAGGGTCTACACATATGTGCTGGGGAGTAGGGTATGACTGCATATGGAACTGCATGTGGATGAGCTTAGGTACCTGTGGACTTGCAGGTGATGTGTCAGTTAGAAACATACATTGGTGTGTGTGTGTGAGATGCAGTTTTATGGCATTTCATTTACTTGCATGGGTGTACACACTTGTGTGAAGCTATGTACATAAGCATGTGTCTGTATGCATCATCATTCACCTGTTCAAAGGGGCTGCTTTGAGTGTCCAGGCAAGTGTTTTCATGTGTGCACACATGGCTTGGCATGTGCTTATGAGTATATATATATATATGTTTCTTCTAGATTTGGGAACCTAGAATGTATATATGAGCATACACTTGCATGTTAGGCCATAAGCAGATGTTTATGAGACATAGATATTGTGAACATACTTCAAACTCATGTGGATATATGTGTATACACATGCACACACATATCACAGGGACCATGTCTGTGGCAGCAGACTGTGTCCAGGATATTTGCATGTGTGTGTTCACATGTGAGCACACTTGTCCATGTGTGTAGTCACAGGAATGTCATTTTCATGGAGCCTTGGTGGATCTTGAGCATTTCTGTCCACACAGGGCAAGTCTGGCTAGAAGATGCCGGCTCATGTGCGTGCAGGTGCGGGTACCTGTGGCAAGGCCCCTGGTTGGGTGGCCAGGAGTTCCCTCAACCCCAAGGATAAGCTCAGATCCATGGAAACCCCTCTCAGCCCAGCTCCACTGCTGCCCTGCCTCTTCTTCTCTGTTATTCTTCCCGTCCTCCATCCTGGCTTCACTGGGCCACCCCCACCCCTCCTAGCATTTCCCCCTCTCCCCACTTCTCCCAGTTTCCCCCTCAGCCTCTCCCAGCATCATACTGCCCCCACCTTACTTACACCTTAGGGTTTTACCTGCCCCACCTCACCCCCAGCCTTGCCCCTCCCAAGTGACCACCCCTCCACCCTACTGGTGACAGAATCACCCAACACAGTTCTTCCCCCAGGTACCCGTTTCAGGAAGCCTCACCCTTCTTACTGCACCCCCTTCACACCACCCCCACATCCCAGCCTCCTGTCTGCATCAGAGTGAAGGGTGAGATTCTCCCCCTCCTCCCCAACGAGGCAAACCTTCCAGAAGAACTGAACTCCGAGGATGTGAGGCAGGGTGAGGTGGGGGTGGGAAGAGCAGAAAGTCAGTCAGAGCACCCACATAGGTCCCCTCCTCCAGTGCCAGCCTCCCAACCTCCGCACTCCCCACTCCACCTCCTCACAAGTGTGGGGCAACTTGGAAGAGGAGAGAGGCCAGTGGGGAACTGAGATCTTCACCTCCCCCTCCCCTTGGGCCTAGTCCGTGGAAGTTACTTGGCCGGGGCGCGGCGCGGGGGAGCCTTCCACCTCTCCACTCCCCTAACTCCATATGCCAAGAGTTGGATGAGTAGAATTTTGATCTTGTGGGCCCTCTGCCACCAACAGCCCCACCCGAAGAGAACGAGCTCAGAGAAAGGAGGCCCCTGTCCCTTTAAGAACCCGCGTCCACGCCCGCCCAGTCCCGCGCGATCTGCACCCGGAAAGCTGTGGAAAGCCTCGCGGAGGGGGGCCGGAGGGCGGGGCTAGGTTTGTGAATGGAGCGGCCGAGGGGGAGGGGTGGGAGGGAGAGGCGCGGCGGGGACGGTTCTGCGCTCCCGCGCCCGCCCACTCGGGTCCAGGCGGAGGCCGCGGTTCCGAGCGCTCTCTCCCGAAGGCACACAGAGACACACGCACACACACGCGCACCACCGCTGCCCAAGGCCTCTGGAAACCTGACGTCTCCGACTTGGCTGACACTCCTCTTCCCCCACCCCAGCCTTCTTGAAGGGATTAGGGGTGCGGGAGGCGGACCCCAGTCTTTAAAACCCAAGGTTGAGACCTATAATCCTGGTACCCCTGTTCGCCACCGCCCCTGCCGCCCAAGGTTTCCCAAAGCCTGACTTCGCAGCAGGAGTGCCCGGGACGCCGGGGTCCTAGCGGGCGGGCTTCTCCCCCACCCCAGCCTCCTAAGGTGAGAAAGGCCATGCCCCTCCCGCGTCTCTCCCCCTCCTCCACCCCAATGCGGAGCACAGGCCTGGGCGTGGGCCTCGGTACAGATGGCGTTCGGGCTCCAAAATAGCTCCACCCTTTTCTCCCTCCCTCGCTTAGGCACGAAGTGGGTGAGGTGAGGAGGGGCCGGGAGGAGTGCAGGGGGCACTGCACCTCCAAGAGGTCGGCTCCCTGCAGAGAAGGCTGAATGCACGTTTTGAAGGGCTGGCTGGGGAGGCGAGCCGGGGTGCCTCCCGCCGATTCCCGCAGCCTCCAACTCCGGAAGCCTAAGAGTTAACTGAAAAAGCGCCTTTTAAGACCCCCATCACAGACTCTCAGGACGTGGGGAGGGGGCTCCCCAGCCCCTTTCACAGTCATCCTCCACGTCCAGGGCCAGGGTGTCACTAGCTCGCTGCTATCCTAATGGCCGAGCCCCCGCCCCCAAATTTCACACGGTCCGGGCTGGAAGACCCCTCCCGTGCACGCCTCTTCGAATTCCGAACTCAGTCTGCATCCATGAGCACTCGCTGCCCAGACCACAGTGCAGGACTCCCGCCAAGTACCCTGCAGGATTCCTTCGAACTCTGCGGCTCGGCCCCTTCCACATGGACCCCCTAATAACCTGGTCTACACAGATGCCCCAATTTAGACCGTTTCCGGATCTCTGCTGTTGTCCACACGGACCCCCGCGTGCAGCCCTGTCCACACACCCGAGCCGCTGCCGCCAGGACCCCTCTGAGAGCCCAGCTACGCCTACACGGATCAGGCGCCCTGTCGCGTCTACGAGGACTGCCCCTTCAAAAGTCCAGCCGCGTGCGCTCTACTCAACCGCCCCCCTTCCCAGGAGCCCGGCCGCATCCACACGGACCCCGAAGCCCGTCGGGTCCACACCGGCCCCCGCCCCGCAGCCTCCTACCTCCAACGCAAAGTAGAGACATGTCTCCGGGGTCGCCGGAGGACCGGCACCGTCAGGTCGGGCTCAGAGGCCACCGGGCTGGTGCATGGCCAGGGCTGCCGCCGGAGCTCAGCTCACGCCGGGGCCCGGCCTCCGCCGCCGGCCATCTTGGTTCAGCACCGGGGGCGCGGACAGCTCCTGACGTGGTGCTGACGTAAGCAGCCGGGCGGAGCCCGGGGGACGCCTGATGCTGCGGGAGCGCCACCAGCTCGGGCGTCGGGGGCTCGGGCGGGGAGGGCTTTAAAGGGCCTGAGCCGGGTTGGGGCTTCCTCACCAGGGTGACTGAGGGCGCTCTACGCTACTCAGCCTGTGGATCTTTGCACACGCTCAGACTGGATCCCATCCTTCGCTCCTTTGTGGAATTGGAAAACTCCTATTCATCCATCAGTGCCCAGTGCGAACATAACCCCCCACCGGGAAATCTTCCCTGATTCCCCTACACGGAGCCTTTACTTTCTGGACGCCCCCAGACTCCAGCTCCTCCACTGGTTGGGCCCTGGCACAGTTCTGCTCACCACCCCTCCCCACATATAATTGGTCAGTTCCACGTGGACCAGTACCCTGGAAACCTGTTTGCTATGTATCTCCAATGCCTAAAACAGTGCCAGAGGTGGTGGGTGTAATAGATACACTTTTTACTGCCATATTGCTTCGAATAAGTACACCCTTGGTTATTTATATATTCTGTAGTTGGTGGACATTAAGATTGTTTCCACTGCCCTGGCCAGGTGGCTTAGTTGGTTGGCGCGTCCAACGTACACCAAAAGGTTGTGGTTTTGATTCCCAGTCAGGGCACATACCTAGGTTGTGGGTTTGATCCCCTATCGGGCACCAATCAATGAGAGGCAACCAATCAATGTTTCTCTCTTCTCTCTCTCTTCCTCTCTCTGTGAAATCAATAAACATATCCTATGGTGAGGATTATTTTTAAAGATTGTTTCCACTAAGGGATTACTACAGACTAAGATTTTATGACCATTCTTAGAAATATAGGCTGGTGAACATGGGTAACTTTGGATGGTTATAGGACACCCACATGCTCAGCTTCACCAGATGACATCAAATTGCTTTCCCATGTTGCTCCAGCAGTTCATATTGACCCAACACTGTATAAGCATTTGGTTGCTCTACATCCTTGCTAACACTTTGAATTGTACAAGTGTTTGAATTGTGCTGAAGTGGAGGGGGCGAACTCCAGTTTTGGTTTTGATTTACTTCCTGATTATTCATGAGGGGGAACTTCTAATGTGATTATTGGTTTTTTCTTTGGGTAAAATCCCTGTTCAATTCTTTTATCCATTTTTTAAATTTGACTCTTTTCCTATTGATTTTTTAGTTCTTTGTCCATATTAGATAAAAATCCCTTGTTGATTTCATGTGTGTGTTGTAAAAATATCTCCAATTATGTGGCTTGTTTTCTTTCTATTTACAGTGTCATTTGTGAACAGAAGCTCTTAATTTTTTAAATAACCATTTTATTGTGGAAAATTTTTATCTTTAATTGTTTTAAGATTTTATTTATTTTTTAGAGAGAGGGGAAGGGAGGGAGAAAGAGAGGTGAGAGAAACACTGATGTGTGAGAGAGACATCTGTTAGTTGCCTCTTGAGCACCCCCAGCCAGGGACCTGGCCTGCAACCCAGACATGTGCCCTGACTGGCAATCAAACCTGGGACCTTTGGGTTCACGGGCTGGTGCTCAACCCACTGAGTCCACACCAGCCAGGGCTACTGTGGAAAATTTTTAGATATACAGAAAAGTTAAAGAATTACAGAATAAAGGGATAGAGCATTCCTGTAAGCCCTTCACCCAGCTTCCCCTAATGTTTACATCATACATGGGGTTGTAGGGCACATATCTCAAAATGAAAACATTAGCATAGGCACTTATTATTAACCAGATAGCAGACTTTATATTTCACCAGGGTTTCATCTTTCTAGTCCAGGATCCAATCCAGATCCCACACTGCATTTTTTCATTTTATTTCCTTGTCCCCACCCTCTGTGATTTTCTTAGTCTTTACTTATTTTTCATCATTTTGACACTTTTGAAGAGTACTGGTCAGGTATTTTGTAGAAAGCCTCTTGACTTAACTTTATCTGATATTTTCTTTGTTGTTTTAAGATTTTATTTATTTTTAGAGAGGGAAAGGGAGGGATAAAGAGAGGGAGAGTCTTTTGAAACTCTCAATCAATGTGTGGTTGCCTCACTGGAGACCTAGCCCTCAATCCAGGCATGTGCCCTGACTGGGAATCGAACCGGCGACCCTTTGATTTGCAGGCTGGCATTCAACCACTTAGCCATACCAGCCAGGGTAGATATTTTCTTATTATTAGATTGGTGGGGTCTGCCCTGCCTGGTCTCAGGAAGCTGTAAGCCCCTGCAACTTAGGCTGAGTGAGAGACCTCTGGACCAGGAGCCACTAAGGAGACAAAACTTATTTTTCTGGCATGAATGTTGCCTGTTCTGTGCTGTCCCCCTATGCTTGATCAGTTAGCCAATGATGGGTAAGATTTCCCAAGGTCGGAATCGCCTAAGATGGGCATGGTCATGTGGAGGCCTCAGGGAAGGACTTGGGGGGCTGTGGAAATGAAGGGGTGATTGACATCAACCTTTGCCCCCTCAGCTTTGTCAAAGCCTGAGTCCTTGTTCTTAGTTGTGAGAAATCCAAGACTCCTGGCTGCCTTTGTCTCCTCTGCCTGACTCAGGCCTGTGGAAATAACAGGAGCAGTGCAGTCCAGACAAGAGTCGGTGGACCCCTGGGGTAATCAGGCCTGGGATGTAGAGTATGCAAGATCCTGTGAGATCTGCTTGTTGGAGGATGCTCTTGAATTAGAATATGAAGGCACGAGCAGGAAACGAAACTAGCCTTTTAGGTCCTGTAGTCTTTTAAAGTGATAAAACCCCAAAATCTCAGCCCAGAATCCCAGCGGGAGTTCTGCCAGCACCTTGGAAAACTACCTACTTGTTTTATCTTCCCTGCCAGACTGTAATCCACAAACTGTATCTGTATTCTTAATAAAAGCCTGCTCGGGTGGGAAAACGGGGTGCTCTCCACTAGAGAGCGTGGCTGTTTCGTACCTATTTCTCCACAGGACTCAGTTGTCCGTGTGTATGTTTTTCTCGTGTTTTGACGAGCATCTGCAGCGATGGATACTGCTGGCCGGTATCCACATCAGACCGAGGTTATGGGGTTTAGGGGTAAGACCACAGAAGTGGGGTAACCTTCATGTCACATCATACCAGAGGTCCCTGATGCCAGGTGACATCACAGGTGATGTTAATTTTGGTGGCCTAGGTGAGGTGCTGCTTGCCAGGTTTACCCACTGTAAGTTAGTGTTCTTGCCCTTGCTCTGCTGTTTTGTAAGCAAATAGCTAAACCCAGCCTGTCCTCAAGGGGAAGGAATTGTGCTTCACCTCCTGGAATAGGAGTTTCTATGAAGCTCTTAATTTTAAATTTCTTTTCTTTATATTGCTGTAAAATACACATAGTCAAATTTATTTTAACCATTTTTAATATTTGTTTGTTCATTTGTTTTTTAGAGAGAAGGAAAGGGAGGGAGAAAGGGAGGGAGAGAAACATTGATCGGTTACCTCTCGCACACATCTCAGACAGGGGACTGAGCCCACCACGCCCAGGCTTGTGCCATGACTGGGAATCAAACCAGCAAAATTTAGCTTTGTGGGATGATACTCAAGCAACTGAGCCACACTGGCCAGGACCTACTTTAACCAATTTAAAGTGTACAGTTCAGTGGCATTTAGTACATTTACAACATTGTGCAACTATAACTTCAATGCAATACTAAAACATTTCCAACCCCTCCCCACAAGGAAACCCCTATTCCCAGGAACAGTCACTCCTCTCCCCTCCTCCCCCAGGCCCTGGCCACTGCTAATCTGCTTTCTGTCTCTGGATTTAATATTAAATTCTTCAATTTGATCAGTCTTTTCCTTTGCAGTATGCACATTGTGTTTTGTGTAAGGACTTTTTGCTTTTCCTGGGTTCATAAAAATATTTTCACAGCATTTTCTACATTTTTAGAGTTCTGTTATTTACAGTCAAATCTTGACCTCTCTTGGAACAGATTTGAGAGTGTGGAGTGAGATAAAGTCCAATTGCACGTTTTTTTCATATCGACAATCCATTGTCCTAATAAGGAAACTGTCACGAAGCAAGTTTTTATACATGTATAATTCACAATGGGCACAGACCAACTGAAATGTGTGCAGGGCTGCAGGATGTCTACCCCATCTGTGGGTCTGTCCTGGCTCTCTCTTCTGACCCAGGCCATCTCTCCCTGTTCAGAAGCTTTATGCAATCCTTGCTATCTGATAATCATGCTAGTCACCCCATTTATCCTCTTTTGGGAGTGCATGGGTTGTTCCGCTTTTATTGTTTGTTGGGTTCCATGGAGAAACTTGGTCGAACCTGGTGGAATTGCACTGAATTTTTAACCAAATAGGGAAAATTATAATCTCTTGTGATATTGAATCTTCCAAAGCACAAATTCAATGAATCCTTCCATATATTTTTCAGTAAAGCTTACAACTTTCTCATAAAACTGGGGCACACCTTTGTTTTTTATTTCTAAATCTTATTTCTAAATGCTTTGTGTATTTTGTGTTATGGATATGTGGCTTTTTTTTTAGATTACATTTTTTTTTATCTGTTAGTTGCAGGAATGTGGAGTACAACTGGCTCCAGCACCTAACAAGATTTCTCATTTTTCCAATCCAATCCAGTAATTGTATCTGCAGATCCATTGATGTCATCCATTGTATCCAATGGATGTCATCTGCAAATAAAAGCTCATTCATTTTTTCTTCTCCAGTCTTTGAACCTCTCATTGCTTTTTCCTGTCTTACTGCACTGGCCAGGGCCACCAATATGATCTCAGATGCCATGACAATAGGCATCCTTGCTTTGTTCCCCATCTTGAAAAGAACATTTTAATATTTACTATTACATATGGTATCTGCTGTAGGTTTTTAATAGAAGATTAAGTTAAGGAGATCCACTTCTATTTCCAGTTTGCTAAGATTTTTTCCTTTTATTGCACATGAGTGCTGAATTTTAGCAAATGCATGTCCTGCATCATTGGGACACCTG